TACATAATAGAGTACCTAGTTGACACACGTGGTTATTGACGTACTTTATGTGAGCTGATGAAACAAAATATGACGTCACCAGTTCGCACACTCAATTGACTATTTATTGATTTCAAAGCTAATAAAAAACAAATTAATACAGCAATTTGAAAACTAACTGGCTTTTCGGGACTAGATTGAAGTGTTTTTACAGAAGTCTTAATGTTGTCGATAACCCAATTATGTAGGTACAAGTAATCGCAAGGATCATTACTTATTTATTAGCCCATTATCATTTACTATAAATTTTCATTTTTAACTTGCAGGTAAATTGCGCAACTCATCAAGCGCGTAGTGCTCGCGAGACGAACGATACGTCGTCGTACCAACTCGACGACAACGCGGTCGCGGCCGCTGTCAGGGAGGAATCCTGGCAGAACAACAGGATAGCCCCCAGTGGCTCTAGTGGCTATCCCGGTGGCCCCAGTGGAGTGGTAGCCCAGGGCGGCGCCGCTTTATGTGGGGCCGCTGAAGGACAAGTGCCGCTAGAAGTCGAAATGGTCGTGGGATCTGGGGACGTGCTGTCAGCTGATACGCTGGTCCGGGCTGACCATCATGCTAATATTCGTAAGTTTTGGAAATCACAGGTATATCGTTCGTTCGTTTCAGCCAAATGACGTCCACTACTGGACAAAGGCCTCCTTCGAGGTTTTCCACAATGCACGGTCCTGCGCTGCCCGCATCCAGGCTCTTCCCGCGACCTTTACCAGATCGTCGGTCCACTTAGTAGGAGGCCTGCCCACGCTACGTCTTCCAGCCCGTGGTCGCCACTCGAGAACTTTTCTGCCCCAACGGCCATCGTCTCTACGAGCTATGTGCCCCGCCCACTGCCACTATCACAATAACTGGATTCCTATAGTAATGAAGCGGAGTGGGAATAGTGCTTTTGTGAGTCAAACGCATTGAGACTTCTATTAGGTCTGTTTACGTCACATGTTACTCTTTTCTTGCGCCATCTCACCACTCGATCAATTTTTTGCCAACTGCCGCTCGTTCTGAAAAACATGGCCAGGTTGGTTAGTTAATTAATCGACTAATTAATTATTGTATGGGCACTTAGATTTTATTAGAACGTAAATATGTTTTTAAATTGATTGTCGCGCGTGTTCCGCATCTTTAAATTAGCAGGACACAATTGTTATAAAATAAATCGTAAATATACTTTAAGTATTCGACGTAGAATACATTTTAATGTCGGAATCTCAGATAAGTAAGTATTCGTTCGACGCGTAAAGTCATGTAATCAATCAGGCTTCATACATTGTGTATAAATTAGTGTTAAGTTATATCATCATTACCTACACAAGGGAGGTAAATTCAGTAGTTAGAACGCGTTATACGTTACGCGTAAAGTACGCATTTTATTAGTAAGTTGAAACGACTTTAAGAAAAAATTCTAAGAGCTTTCTCCATAGATAAAGAATACTTAGGCAAATACTTCTGTAAGTATGTGGAGGATGTTACTTCTAACGCGCAACGTTTCATAAACTTTTACACCTACACTACACCGATGTTTTCATAAAATCTGGCTCTGCCACCTTTTAAGTATTGTCACTTAAGTAGGCTTATGATTGTGTTTTATTTCTCAAAAAGTAATATTCAACATAATATAATTCGTATATTAATTTAGTGAAACTACTCAGTCTACCAGATAGTGTGAATGTAGCTAGCACGCGAATGTTACCCTTCGACGCGCATTTGTTTTTGAAGAATCTTGATAATGAAATTTCGTAGGTCTACTACGAAAACACCGTTTAATAACAATGTCGGTAGAGCATTGCTCTCGCATTTAATTGGAAGATTCTAATATAGGCTAAAGCTGATCTTATTATAGTAGCTTATAGGTACCTACCTACTACAGATGCAGCTCAGGCAGAACATAGTAGGTAGTATAAGTGGTCGTTCGCAATAAAGAGTCGCTAACTTTAGATAATGTATGTTACAACGTCCATAGACGTCAACGCCAACGTCAATAGATACAGAAGGTTGCATCTACTAGATCTAGAATACAAGACATATTTTTTTATATTAGTTCTTGTTCAGATACGCACGGTCACCGCGCGGTTTGTGGGTGGTTCTCATTGGCGAGGCTCTGAGGCGGTTACGGTTCGATACAAACTGTCCGAGAACTGCTCAGAAACCGCGCGGATTCTGTCGTATCTGAACTAAGCCTACAATCCAAGGTAGTTATTATTCATGTGGAGATGTTGAAATATTTAGTATAGGACTATATTTAGATTTTTGTTAATTTATTTTAATTTGTGTGTGTATATTTTTTTATTTATGAACTAAATCTGCCACCCCTTACAATTAGCCGCTGCCTTAACGGCATCTACTTATTAGATGTAGCGGCATTATTTAGATTTTTTTTTTGTGTTCAGCACCGGAGGAGATCGACGCATCATCGGGCGCGCTGGTGTGCGTTCACGAGCTGCTGTTAGTAGCGCTGGCGTTGGCGTGGCTGGGCGTGCAAGTGCTGTTACTGCTGGGCTGCTGCGTGCTCGTCAAACGGTGAGTGAGTGAGCGTGGTGTAACTTTTTTTATTCTTTTTTTATGCAAGACAAGACAGGTATTTGACCGCAATCCATATCCAACGTGGCATTCCATAGATAAACGTGCTTATTTAGCGATAGAACGCGGCGCGAATGGCTTGGCGAAGTGGTGCCGTGTTCTCTCATTAATTAGTTCAAATGATGTAGCGTGGTGAGGGTAAGCTTACAGGTGGTAGCGCGTACCTACTTATCAAGCAGTTAGTGACTTCACTAGTTACCTGTAGTGGAGTTGCCGTTTCTGTTTTCATATTTATTCAGTGATAAACAAGTACTTATGTTACGAGTTTCTCTCCACATAGATGCGCTAAAGTTGATCTGTGTGATAGAGCCGTCAGTCATATCAGAAAAAGAGCTCTTCGTTACGCTGACTAAAAAAAAAGAAAAATAATGAACTTAAACCCTTTATATTTCAGGTACCGAAACCTGGCCGAGATGAGCATGCAGAAGGAGTACCAGTCGTTCGACAACGTGGGCTTCGACGTCACCACGCACCGCCGCGTGCACTGGCCCGACCAGAGCATAGACATATTGCATGCCACGTGACCTTTAAACAAACAAACAGGGTTATAGTGTGAGTTTACGTCAAACGCATTCGATATCGACTACGTATAGAAGATCCACGCTGAACTGTCCCACCAAACTCAATGACAGGGCGGCGCTACCATCGTTCAACTACTTAGGTAGATATATGGTTTCCAACATGGCTAAAATCGGAACCAGCGATCCGGTATTGACGGTGGCGCCCCACTGTCAATGTCATGGATAGGACTGTTCAGTATTTTGGAACTATAAAAAAATTACATTAAATGTATGACGGATTGTACAGCGCCCCTAGCGGAAACTTTCAAGAACTAAAATCTTCATATATTTTTTTAACGCGCTCGCTAGTGACGACGTTTGATGTAAACACACACTAAACCCTGAGTTCAGGGCTAGCATGGACACCTCGCACTTTTGATGGAACAGGGACACAATTGATATTTTAGAACTTTTACAGAAGAGTATTTTTTGCACTTAATTATAAGCAAGCATCGTTTGTGAATACGGGCGTTACTATGCATGACAAAAGACAATAATTAAGTACATATTTTAAGGCATGTTGTTTGTTATGAATAATCAAAAACGTTTAGGTTTTTAATTAATTTATATTCTAAGGTGTGATATAATCGTGAAATTATATCAATATGCTGTCTAAATTTGGTAAATGTTAAATAGGATAAAATTATATCGCGACGTCCATGCTTGCCCTGTTAGCAACATGAAGGTAGGTACTCTGTGAGCTGGGCATCGAAATATGTAATAATAGATATTTTGTAATAATTATGACCTAATATCAAAATCTCTCCATGATTCCTGTTATCAACAGGACGTACAAAAGAATAAGCTTTATAAAATTATTATCAACGGCTTTAAACGAGTAATATAAATAAATACAATACAAAGTCTTTCCAAATCTATAATAGTATATTGAGTATGAACCTATCTAATAAATTTATTTTTATTGTATCTGCTAGTTAAAGTTGAAGCCTAAAGAGCCGAAGCTTCAAATAGTTCAAAAATTACTTTTTATGTCATTGACGAATTTCGAAAATCTAAGAACCAGCCTATACCTTACCTTTTTACTTTTATCCTACTAGTGTAATTTTATTTATAAACTTAAAAGTAGTGAGTTTTAACCAAAGTACTTAAATGTTCTGTCCAACATTCTAAGTAGGTTACATACTTAGTAGGTTTTCGGTACAGAGTAAGGGGCAGATTGGCAAAAATATGTCTATTCAATTCAAATTATACTTCAGTCTAAACATTGGGAAGGGAAAAAAATAAACATTCAGCATTCAATAAGAAAAGATAATGGTTGAATTTATTATGTTATACTCGTGACTAAGTTGCTTAGTTCACTATTAGTTTTGCTATCCTGTCCCTTACATCCTGTATACCAGTGCAGTCAGTGTATCAACTCTATTGCTTGACATCACAGCATGTTTTGTGAACACAGGTAACTTAGTAATTTTAACTACTCATAAAATCTTCAAGTTGCACGTATGAATGATGTGATGCATTGCATTGCATGCATTAAATAGATGACTCTCATTTAGTGTAATTAAAGTTGTAAATAAAAGATACAATATAAATATATCATGTCATCTTTTTATTTATATCACAATAAGCATATTTTGACTCCTTTTTTACATTTTGATGTTTCATCAATGCAATTGATTAATTTAACGCTTGATTAAGGTGACATAAATTGGTTAAAAATAAATGAAAAAGCAAAAACAAAACAAAACGAAATAATAAAAAGAAATTGAAAATAATTATAGGTTAAATAAAAATAAACACCTACATTTTGACGATCGTCTACTTACATAAAAATAATTTAAACAATCGTCAAAATGTAATTTTCAGGATTTCTATTGGCAGTTTCAGTATCGTATAAGGGAAATTTTTCCGGTCGGTCGGTAGAGTCCTTTTCACGAAAAAGTCCTAATGTTAATTCCCTCTCAATTTCTATTCGTACAAAGAAGTCCTGCCCCCCTAGACTGGCAAAACGCGACGGGCCTTCGCTCTAGCGTTTTTTTTTTGCTTTGTGAAGGGATTCGATTTTTGGAGCTACCTAGGTAGTAGCTATCATAAAGTGCCACTTGTCAATGCTGGGGCTGAGCATCGAACTCGTCCGTCGCCCATTATTGAACTTCATTGCAAGTTCAATGTCAGTTTACCTTTCCCATGAGACTGAAGTCTCACTGGCTTCATTAATTGGCTAGATTTAATTGGCAGTCAAGTTAAAGACAGATCCTAGTTACTCAGGAATTTCAGGTGGGAATAACCTTGTCTTTCGTGAAAAGGACTTGGATCATGGTCTAACCAGGTATAGGTGTCATTGCGTGGCATTGCTGGAGGCGGCGTAGACGGGCGGCGCGGGCGCGGGTGGCGCCGCGGTTGGTTGCCGGCCGGAGCCGCGCGGCGCCGCCTGGCGCACGCTCTGCCGGTTCGACGCCGCGTTGTAATGGTAGCCGTCGAACTTGTCGCCGCCGCCTGCGTTGGGCGCCGGGTATGTTGCAGTACCCATGTACATTATCTAATGGGGTTTAATAAATACCAATTAAAAACTGTCACGACTGCTCAAGGGCCTACTGGACATAATTTAACACACGCACAGCAAAAAAAAAATAACGAAATTGGTTCAAGATTTCCAAGCATTTTTATTATTTTCCAAATTAAGGTTTACAAAAATAGTTTAAGTAAGACGTTGACTTACTTAGTCTGAATTATTATTAGGCGAATAAGTAGTTGTAGGCACTGTACGGAAAAAAAACTAAGTAACCAGTGCGCGCGCGAAGCATGATAGCTTCAAGGGAAACTATATCTACAGCACCTGACTTATGCTCCAGCCAAAGACATTCGAAATCGTGAGCATTCGTAGATGATTGGAACTTACTTGTGGCTTGTACCCGTCGGGCCCGGCCTCGTACTCTACGAGCTGCGTACGGCCGTCGGGCAGCAGCACGTGGTAGGAGCCGGTGGCGCGGTCGTCCTTGCGCTTCTCGTTGTGCCCGAAGTCCAGGCTCACGGCGTTGTCTTGCACGTCGTACGAGAAGTCGTAGTTCGCGGGGAGCTGCACAAAATGTGTGCCATAAAATACTAAACGCTGTGCTCTGTATGGATAACTATTAATATTACCCGTAAGTACCTAAGTAATCTATTCCAGATCACAGATGGCTGCTAGATGATCGTCGACGCAATTTGAGATAAGTACCTACTTATATTCGAACACTTAAGGTAGTCAATTACGTGTTGTCTAATGTTAATCCTGAGAAACAGATCATTGCTCGAAGTTCGTCCAAACCAGAATTTGTCGAAACTAAGTAACATCTTTCCTTCGTTTCAAGCAAAAGACGTCTACTGTTGGCTAAAGGCCTCCCACAAGGACTTCTACAACCTTCACCAGATCATACGTAATAGAAAACTTACTGTAGGCTCAGGTGCTGGTTTCTTGCCGCCGCCGCCGCCGCCACCACCAATCTTTGGGGGTAGGTACTCCTGTGCTGCAGCGCTGGGCCACAGTGTCCACGCCATGAGAGCTAACTGAAAAGTCAATATATGTAAAAATTGTTAATGTTTATTTTTTAAGTTCACAATTTTATTCAGATTGCTTCCTTTTAAAACGTGATAAAAAATTGAAAGTCCTACTTATCCCATGCATTTATTTATAAGTCTACTTACGCAAAGACTGGTCCACATTTTTGGGAAGAAGCAAGAGTCTGTCAGGTTCAGGAGCCACAAAGGATTTGGGTCGGCCTACGCTAGGTCGGCGCTTTTAAGCGCGCGCCGCCGCAGGTCGCGGTTGCGGCTTCGCGCGCCGCCCCTCGATGTTTCCCATTACTGGATGCACGACAACAATGACGAAATAAAAATAATAGTAGCAATGCAATACTTTGTAGTTTCTTTTGTTTGAAACTGTAATTAAGTTGGATGTTTGCAAGAACATCTGCTTTTCGAATTTTAAAGTTGAATCTGTCTGCACCTATGTTATTGAAAATTCCATAGGCTTGGTTAAAATATGAAGAATAATATTGCTATTTATTATTATAAATTAATGCCCATAAGGCTTTAAAGTTGTAAAGAAAGTTTTTGCTTTCGCGTCTGGACTTCCAGATTGTAGTTTCTTCGCGTCGTGTCCCTTTCAAATGTTTTGAAGTCTGGATAAATGGTAAGTAAATTCCTAAATTTAAATTTTATGTGTAGATTAGTAATAGTGTTTAAAGTTTTATCAAGAACTCAACCGTGATTTAGCATTATAGTAGCATACATACGCGGTGGCTTTAGCCGAGGAAGTCATATTAACCGATTTCAAAAAATTTGTTATTTCCGATTTGTAAAATGCTTTCGTTCATAATAAAGAAAATTTTGTTTCTACCATTATTTTACTTATACTCGAAATAATATAATAAGGATAATTTTATGTAATAATATTTTTCTTAAGAAAAATAATCAAAATTTTATAATAAGCAACGCCTTTGATCCAAAAGACTATAATTGTCAATTTGACATTGACAGATCTCCTTTGCTGCTCGACCAGGTGATTCGTGATTGTCTACATGTTTCAAAAAGAAATGTGTGCCGATTGTGAATAATTCTGATAAACCGGTGAATTGATAAATAACATTCGTGTAAACCTTACTATTTATTGAAATAACGATGAACTCCATTTTGAGGAATAGGGCCACTGCGCTGTGTCGTGCGTTATCTACATCGGGTGTAAGACAGTGTGCCATGCCTCCGAAGAGACCGAAGAAGCAGTTCATCCCGATAACATGGAAGTCCATGGGAGTGACCGCAGTGGTCGCCGGCGGCCTCACAGGATTCATGCTGTACATCCGAAAAGAGAAACAGGAAGCTATAGATCGTGAGAGAAAGAAACAGCTAGGAAAAGCTAAGATAGGAGGAGAATTTGAATTGGTGGATTCTGAAGTAAGATAAATTATATCTTTTTGTATAAACATATTCAATATTTCATTTGGTAAAATTGAAATTCTTGCATGGGTATGTGAATTGGTTAGGTGCACTTGATAAAACATTCCAATTAATTTAGTATTTCTATCAATCACTCTAAAAGAACGTACATTCAAATTAAAATCAAAGGAGGATCAAATGCATGACAGATGCATGCAAATGCGAGTCTGCATTATTGTAAAATAAGAAATATTCTACTTAGATAAATATTTCAAAAGTATTCCTTCAACAAAATAGGCCTAATGTGATCTTTTTCTTCTTCAGGGCAAACTTGTGAAAAGTACTGACTTCTTAGGAAAGTGGTTGCTGATATATTTTGGATTTACACATTGTCCGGACATTTGCCCTGATGAACTAGAAAAGCTAGCTGAAGTTGTAAATATGCATGGTAATTGTATTTTGTAATATAATCATTGGTGCATGTGTTAAAGTTATTATTTGAATTGTAATCAACTTTTTAATGTATAATGTTTCAGACAATACCCCAACAGCACCACCGCTTCAACCTATTTTCATATCAGTGGACCCTCATAGAGACACTCCAGAACTTGTTGGAAAGTAAGTTTGTAAACATATTTCTTGACAAGGTTACAATATGGAAACATTAACTCAGCCTTACTCACACTCTTACTATGGAAATGATTGTGTTGTTATTCATCTCTCCATCATCAAAAACTTGAGATTAAAACAATTATAATTTATACAACAAACTGTAATTATTAATGATGCATTTTTTTTTTCTTATTTGTCATTTATCAGGTACTGCAAGGAGTTCTCACCAAGATTGCTAGGGCTGACTGGAACTCAAGATCAGGTGGCAAAGGCCTGTAAGTCCTACCGGGTCTACTTCAGTGCAGGACCACAGGATGTTGACAATGATTACATTGTAAGTGGTCAATAGTACAACTACACACACATGAGACTATATTTATGTTGCAAAATCACACTTAGCCTAGGCACACCACCGACTTTTAGTTGGTCGATAGTTGGATCAAGCTGTTGATAAGTATGGAGATGTATGAAAGTGCACACATTTCACCAATTTTGTATCGATCAGCCGATTCTTCATACAAATTAGATTGGTCTGCACCTAGGCTTATTACAACTATAAAAAATGCCACTGTCTTTAGTTAGCTTGATGTGCTGTTATCTCTACAAATTATTTAATCTTATCAACTTCTAGTACATAATGATTTATAAAAAAACCTCTTTGTTTTTAGGTGGATCACACAATCATCATTTATCTGGTCAATCCCGATGGAGAATTTGTTGACTACTATGGTCAGAATAGAAATGCTTCAGAAATTCACAATTCAATGCTAGTGAACATACAGAAATATGCAGCAGGGAAAAAGCCGTCATGGTTTTGAGATAAATGTCTTAAATTATTGTTTATTATAGCTATATTATAATTCCAAAGTAGTTATTTTTGTGACATAAGTAGAATAAAAAGATGTTGCTTTATATGTTTTTTTGTTATATTTCCTAGTTCATAGGACTCCTTAGTCCCNTTAGTCCTCAAATTGTTCTATTCTCTTCAGTTTTGCTATGGAATTAAATTAATTTTAAATAGTTATTAAATAAATCAACACAGTTGGTTAATAAATAGTGTAATACAGTCAATATAAGTAGATAGTTAAAAGTTAGCAGTCATTTTACTAGTAATTTTGCTGATGGTGACCTGACCACCAGAACTATGTATTTGGACTAGACTCTGATCCAGTTGATATAACTTTACTGTGGTGCCCTCATTGACTGTCACCAAGTTGACGTCACTGTTGGAATAATTTATTTCCCCGATCTCTCCAGTATTCAAACATACATTTCCGCTTTGGTAACTAGTTTCATTATGACTATTGTCCACAACTAAAATCTCCTTAACATCACAATCATCTTGAACAACCAATTCACCTGTGACTTCTAATGGCATGTCTTGAGCTAATTCTAATGTAATATCGTTATTTGGCTCTTCACATTTAGTTTCAGCTATGACTGAAGCCTCTTCTGTCTGTTCATTCTGTTTGCCGTCAGTGATAATGTTGCTGACGAACATTTGGCCGTTGTAAGCGACTTGCTGGACTATGACGATGTCCTTTTTGTCTTGTTTCTTCGTCGACTGATGTTTCTTTACGTGCTGCGCTAAGTGAGATTTGGCCGCAAATGTTTTACCGCAGGTCGCACACTCGAATGGTTTTTCACCTGAAAGAAAAAATAAAATAATTATTTCAAAGTATTGTCCAGCCGGGTTAGGTATAAAAAAAAGAAAAAAAAAGGATGCGCGCCGTGATAGACTAATCGACGTCAAAATGTATGGGCAAAATCTAAAATGTGTCGTGAGAACCGCTTATCGCGGCGCGCATCCTAGGCCTACTGAAGTCGTGGTATGGCTATATTCGGGACGGGTAAAAGCTCCCTGAAAAGAAAGAAACATTTATTACGATGAACATCACTTACAGAGAGATCATCAGGGACAGAGAACGTATTCAGAAAAAAATACAGAAATAGCACATAAATATTACAAGGAAATAAAAAGTGAACTGAGCAGATGCTATCCTGTCGTAACAGCGATGCCCATCGCAATGGGAATCCACTCAGCATATGCCGTGGCCCACGGTGGGGAAGGCCACGACGCTGGTTTTCAGTGGGCCCCATGCCGAGTGGAAGTCACGGACCTACATACCTACAAAAGGGCCTACATACTAATAAAGAATATGAATTATGAATAGATTAGCCTTCAGTAATTGTTAAGTATTACCAGTGTGCATGCGGCAGTGCGATCGTAGGCGCGCGGCGTTGACGAAGGCCTTGGGGCAGGCGCTGCAGGCGTGCGGCCGCGCGCCCGCGTGCAGCCGCTTGTGCGCGCTCAGGTCCATGCGCGCGAACCTGACACGAACAAATTATACTCTTTATTTGGAAGCGGCTTATTCCACTATTCCCCGTTGACAATCCCCGTCAACTAAAAACTTCATTAATCCCCTTTATATTAGGTTTTTATTTTGAACGTAATGGGGATTAATGAACTTTTTAGTTCATTATTCCCCATTATAAGTTCCAATTGGCATTGAACAAAAAGTTCACTAATCCCCGTTGACGGGGATTGTCAACGGGGATTAGTGAACTTTTTTTCCACTATTCCCCATTAACGCCAATGGAGCTTATAATGGGGAATAATGAACTAAAAAGTTTATTAATCCCCATTACGTCAAAAATAAAATCCTAATATAACGGGGATTAATGAACTTTTCAGTTCATTATTCCCCATTATAAGCTCCAATTGGCGCTAACGGGGAATAGTGGAATAAGCCTTTGGGAAGCATAATAGGATTTTTATAGACTAGACCATGTTGACCCTTTTAGCTCTTATTTATGCTCGACATAGCATAATGTGCAAAGACCTGAGTGTTCATACGACAGGTGTATTATTATACAGGGTGTCCCAAAATGTAGTGTCAAGCCGAAGCCCAGAGGTAGAGCATCACTAGAGCTACCCAAATCACTTGGAAACACACATCACGTGGAAAACGTGTTCAACTGTTATAACACGTTTTCCCTAGTTGAAAAAAAGCTCTCATTAAATAAAAATTTTTGAGGTGTTTTAAAATTTATAAGTAAAAGCTGAAAAAATATCAAAGTAGCGTATGTGAATGATTGAATTTCTATATTTAGCCAAATCCGATTTCTTACTTTTTGCCACAGACGTCACAGCTGTAAGGTTTTTCGCCCGTGTGCCTTCGTAGATGGGCCTTTAGAGAAGACCTTGACGTGAACTTCTGCTCACATTTGCTGCATGAATAAGGTTTTTCACCTGTCGAAAAGTAAAAACNTAGTGAACTTTTTGTTCACTTATCCCCGTTAACGCCAATTGGAGCTTTTAAATGGGGAATAATGAACTAAAAAGTTCATTAATCCCCTTTATATTAGGATTTTATTTTGAACGTAATAGGAATTAATGAACTTTTTAGTTTATTATTCCCCATTATAAGTTCCAATTGGCGTTAACGGGGAATAGTGGAAAAAAAGTTCACTAATCCCCGTTGACGGGTATTGTCAACGGGGAATAGTGGAATAAGCATTTGGAAGCATAATAGGTTTTTTATAGACTCGACCATGTTGACCCTTTTAGCTCTTATTTATGCTCGACATAGCATAATGTGCAAATACCTGAGCACGGTAATAATATCATACAGTATTGTAACTTCATATAAACAGACGAAACGAGAACTTTCTTTCGAAATTCAAATCTCAGTATGCGCTCGGTATGCAAAAGTCGGGGGTGTCGCGAATGTGCCGAATGGACGTCGGTGGCAGTGTTAAAAATGACAAAACTGATTGAATTTGACTGACCTTCATTTACGGTCAAATTGGTCAAAAACTAGTCAAATTGTCATTTTCAGTCAGTTTGATTTGAAATGAAAATTATATTGTATTAAACCACCTTTTGCCCACGACTTTGCCCGCCCGAAATTAAAGTAACAGCCCAAGTAACATTTTACTCCATTTAAGAGTTCACATTTAGTTCCAATGTGTACTTAAAGCATTAGTACAGTTCACTCGTGATGTATAAGCTGTATTATTGCAATTAATTACACCTATACCTGTCTAAGGGACTTATAGGAGTGTAGACTAGTGTAGAGTTATACTTTTATACGATTGTTGGTGTTATAATACTCTAACAACTATCCTTTAGTCAGCCGTCTGACTAAGAGCATTATAGGAGGGTAGAGATACGGCAACTGCTGTTTAACGGCCTACTTGTACGATGTTATAGAGCTAGCATTTTAATAGAACACACGTGGTCATTTATAAAGCCAAAGGCTGTTATGTTTACTTGTTTTAGACTGTTATACAGCTAGTAGCTGTAGTAGGACTTGTTTGTGATTATCTCCAGTGGTTTAAAAGTAAACGACGTTTATTTAAAAAAATACTTTTTGGTTTTTGTGAATTTTACTCAATATTTCTATTTTTTTGTATGAAAAGGCAAAAAGTTTGTTCTAGAAATGAATTCGCCATCCTTTAATTATCCGAAAATGATACCACACTTGCCCTAATACCCATAGTTTTGAAGATATGGGCCTTAAAGTGAAGCGCGCCGGACGGAAACTTGCCCCCCCTCCCCCTGCTACCACAGGGGGGGCTCCCGATGTCTACCGACGGAAATCCACTCAGGAGCACTCAAAGAACCACTGTTGCAAAAATGAGCCTTCTATACCAAAGTGGAGGGGTCTCCATACAAATCATTGCACTAAATTCCCTACTATAATAAGGAATTGTGCCTTTACGTGGTTCAAGTTTACCCTGATCAGGAAAATTTGTATTACATGGTTCTTTAGTTTTACTAACTTTTTTGAAGTAGAAAGGAATCGTTCCCGGCCTGTGGCTAGCATTGGCTCCCCGTGACCTGTAGCCTGGTTTTTTAGGTAATATATTTGGATACTTAGTCTTACATAGATAGTGCTTATTGTAATCGATGGTGTCAATAAATTTGTTAATCATGTTAATAGAATTTCCAATTAAATAGTCATTACTTAAGTCTATATAATGTACATTTTTGGGGAAACATTTCAATACAGTTTGAATTTGAGAATTGAGTCTTTCCACATTAAGATACCGATTGTCGATAACGCTGGTCACAATTACTTTTGCTTTATTATGCTTTTTGAGTAAAAATGATAATTCTACAGTCAGTTTTGTTGGGTTTGTGTCATTTGATCCAAGGCATAGAACAAGCCAGTCATCCTCGCCTAGGTCCTCCGACATTATATTAGAGCAATTGATCGTATGCTCAATTTTTGCATTAGGATATACTCTTCCGGTGATCTCATACTTTTTGGGATTAATATAGTTAGATCTCGTTTGTGATAGCGATGGGGCCATATTTCGTGCCATTTGGTCGCCAATGATGATTATTCTAGGATTTCGCTTTTTGGCTGATCTTGCTAACTCTGGTTTCATACAAGTATTTGTCACGTCACCGCGTTTAATATTCCTTGTTGTCGAGGTTGTATTCGCATCCTTGTCATTTTTGCTTTGAGAGCTCTTCTTCAGGGAGGATGCCAGTGAAGATTGTTGTCCGTGCGCATTTTTAAGCTTACGAGTACTCGCAGTTTTCAACGGTGTAGACTTTCGTGGACTCGGTTCGGAGAGTAATTGTTTGTAAATGTTGCTTTTTTTCTGTTGGTTATCCATTTGCTTTTGGAGATCAATTATTTGTAGGTTCAGTCTCTCAATCTCTGCGTGAGCACTAGCTAGTTGCGTCTTGAGGAGGTTGACCTCGTCTGTAAGCTCTGTATTGTTATCGACAGACGATAAGTTTGGCAAACTTTTGGGCGTGTCTTCCAGTAGAGTTGATGAGTCACCACTCATGCAGTCCTCGGTTGAATTATGTAGAAGTTCATCTGAGGAGATGTGGAGTCTGCTTTTTGGCTTGCGCTGAGTTATATGGTCAATTTCATTGTTATTATGGTTGTTGCCAATACTACTGCTATTTTCTGATATTTCTAATGTTGTTTGTTTAGAGACTGTTGCGTGTTTATTTTTCCCAGCATTTTTTTGTATGCATTTGTCACATCGCCACTTTTTTTTCCTTTCGGAGTCCATTAAATTAAATCTAGCGAGTGAAACATTAGCACATCCTAAGTCGAGCCTCAGTTTGCATGTTGAACAGTTTAGGTACTCTCGTCTTGGAATATCTGATTTACACACATCACATTTTATTTTAAGTGCTATATTTTTCGAAGAAGACATTGTGACTTATTCCTTTTAATCGAGGTAAAGATTCCAATCCAATCCAATAAATAATAAATGTCAAAAATTTCGCCGATGGTGAGATCCGAACCCAGCGCCTCTGTTAGGTTTCAGTCGAGTGTTGTCTCCGCAGCGCCAGGTAGACGTTATCGATACTGACGAATTTAGTGGTCGTATGAAGTCAAGTAAAAAAGCATGTCGATCGACTTAGTTTCCAATACAGATGACAGATGTCACCACTGTCGCACTTAGCACTCAATATTGATGAATGATATTCTGGTCGAGCATTCTTAGTAGGGGATCGTTAGATGGCGTTAAGATCGAGTTTATCCGATAATAGTGTTTATGTTTCGCGCAGTAAGATCCAGAGTCCCACTTGTGTTATCACTCATTTAAATAAAATAAACCGCCACAATTAGGTTAATTCTGGTAAATGTCTTTAAGCAATAGTTTATTCACTGTGTTGTTGTCTCACTTATTGTTTATCGTTTACAGATTGGGCGCAAACAGTCAAACTTCACTTTGCATTAGTCACTGGCCTTTTTCACTAACATTTAATCACAGCACTCCTGAAGCGTTTTTCTTACTATCGTCTTTAAAAATCCAGTGGATAACACTTGTGCACATTATTCTTCAACTAATTCACGCTTGTATCACAAATTAACTTGATTTTGCTAAGTTTTGCTATTATTAAACGAGTAAAAATCACGGAGCCGATGTTTACTCGATGGCAGCGCCATCTAGTCTCATCATTACAAGCAAATTCGTTCCAGTGTCACACAGCTCAAAGGCAAAAGCGATGCGGAAAGTAAATACAATTCTTACGGTTCATATTCTAGCTTGAGGGAAAGTAGACATATTATTATGTTACATCAAAAACAATGTTGTTAATCCATGTTCCAAGATTTATAATAATGTGTGAAATATCCGTACCGCGCTCCTCTGGTTTATTTGGTGCGACAATCTTTGCTATCATTGTCTATGGTGCGATTTAAACTAGAAATAAGAACGTACCGGTGTGCGTCCTCATATGCAGCGTGAGGTTGGAGTTCTGTATGAAGGCCTTCCCGCAGGCGGCGCATATGTACGGTTTTTCTCCCGTGTGCGTGCGGTGATGCGTGTTGCGCGTCGACTCGTGCCGGAACCTGGACCATGACCATTTAAGAAACGTATCGAGTCATTACTGGAAGGTTTGAATGCAACACAGTACAAAAAGTAGATGATGTGCATCATTTTGAGCATCAAAAAAGTAAGAATACCGACCGCTTGAGGCAGTAGCGGCAAGAGTAAAGACCGCTCAGGGCAGTAGCGACAGGATTTCAGACTGCTTGAGGCAGTAGCGGCAAGAGTACCTACATAGTTACATATCACTTGGGGCAGTAGTGGTAGGAGAACATGCCTCTTGGGGTATTAGCGGCAGGAGTATATACCGCTTGAAGCAGAAGTGAACTAGCAACAGGAGTAAAGACCTCACGTAGCAATAGCGTTAACAATACGTAATGTCGGTATAGCCACGTGCAGCTTTGGACAGTAGCGGCAGCAGGAGTACCGACTACAACTTCTTATTCGTTTCGATCTTGGCAGAGCGGTCTTGGTCACGTTGTGGCGTTGCTTCACATCGGTTGTAGAGGCAGATACAATTCTCCGCACGATCTACAGACTATAGACTGCACGGGGCAGTATCGGCAGCAGTACATACCGCTTGGGGCATTAGCGGCAGGAGTACATACTGTTTGGGTTAGTTGCGACATGAGTACCTAACGCTTGGGGCAGTATTGAACTAGCGACAGGAGTAAAGACCTCATCGGCAGCAGTACTTACCGCTTGGGGCAGTAGCGGCAGGCGTGCGGCTTGGCATCCGAGTGCACGCGGCGATGTGAGCGTAGCAGCCGTGCGGAGGCGAAAGCCTTGCCGCACACGGCGCACACGCACGGCCGCTCGCCGCGGTGACCGGCCACGTGCTGCGCTAACGCACTGCTTTCGCTGTATCTGTGCACAATAATAATAACACGCTATAATGAAGGCATAAGTTCAAATACGACTATACGCAGCAGTTAGCTTCTGATGACGCGTCTAGAAGCTATTTTATAGAAATACTTAAAAAGCAGTATTGTCACAGCACCACATTGTCAGGAACTGCAACTGCACTTTGGCGAAATGACACCAGTCTTTAGTGAAATTGCGTTTTTACTTTACTGTAGAGATACTTTACTTTACTGTAAAAACGCAATTTCCCTAAAGACTGGTACAGCAATTTATGAAAAGGATTTGCGATTGCGGGTGTCGCGCATACGGGGTAATCCGCACGATATTAAAAACACCCACAGAAAAATATTTTAGGACCATCAATTATGACATCGTTCAGTTGGGTGGTCTGCATCGTTCAGGTGGTTTTTACCATCAATCACTAATTTTTAAGTGACCCCTATGGTAACACATAACAGGAATTTTGATTCCATAGGGGTCACTTAAAAATTAAGGATTGATGGTGAAAACGGGCATAAAGCACCTACCTCTTGTCGCAGACGGGGCAGGCGTGCTTCTTGTCGGGCGCCTGGCCGGTGTGCACGCGCGCGTGTCTCCGCAGCGCGTACAGCTCGCTGAAGGCCTGGCCGCCGCAACTTGCTGACGTCATCATCGTTGAGCTAGTGAGCTACACGTCCCAGCTCACCTCTTGTCGCAGACGGGGCAGGCGTGCTTCTTGTCGGGCGCCTGGCCGGTGTGCACGCGCGCGTGTCTCCGCAGCGCGTACAGTTCGCTGAAGGCCTTGCCGCACGCGCACGCGAAGCGCTTGGCCTGCATGTGCCGCTGCAGGTGCCGCCGCAGCTTCGGCTTGGCTGACATCAATAAAGTTCATTATCACTGGCGTACGCTTTGGACTCGCGCGCACGGGTGACTTTTGTCACCGTGACAGTATGTTCTTCCATAGATAAGAATAAGTAGCACGTTCTGGCTTTCTCTTTATAAAAGTGTAAGATTGAAAAGATACTTGTTACGGTGACAAGTCACACGTGCGCGCGAGTCATAACGCCTGTTTCAAAAACAGCGATAAGCACGTTTGCTGGACAGTTCTCGTACAGTTACCGCCTCAGTGCCGCGCCCATGAGAACCACACAGAAACTATGAGATCGCACGTGGCTAAACCAAGCCTAAGGCTATGGCTTAGTTCAGGTGGCCGTGCGTCAAAGAACATTTGGCAGTGGTGCGAGATTAATTATAGTGAATGAAAGTTTGCATGCCACAATTTCAAAAGTGAACAAGTTTGAAAAACAATATCTATTTCTTTCAATATTTCAGGTATTTCTAAACAAAACAAAATTAACAATAAAAAATCTTACCTTTAAATACTTTTTCACATGTATTACAACTCCATGGTGGACCAGTGCTGTGTACTGCTGAATGCACCTTCAAGTCATGCTCTGAGCTAAATATTTCTTTACATTTGGTGCATGGGTGTGAATGCTCATCAGAGCTATGCTTCCTCCTTATGTGGTCCCTAAGATTCTTGATTTTGCTGAATTTCTAAAATTGATATAGTAATATTCTGGTAAATAGAATATTAATTGTAATGGAGTTATTAAAATAGTCAGTTAATTACCTTATGACAGAAGCTGCAAGACTTTTGCTTATCCGGAGACTCTTTATGTGACATTACTTTCTTGAGTAGGGATTTTGAATCTGTAAAAAAATACAAAAAATTAATCAATAAAATTAATCATCCAGTTACCCAAATATTTGCTTAAAAATTTTGAGATATTTATTACCTGTGATAGTGATTTCTAACTCATCTCTGAAAAATAAAATGTTTTAATAAATAAAAAATCAATTCTGAACACAGTAAAAAAGAACAGGCAATTAATTAACTTACTTTACTTTGTTACCAGTATTTTGAACTATGCAAAGTGCTTCATCATCACTAGAAAAATTGACATTATCCTCCAAGTATTGTTCATCCATATCTGAAATTTATTTTAATTTTAATAAATAAAGAAATGAAAGGAGAAATGAAATAATTAAAATATATAAATATGAAGTTGCATAATACCTTCGATAGTTTCTTCCTTGACTTCATCTTTACAAATTGTTGAGTTATTCACACAAGTGTCACTGGAAATTTAGGACAGTATGCACTTTCAGACAATTAGTTGATTAAGTTGATAATAGTTCATTAAATAATAGAAATAGCCTATAAATAATTATTTTATACCTGTTGATATTGTCAGCATCTTGTGTTAACATAAACTGCTCTTTCATTAAAGTTTGTAAAATATACTCAGATTTTTCAAATTTGATTTTAAACTTGTAGCAGTGAATAACATCTGCCTGGCATGTGATACATATATTTAAAGGCAAAACATCATTTAAATTTATCTGAAACAAAAAAACAACTTTTATTTAGCACGTTTGAAGCAATCATAACTGGTTTCATTTTAATTTATTGCACTTTCTTAGAAATATATTGCTGAAGAGAAGACTTTAAGTGTCTTTGATGATGAAAAAGTTACCATGTCTTAAAAATATATTAACATACCTGTATTGAAGTAAATAACTTAATAATATCTACAAGAGTTTCAGTTTCATAATAAGTAGAACGCAATGGAATCATATCATCGTTCCCTAAAGACTTTAAGCAAATCCTGCACAAACTTTGGACTTTCAGACTTTTTGAGCTTAAGTCTTGAAATATATGGAAAGGTATTTCTATCTGTTCAGGTCCGCAGTTGTATGGTGAATTGTTGTCACCCATAACTTTTTCTTTCGATGCATTAGAAATATCAGGATCCATTTCTCTAGTATTCCATTAGTGTATTATTAAAAGTAATGCTCACACACTTGGCTTTAAATCTATAATACCTACTGGCAATTAAATAGTTAAAATTAATTAACACGATCAATTAAAATTTAAACAAACATTGTCGAAAAGCGAGACAACTTAGTCTATGTATTACTTTTCTCTATGAACTTAGTACTACGACTTTAGTGCCTGCCTACATTATTTTCAAAACTAATACTAAATGTCATTACGTATGCTTCCCATTGGCCAAACCGTAACTGAGATGAATGTTTATTGGTCACAGGATTAGTTCCACCAAGAATCCATGGGCACAAAATGTTTTTATTTATCACATCGAAAACGTCAAGATAACTAAATAGTTAACAACCGATAGAACGGTAAAATTACCGTTCTATCGGTTTGACAACGTCATATCGACAAGCGTCATGCTAGCTATTTTACCGTCCTGTCGGTTTGACAGTTATTATTTTTAATTCACCATTAGGATTTGACAAAGGAATCTGAGCCATGCAGCTATCATCTTTTGTAAACCCTTTTGTTTCATCAGGTTTCGTGTGGGTCTAGACAAAGTGCAAATTATAATCGCAAACCAGTCGAAAAGTGGTCGAAAAGCCCCTTTTTGTATGGAGTTTTGATGAATTCGATTTTCGATTCGATCAAAAAGTGCGTTTTGTCTAAGGGGGGTGGTTTCGTTTCATCAAAAGTCGCTAGGATTGTAGGCGACTCCAATTCAAGGTGGTTCACCTTCACGTCCCTAAAAATGTAGTTATNTAGTAGATAGAGACGTAAGGCAGATGACGTTGTCATTAACCAGCAACCTAAGCTATCTTTGTTAGACAGCAGACAGCAGCATGAGATAACCATCTGAATCTTTATCAGGGAATGGGAAGGCTGAATTGCACCACCTAACCTTAACAGTAACACAACAACAACATCACGATCACCGGTGTTATTATTTGTATGGAGTTTGTCAGATTTTTGACGTTTGACAAAGTTAAAGTAAGATGGTGCAAGATTCCGTGGAGGGTAGTTGAACGGGAAGNAGTATTAAAATAGCTGGGATATCGTTTTACAAAAGTACAAATTTCTCGGACATACATACACGGTAAAGGTAATACACGTATTCTTTGAAATAAGGGCCTACAACTCTCCAGGAACCATGCACCACATACCGCACGTATACACTTTTTTTGCATCTTAAAAGCTCTGATCATGTCAACTGAGTTACCCCATAAAGGCAGACCATACAACAGCACAGANTAGTCTGTTTCTCTTGATTTTAGGAAATAAATATTTTATTACCAAAAAAAATTTTTTTTTCAAACCTACCTATAATAATTATAATAACAAGCCTAATTAATCTTAAATTGCACAAAAAAGTAAGTAATGCGTGTATTAAACCCATTAAAGTAAAAAAATAATATTGTCCAGCTAGCTTGTTCTACTCGAATCACTGTGGCCCGGTGCGAGAGGGTGCAGAGCGTGCATGAAAAAAACTAGATACTGGTCTGGTCATTTTTGCGCCCCTCCAGGGTCTGCGCCCTGTGCCTGGGCACCGCTGGCACCGCCCTAGTTACGGCACTGGGTGCAGGCAAACTTTACATGTTTCATAATCTTGGCACCGACTCCAAAAGTATCAATCATGGTATACCTACATAAATATTAATAATTCGTCCTAATAAATAAGTAGGTAATTAGTAATTATTTTTCTACTTTTTAGTGTAGGTTTTTTGGAGTCGGTTTTTTTTTTTATAAAATTTTTCATACAAAAGTTTTTTTTATAAAATCCGATATATTAATTTTCATACAAAAGTTTTTTTTATAAAATCCGATATGCTCATGTTAACATGGGCTAGTGTCAGCTCATATACCCATTTACCTAACACCCTGTATACCTATACTAAGTAATATGGCTCTCAGTAGGTACCATAAGGACAAATAAATATCGTTTTCGTTATGGTATTTATAACGTTTTTTTTTGTGTGAAAACCTGAGCAACGCCACTATCTACCTACGGTAGTTTGTACTTATGGAATACGATTACTTACTATAATAATATATACGATAACAAGAGTGATTCGTGCTCGGGGTACTGCAATGGTCTTGATTACCTAACGGCTGTGACCCGACATCCTCACAGTTTACGAATCAAACGGCTTGATGAGGCAATTTCTATGACTAAAACTTAAACGCCATTCTGCTGTATTTTAGCGCAAAAGTGACTGGTAGGCAGTGCCCTTGAATAATGCTTGGTCTGGTCATTTCTGCGCCTCTCCAGGGTCTGCGCCCTGTGCCTGGGCACCGCTGGCACCGCCCTAGTTACGGCACTGCTGGTAGGTACCTATCTTGCAGGAGTAAACAAATGGTCCTGTTTCATAACTATTCCTACTGACGGTGGAGAATATTTTTGGTAAAATGCTTTCCGATCGAAATCAAAAATATTGTGTGGCTAAAACAAAGTTCTGCTACTTTGGACCGACAAGTGCAGTGCGTGCGTAATCGCTCTAAAGGGGAAGAAAATACAAAGGACAAGTGAGGACGCCTGCAGGTCACCAGCTATCAATTGATTGTTATTGAGAAAAATATTTACGATGGAATGTCTGCATCGTGTTCCTATCAGAACCATAAATAATATTGAAACTGCGACATCATACGTATTGTTATTCTTTTTTATTTTTATAATAGTTATTCGAGCTTCTACCAAAACATTGGTCCAAATGCTGTGCGCTACCTACTTGAGCGCAGTATCGAAACCACGCGCGTCATCATCATGTTAAGATACTTGGTTCGTTTACCGCAAACGATACAAACAGTTATTGTAAGTACTTCGCTAAATAGGCTTAGTTAAATTGCTGGATACATAAATCATACTCAGTCAAATAATGAGATGAATAGACAGAGCACATGTTTTTATCATGCTATTATTTTGTATAAGACGTATTTTGCCCTCTGTGATAAGGATGACCCAAGTATGAGATAAGGTCGGTGAACGCGGCGCGGGCGGGCGACGCGACGGGCGCGGCGGCGCTGCTCCTGCGCACAGAAACTCTTCACCCTCAGGGCTGGTACGTCGCACGACAACCTGCCACACGCTCTCAGTGTCCACCACTATGTTTATTGGCATCACCACTGGAGACAACGTCAATTCCCACTACGACTACCTGATTTGAACTACGAAAGGTGAGCATCACGAACTAAGCATCGCACTTATCGAAGGTCAACGGAGGCGGCGGTCTTCCGAAACGTTTATAAATAATGTACGCTATTAAGATAGGGAACGAGATAGTGGTGTAAAATTTGCTGTGCGAGATGGACGTTATTGAAAGCAGCTTTGGCTGCAAAGAGTAATTTCTAAACAAACCCGGTAATCTAATGATCCCCTAATATTATATGTAAGTGTTTTCCCTTTCTGAGATTTTCTGAAAGTTTTTAAAACTGTATTTATCTGAACAAAATTAAGATTTAAAAAACTGAAACGTTTTTTCTTTCAGACGTGTCTTAGTGAAAAAACACCACAATCAATATGGCACTGGACTTCGTAGCAGGATGCATTGGAGGCAAGTAACTTTAAAATTAACGACTGCTTTATACGTGACTTTGAATCGGTTTGATTTTTAACTATGTTCGAATTTTCAGGTTGTGCCGGTATTATAGCCGGACATCCCCTAGATACTTTAAAAGTACATGTACAGTCGGGACGAGGAAGTGCAATAGAATGTACAAAGGCTCTCTTAAAAGGAGGGACTTTAGCGACTGCGTATCGAGGCGTTGGAGCGCCTTTAGGTGGAATAGCAGTAGTGAATGCAATCGTATTTGGAGCCTATGGAAATACAAGAAGATCTTTACCAAATTCTAATTCACTGTCAGCACACGCGATCGCTGGCAGTGCAGCGGGAGCACTACAAAGCTTTGCTTGCGCGCCGATTGAGCTCGTAAAGACCCGACAACAACTAGCCCAGCCAGGAGAGGGCATGCCCACCGGAGCGTGGTCTGGAGCCCGACACATTATACGGACTGGAGGTATCCGAGCTCTCTTCCGAGGTTTGGGTATAACTATAGCTCGTGACAGCCCGGCCTTCGCAATATACTTTACATCCTACGAAGTCATGACTCGAGGTGACCAGTCAGTGGCGCGAGTGTTTACGGCGGGAGGCGTGGCCGGCATGCTGTCGTGGATTTTGCTGTACCCGATTGACGTGGTGAAGTCGAGGCTACAAGGTGACGTGGTGGGGCGTTATGCCGGGGCGTGGGACTGTTTTGTGAAGTCAGTGCGAGCCGATAGATGGAAGTGCATGAGCCGGGGGCTGGGAGCGGTGACGCTGCGCGCGTTCATCAGCAACGGCGCATGCTTCACGGCCGTGGCGTGGACGGAGCGCGCCTGGCAACACTACGCCGCGCAGGCGTCGGTCACCCCCCTCGTCCGGGCAACGGGCATTAGCGATGCTATGTACAATGATCATGTTGAGCGATACTATGATATTTAAGAGCTTATAGCGTTTTGCTAGATACGGTACTCAGTAATTAAGGTAAACGGCTACTAGTTCGTGATAGTACGTAAGTTCGTAAGTTTTTTTTCTAGCTCAAATAATAAGCAAATGGAATATTATTTATAAAAATTCTTTATTACTATAAAAACTCTATTATTTAAGCTATTTTAAAAAACCAAGTACCAACATTGTGGCGCCAAAAATGAGAGCAATACGAAGCTTCAAACTCTCAGAGAGCCAAAAACAGCCGTGCGGCGTGAAAATGTTGCTCTCACTGTAAGGTTAGCGCTCCAACTTCTTAAGCTTATAAAAAGGCGAAGAAACGTCCATTTGCATAAAACTTGTAATGGTGGTGTCATGAGTTCCTTGACAATTGATTTGGCTTAGAAAAAAGTTATATGAAAACGTAGAATTACTTTAAAATTGCGATTAATTGACTCACGAAATAGCGTACATATTATTTTTCGGGTGTCCCCTGTTTCGTGATACTACCGAATCAAGGATATTATGGATAATATTTTGATGCTTGGTTTTTAAATAATTATTTATGATAGTTGAAATGTAAGTTATGAAATAAATAATACATTTATTTAAGTTTCTCATGATCTAAATTCGGTATATGTTTCGTTCACTAGAATTTATATGACACGGGTTTGAAGTTCACATAAATGACCAATTTTAAGATAAATTAGCATAAGTACTACCAGGGTAATTTCGGTTTTAATTCGATTCGTTTTATTTAACTTGGTTTATTTGTATTTTACATGGGATAGATAATAGTTAATTGACACAATTTGACAATAATCCATGAATTTTACTTGGGGAATTTGGAATAATCAGTATCACGAAACAAGGTACCGTAATTATTGTTACTTTTTCCCAAGTTCGTGATATATAAAAGTATAGTGTTAGGTACTTGTATGACACAAATAACATCAAAGAAATCGACATATTTTTTAGTTTTTAATACTTACCTACCTAAGTAATAAATTAATTAATTTTTATGATGAGCCATTGGCGTATATGGGGTTATTTTCAGGGGGGGGGNTTGGTTATTTTTAAATAAAATGTCAAAGTCGTAAGAGCCTTAATATACCGAAGTAGGGGGCACTTACCTTAGGCGGTAATTACTTATTAGCAATTGTTTTTATATTATTAAAAGTAAACAATCAAATTGTTTCTTTACTTAAGTAATCATAATTTGAATTTTTAGCAGTGATAACTTATGATATTATTGTCATACAATAATAGATGAATCTGTTTCACAAGAGGTTGTTTTGTATTATAGCTCCTCGTCTGCAGACAGGTATAAGTTAAGTAGGCAGTCACACAAAATTAAACAACAGTAGAGATTCTTATTAAGGCATTATAATACTTGTCAGAAAAATTTCATACAATTTTCAAAAATATCCATTCCAAAAATACAGGAATTATTCACACTATGAAAATATCACAACATATAAATATGCCAAAACTGCTACAATAATAATTGTAAATATTTTAAAAATAAAGAACGGTTACGTTATAATTTTACATAATATTAACTTCACTCTACGGGTTCCTAAGGGCTTTTTTCTTTCATCTTACTGATTATAATGAGATAAGTAGTTACTCAAATTAAATGCAAACCATCGTAAACTGGAGAGATTCGGAAGGACGCCTGCAAACAACAAAGGAAGAGTTAGTAAACCTATCAGAGATTCATGAGAAGGATAAAATTTATTTATTTTACTTTAGATAAAAAATTCCCAGAATGATGAAACCGCACGTTTCTTATTACATTCTTACCCAGCACTTAGAAGAAATGCGTGGCGCTATCCAGTATTAATTGGTTTCAATAAGTTTTAAGTAGATTTTAGCTTGCTCATGCTTTTATTTTATCTTAACATATTGGAACAATATACTATCGGTATGAACTTCAACTGGGGAAAAAACATAACGACCACGCAGATGACATGACGTCATTGTTTTAATATAACAAGTCAATATGATTTGAGATTATTCTAGAAACTTGTAGGCACATCGACGTCCTATCTGTAATGTTTTTGTTTAGCCAGTCAGTAACGAGATAAATTATCTATGCCCTCTTGCTTGCCTGTATAACATAGATCGGTATATTTATTGAATGACAGAAACTGAAAGAATCAAGAGAAACCGCAAAAATAAAATTTTGCTACACTACGCTACGATTCACCTGCTGCTACGAATTCGTAGTATGCTACATGCTACGTGCTACGGACGTAGAACATAATTACGCTACGTGCTACGTTTGCTATAAGGTCATATTTTATTGTAACGTATTAAAACGCCAAAGCGTTATTATTGTGAATAGGCTAGTTGCCTAAAAAAACTTAATCCGACAAATAATCATCAAAAAATATTGGACACGTACATTTTTATTTTTCAATCAAACAAGTAATTAGAGTAATTACGAAGTTATGGTACGTTGAAGTTCCGCATGACGTCACACAATGCTACACTTTTAAGCACTCCATGACATCATGGGCCTTTTCTTTTGAACTTTGGCGCGCTTAATCTCTCAATTTTCATTAGTTTGATAAAGTGAAAAAACGTGTTGAGTATTTTTGATAAGTTAACTGAATGGACTAATTCCACCTTGCTTTTTTACCCAGTAAACATCCCTATTGGCTACGTACAAAGGTAATACTTTGTACGTAGTAAGCTACATTAACGCCGAGTCCGCACTAGGGTTTTATCCCGCAAGCGGTAAAGCGGTAACCGCGAGACCGCCGGAAACGTATACGCGGAAAAAAGTTGCAGTGCGGACGCTTGCATTAATTTACTTGGTTATAGAATCACGCGGTTAAAAACCGCGGCGGTTTAGCCGTAGTGCAGACACGGCCTAAGAGATTAGAGGTTTATTTTACTGTTTACCAACGAGGGATCTGTGTACGGAGGAGCACGTCAGTCCTGCTCCATGGGCTGGGGCGGCGGTGGCGGCGGCGGCACGGGGATGTTGTTGGCGGCCTGGTTCTCCACCAGCCCCAGCTGCTCCAGCATATCGTCGTTGTCTTCCATCAGGTGCACCTGCAGAAAAATAACCGTCGCAATAGTGGATTTCATAGAGCGGCAGAATTTAAAGGCGGCGAATTCAGCGCCAATTTTTTTTCTGTGGCAGTGGCGGATTTACCAAAGTATTAAATGAGGCTGGGTATAAGGTATGGCAGTAAATTCGGGAGCGAATCTTGCAATATTAAAAGGCACTCAGATAAATAATTATACCTATCGAATTGTAGAGGGTTACTTATTATACGTGTAAGTCTGCCAATGAGCCGGGCCTTCATGTAACTACTTACTACTAGCAAAAACTTGGAACCCCGAGTATAAGGAAGATGTATAAGGCGAAACATTTTTTGCTATTCATTAATACTATATTTTTATAGATATGATCGAATTTAGGTCTTCGGTACTCATTTGAGGTTATCTAAAAACTGATAAAAATTCAGAAAAATCTTGTAGTAACTAGACTGAGTGAAGTAGATCTGTTTAAATTGGGCTACATTGGTTTCGTTCTAAGTTTTTACTGGTAATATCTAGATTTAACCAAAATATGAGTATGATGTGGTCTTGTAGGATGTCATTAATTTTTTTTTTTACATTGTTCCTGTTATGGGATCGTCTGCACTAGAGGGCGCGCCGTGGGCGCTTGGGTCTCGGCGTCTGCGTGTTACTGTGATCCTCCTCCACTTTGAATGAGGCCTAAATGCTTCGTCATCTAGTGGAACTATCTACTGTTTAAGCCAAGTTTAAAAGAAGGGGAGGCGTACACTAACGTCAGGCAGCGCAGTTCGATGCTGCCCGTGGCGGGCGGTCTCAGACAACAGGATCTTTTGCCGCTTCTCCTCCATGAGCCGCTCGCGGTGCTTGTGGATGTAGTCGTAAACGTTCGGCAGGCCCATGATCACGCACGCCGACAGCGCCGACCGGTAGATGTTCATGTCTGTCGCTTCGTACCTTTCCGACCAATCGTACGTAAATTTAACCTCATTAGCATATTCGTAGCAAAGATGTTAGGTTAGAAATACTTAAATTAGTTTAAATGCTAGAGATATTGAGTAGGATAATCGATTATTACGATCAATTCTAATAAACCAAAAGCTAGAGGGAGTGAAATCATGTTATTACGGTGCGGCAAATTATGTGTGATCTCTTTTGTAACATAGCCGATAGCTATTGAATATGAGTACCTACCTAATCTTGAACCTTAGTAATATTGAAATAACTATTATACCACGTTTCATAAACAGTTGTTAGCGTTCTTTGACAGTAACTTTTAAATATTCGGCTCCAAAATATTGCATGAAATGAGTCATAAAGTCAAGTGATGTAACGTAACGTGCAAGCTTATTAATGGTGTAAATAAGGTGGCAGTTGACGCCTGGTTATCAGTAGCCAATTAACTTTTGATGCTGTTGTGGGAGCGTCCATTGATAAGAATGTGTTCGCGATAAGTCATTAAGTATTATCTGCTAACTTTGGATAAGTTAGTGCGTTGATATTTTGCTTTTTAAGTTAAATAATGAAATATTTTGCTTGGTCATTCTTACGCATTCATTGTTATTGTATTTTTGATCCAACGTGGTAAGAAATGTTTATATTTATCTTCATTAATAATAAAGCTAAAGAGCTTGTTTGTTGGAACACGCTAATCTCAGGAACTGACTACTGGTCCGATTTGAAAATTTATTTTTGTGCTGGATAGCCCATTTATTGAGGAAGGCTTTAATTTAAATAACATCACTCTACAGCCAATAGGGGCGGAACAGTAAAGAAATGTTGTAAAAACGGGAAATACAAACTATTTTCACGGAAATGAAGTCGCGGGCACAACAAGTACATGTATAAAAGTGAGCAACTCACCACTCATTAGTTTTTTCATCATAGCACTCCACATGATAAATCGTAGTGACGCCGTTGAAGCCGCCAATGGCAAATATCATGTCATCTATAACTTCTATAGCGAAATTACTGCGAGGGTTGTACATGTCAGGTACGGGGGACCAGGTATTTGTAGCCGGATCATACACTTCACCACTGCACATTCTTGAAATACCATTAAAACCACCTATCACGTAAATCTGTTGAAATTGAAAACACATCGCCAGCTTAGAATCTAAACTATTTATTTGTAAGAAAAGGCAATCCGATCTTTGGATTTTTGAAGATAACGAAGCCCACATCTAAGGTACATAAATAAAATCTACATATTATAATCATTAATCAATGAATCTACCTAAATACCTTGTTGTGGTATGCAATACAAGAAACACCGGATCGACGAGAGCGCATCGGTGCTAAGTTGGTCCATTGATTCGTGTCTGGATCATACACTTCGACGCTGTTCATGCATTCTTGTCCATTGAAGCCCCCCGTGATGTAGATTTTATCTGTGTCAGAAATATTTTTTGTTATTTGTCAGCTAACAATATTACAGAGTTAATTAAATTCATTAAAACTTACTATCGAGAGCTGCTGCGCTTGCATCTGACCGTTGCGCATTCATGGGTGCAACCAGTGACCACTGATTCGTTCGGTGGTTAAATCGCTCAGCCGTATTTTGACGATGGTGCCCATCATATCCACCCATCGCGTATATCGTTTCACCTAATACAGCCACTGATACATAACACCGACGTGCATTCATTGGAGCTACCTAGACAAACACATAATTAAAAAAACAAAATGGACTCTATTTGTTTTACTTAAAATGACATTACTCACCTCTCGCCAAGTCTTAGTAACAGCGTCAAAGCATCTACATGAATTGAAGTAATCCATTCCATCAAAGCCACCGATCACATAAATGCAGTACCCAAGGACTGCCGTGCCATGGTATGCTCTAGGTCCAGCTGGGTCCACTTCTTCAACCTTTTGTAATTTAAAATGAATTTGACATGGGTTCTCCAGAACCTTATACAATAAGTTAGTAAGAAAGTATTTACATTGCATACCTTTATCCAGCGATCAGCTCTTGTGTCGTAGGTTTCAATAAAAGCGGTAGGAGAACCTCCACTCCAACCCCCGATAGCGAACAGGACCTATAGAACAAATCTTGAGGAAATGTTCTCGTTTCTTTTTAACTATTGGTTAGCTAACTGAAATAAAATAAGTGATACCTCATGAGGGACTCTTGGTCGAGCAATCTCTGGCGTGGCCACTTCGCCGTCTCTTTGCGCGATCATCTCAAGGTCATACAAGAACTTTAGGGTCTCTATAATGATCGGACGTGAGCCCTCATTGCCAGTCACGTATGGATGATCTTTGACGTTTTCCAGAAAGAACTGTTAGAAGAAAGAATATTGTATTTTGTAGAGTTCCTATTATAGCATAAATTAAAAAAGTTAATAGATATTAGGGTCTAACTTGTGTATCGAGTAATCCAAGCCGTATGCTGCCCATCAGTTTGACGGTGTGCTGCCAACGGAGATCGGGGTCATAATTAACCCAGCGGAGCACGGCTTCCCAGACCACTTCCTCACTTTTCACATTGAGCTCGTCTTCGAGTATTATGGAATTGAGCTCATCTAGGGGTAGGTGTAGAAATTCATCACTTTGAGTTGCAACTGTGACGAAGTAGCGCAACAAGTACCGTCGAGCGTCAGCTTCAAGTTTGTAACAAAACACACGCCTGTAAAAGAAATGTATTCTTTTACACATCCTTCTTCTTTGTCAAGACTTAGTGATTTTATGGATACGTGCACGTTTGAAAAACGTTTGTTTGGTTTAATGACGGTAAAAATGAGAGATACCTGGCGAACATCATGATGCCAAGGCAGTTCTTCGGGCTGAGCGAGGTTCGGAGGTGGTCGCAGCACAGCTGTAGGACTCCCAGGAAGGCCAGGTAGTCGGCGGTCATCAGCAGCTCGTGCACGTTGGTGTCTGATACATCGATGCGCCGCAAGTACGCGTACTCGATCAGGAGCAGCAATATTTCAGAGCGCACTCCCGATATCAGCACGTCACTTTGCTCACGAGAATGAAGAGTTGTTGTAAATAGTGCCCTAAAAACACAATAAAATTCTAAATAAGTGCATTTGTAATTTACTTCTTTATGCCAATTTATCATCAAAAACTACTAAGAACTACGAAATTCATCTAAGTAGAACTCTACGAAACATACTTGTATAACTGTGTTACCACGATGCAGACTGTGTTGTAAAATGCACCTGCTCGTTAACAAGGACCTTAATATTTTAGATTTAAGGTTTAAAAATCGTTTACTTACAGGAAATATGGGCTGCAGGCAGAGAGTATGGCGCGGTGCACGGGGAAGGCGGCGCCGTCGTCCGCGCGCACGATGGCGTCGCACAGCAGCCGGCACTCGCGCAGCCGGTGCAGCGCCTGCATGGCCGCCACCGACATGCACCGCCCAGTCTCGCGACCCGCCGTCTGCGGACACAAGCTTGCCAGGAAACAACCTTAACTTCGAACTCCTCCTATGTTCATCTGATTAATTTCGTTGCGGGTCCAATGACAGTTTAACTTTCCCCAGGGACAAACTACACCTTCATTGGTTGGGTTTTTATTGGCGGTCAAGCTGTAGATCCTGGCTACACAGGAGTGTGAAGTGTGACGTGAAGTAACTAAACCTAGTTATACGTCCCACTAGGACTACTCGTGGNACTCGCGCAGCCGGTGCAGCGCCTGCATGGCCGCCACCGACATGCACCGCCCAGTCTCGCGACCCGCCGTCTGCGGACACAAGCTTGCCAGGAAACAACCTTAACTTCGAACTCCTCCTATGTTCTTCTGATTAATTTCGTTGCGGGTCCAATGACAGTTTAACTTTCCCCAGGAACAAACTTGACCTTCATTGGTTGGGTTTTTATTGGCGGTCAAGCTGTAGATCCTAGCTACACAGGAGTTGCAGCGGTGGGAACGAGAGGTGGGAATAATCCCGTTGCCAGGAAAGAGCAATATGAAGTAACTAAACCTAGTTATACGTCCCACTGGGACTACTCGTAGAGCCGGTGCAGCGCCTGCATGGCCGCCACCGACCATGCATCGCCCAGTCTCGCGACCCGCCGTCTGTGGACACAAGCTTGCCAAGAAAGAGCAAAGCGAAGTAAGCCAGTACATCCCAATGGGACTACACTCGTAGAGCCGGTGCAACGCCTGCTGCATCATAAGCTTGCCAAGAAAGAGCAACGCAATGTAAGTCAGTACGTCCCATTGGGAATCGATAACCTTGCATTAGAAGTTTAGCTGCAATGATTTAATTTATATGAATACGAATAATACCAACTATCCAATACATAGTTGTATTAATTAATCAAAAGGCAGAGGGAAGTAATTGAACGGTACGATTACATAATTACCTATTAGAGAGTTCAGAGGGTACGGATTGAGACTCTTTATGTATTTTTTTTACATAAACGTGCCTGGTCACGTGATGTAGGAGACTAGTGCACGCTTTCACGCCATGTAAGATGTCTGACTGAACTCATAGGTCATACTTTATGCGGTTAAAAGCGAACAGGATGTTGGTAGGTAAGTAGTTTTAGTACATTTAAATAACTAGGAACTTCATAATTAATGGAGTTACTTACTTTAGAGCCTCTACAAAATTATCAACAAATCTAAAAAGACCTTTCTAAACTTAAAAAAAAAAACGATTTGCCTAAGGTCTCACGGTCACCTTAACCTTTCTATACAGTGTGAGTCACGTTAAAGTGTACATATGAAAATAGATGAAACTAGACCTATTTTTATCGACAAAAAAGAGGTCAAAATTTTTTTGAGATTTTTTTTAAATTTTTTATAGAATTTTTTTTCTTCCGATTACTTATTGTAAAGAAAACGTAATAACTTTTAAACTAAGCGGTATATCCTGATAAAATAAAAACAGTAATAATGCTAAATAACAGGCGATACTAAAAAAATACATAAAATACACAAAAAATGCCAACAAATAATAAAAAATAAAACGTTTTGAAAAAAATCTGCTTAAAAATTCGTGTTTTTTTGGTTATTTGATAAATTTCTCCAAAAAATGCCCCTATAACAGGTGGTTTTTATTACTTTGTATTATTCTCTATTGTATTACCTTCGTAAAACCAAAAATCGCATGTCTCTATCCCTATCACAACATTTGCAATGATCGTTTGAACTAAGCCTCTCCGGGCGCGCCATTCAACGCTTCGTTAAGAACGAAACTGAAAATGGCTCTAGATTTGTAATTTTGATAAAGACAAGTTAGATTTCAAATAAAAACAAAAGATTTCGAAGTAAAATAAGCATTTTAGTTAAAATTAAAATTGTCTCTACCTGTAGCGGACAATAATGTTGTGGCCGGCCTTTGTTCAAACGATCACAGCAAATGTTGTGATAGGGATAGAGACATGCGATTTTTGGTTTTACAAAGATAATACGATAGAGAATAATACAAAGTAATAAAAACCACCTATTATATGGGCATTTTTTGGAGAAATTTATCAAATAACCAAAAAAACACGAATTTTTAAGCAGATTTTTTTCAAAAAGTATAATTTTTTATTATTTGTTGGCATTTTTTGTGTATTTTATGTATTTTTTTAGTATTGCCTGTTATTTAGCATTATTACTGTTTTTATTTTATCAGGATATACTGCTTAGTTTAAAAGTTATTACGTTTTCTTTACAATAAGTAATAGGAAGAAAAAAAATTCTATAAAAAATTAAAAAAAAATCTCAAAAAATTTTTGACCTCTTTTTTGTCGATAAAAATAGGTCTAGTTTCATCTATTTTCATATGTACACTTTAACGTGACTCACACTGTATTTATTTCACCTGCTAAAATCAAGGTCTTATAGAGACTAAGACCTACTTCAGGTAACTAATGACTTATATTTAACATTTTTGGAAAGTAATTTTTAAAAGATTTACTTAAAAAACAACAACTTTTTTCCTTGTCCAAAAAATGCAATGCAATGTCTACCTTGATGGTGTATTTAATTAAATTGTCGTATGATGCTAAAAATCACATTAATGTTGACCTCTTTTTTAAAGTAAAGTAAAAAGTCTTATTTGAGTTTATTGTATTGTTAGTATTGAGTATTCGCCTTTAAACAAAACAGTAGGTAGGTAGAGTCGTCGGCACTTTATACTGTATTTTTAGTTGGAAAATAGCACGAATTACAATCTGTACAAGGTGCTATAGTATTTAGCCTGATATGCTGTTGTCTTTACTACATACAGAAGATTAGATATCCGGGCTATCCTCCTCCAACAAGATAAACAATGTTCATTAACATAAATGATCCGAAAAATATTATTTCGTTAATTAAGTATGACGAACTCTAATAGTAATACAATCGTTATTAATCCACATTAGTAAGTTACACAAGTATTTAATAATCGAGAAATCGAATCAATATGTGACCTTAGATAACAATACACATTAATTTTAACTAAGTTTACGTTGATTCTACAAATTAGAAGAGAAGCTTACACGAAATCTTCCTCTGGTCTACATTCATTGCTGTGTAGGTATTATCTGTGGTTTGTTATTGTCGGAAGGGTCAGGCGGGTCCCGTAAGCGGTGCAATCTGGATATCGCTCATACTGCAAGCTGGTCGTATGCAGTCGAAGGTAGGTACTTACAGTGTTATTCGGGTCGTTTTCCATTTTAGACTTAACGCAAAGTCATCATTATAAATTGTCACGCGTTAAAATTCTTAAGTGCAAGATGAACGTGTCACGACACAATCGAGATTTAGCTCAATAAATTTATAAAAATAACCGTAAAAAATAACTCAAAACAGCAAAATCAAGTCATTTGATAAAACATTTTAGGTTAGCAAAAAAATGATATAAGAATGACAAGCATGTCAAACCTTTTTTTTCCAGATGACATTACTGTATAGCAGTATTTTCATTTTCAGCGTTTGCCTCGCTGAATCAAAACATTTGTTTACTTTTTCAGTGGATGACGGCCGCACTAAGCTCAAAAACGCTCTATTAAAAAGGTTTTAATTTAAAAAATGTATAGGGGATTCTGGAGTCTGGACTTTAAAAATAATCAATTCATTGTTAATTGATTGTGATCATTATGACCTAGGCTGACTATGATACTTTAGGTATGGTAGATANTATGTATGGCAGCAATTTATTACGTGACATATCTATATACAGGGTGTTTGGCGCATCGTGTGCCAAAATGATTTGGCAGATAGAATGGGTCATCTATATATATAAAAGAAAGTCGTGTTAGTTACTCCACTTATAACTCAAGAACGGCTGAACCGATTTAGCTGAAAATTGTCAGGGAGGTAGTTTAGAGCCAGGAGAAGGACATAGGATACTTTTTATCCCGTTCGAAATAAATAAAAAGTCTGCTTATTTATTGCCATTAAGGCGGAACAAAGTTCGCCGGGTCAGCTAGTTTTATATGTAGCTAGGGTACTGCGTTAGTGGTGGCAGTTCAATAATGGAACGAATTTTTCAACAGTGAGAGCACTAAGCAGTGCTCACCACAGATAAGGATAGATGCATGCNCATTTTTCTAGGACAACAGAGAAAAAAATGTTTTCTGAAAATCATAAATTATTAAATAATTCCTAAATTACTGCAGCAATAACCATTTATTTTTACATGAAGGTAGACGTTATAGTGATAGGTAAATTTATTTACAAAATTCTGACTTAATGTAATTTTTTTTGAAAATATGCTTCTAAAACAGTTTTTTTTATAAAATCACAAAATCGAATATTTCTTCGAAACTAAACAAATACAACTACTAGTTCCTTCATCAATTGTATACATAATAGTAATATCTAACGATTGAATTAATAAAACAGGGATGTCCGCTTCTAAGGCAAAATAAAAGACTGTGCGGTGTGCACTCACACAAATGCAATTCTCAGCTTAAGTTGAGAGGACTGTATTTCCGCGCAAAATTTTCCGTTCCGAAATACACTGTGACTGTAAAGTGTGACGTCAGTCCATTATAGGTACTGTCATACCCATTTTTCGAACCCCTTTTTTCGTACTACTGTTTTGAAATGAAATTAATATCATGGACAAAGTCTCTGTTCAACAAGATAAAATATTATTTGAATGTCGTGTTACTGGGAATTTTTAAATCTCCAAGCACGCTGTTATGTTTTTTTATCACATCGTCAAAGTACTGTATGTATGGCAGCAATTTATTACGTGACATATCTATATACAGGGTGTTTGGCGCATCGTGTGCCAAAATGATTTGGCAGATAGAATGGGTCATCTATATATATAAAAGAAAGTCGTGTTAGTTACTCCACTTATAACTCAAGAACGGCTGAACCGATTTAGCTGAAAATTGTCAGGGAGGTATTTTAGAGCCAGGAGAAGGACATAGGATACTTTTTATCCCGTTCGAAATTAAAAAAAAAGTCTGCTTATTTATTGCCATTAAGGCGGAACAAAGTTCGCCGGGTCAGCTAGTTTGCTGTGTGAACATGACCAGTACTGACCGAGCTGCAGCCGCTTGCTGAGGTAGTGGCTGACGGTGTCGAGCGGCGTGTTACACTTGAGCACGCGCTCGTCGTCCAGGAGCCCCAGAGACTCCAGTAGGGACTGCTGCTGTGTGAACATGACCANATGTCAATGAAGTTTTCAGTTACTGTTGCCATCAAAAGAAATTAGTACCATTAGTTTTCCGCAACATGGGGAGGGTTTTTATGTTCCTGGTCAGGCTATTACTTTTGCGTTCGGCACCACTTCCAAATTAAAATGTTTATTAAAACATGGTATCAGATGGAAATCGAGCATCTTTAATTATTTCTGAAGAAACCTCTCACAAATTCATTCATCCAGGCTAGGAAAAATAGTACAATAAAAATACAAAATACTTAAGATTGCATTTTATTAAGTTAAAAATAGAAAAATTATATCATTCATACATGTATAAATACTTAACTCTAATACGAGAAGTAGGTACCTACCTACTACACTAGTGCTTATGAATAATACGCAATAAAATCAAACATAAATATTTACAAATCTAAATACAAAAGTAAAGAATTTCAGTCTCTGAAACCTACTTATTTCAGTACCTAGTTTATTTGTCGACTTTTCCTGACAGTAAAAATTTTAAAACAAGATAACAAATTGTATTCATGAGTAAAACCTCATGAAGTTAGTAGAAAATCTCAAGATCAACGTTAATATTATTTAACAAATGCTAAATGTGGGCTGAAATCATCTGCATTTTGTTTTTTCTTCACGCTTGAATGCTACTTGACAGTTAATGTAATTTCAGGAAGTTTAGTTGAGTGGTGTAGAAGTCTCTCTAGCTGTAATGCCGTCGGCGCGCAGCCTCGACAGCAGCGACTTGTAAACGACGGGCGCGAATGGCAACACCACGCCTCGCTCCTGGATCTCTCCTGCACACGGAAAATATTTTTGTCAATTTATACTAAACACTTGAAAATTAGACGAAATTATTTTTGGCATTACTAATTGGAAATTCAAGTTCAAGTCATTATTTATGTATGTTAATTATTATTGCAGATTAAGAAGTCTGCTTGTAAAAAAAGAAATCCTTATTTGATACTGAAAATTTTGTACAGAAAAATGACACATGTTGTGGGTGAGTAAGTAAGAACCAAGACTTGGCCATTTCCAGTCAGTTTCAGTTCTATCTCTAGTTTAGATGAGAAACAATTGGTACATGTTATATTAATTTAAAAAACGTTCCGAAAGTACCACTATAAGTACACTACTTATCGCTTACTTTACCTACCTCNCCTACCCCTATAGAATCTAACACTGCAGCCAGTTAACTTCAAAAATCGTGCCCAAAACCCCACCAAGACGACAAGTCCACTTACCATCTAGCACCATCTTGGCAGCGATAGCGGTCGGCAGTCCGACCGTCCTGGCCATAGCGGTGTGCGAGGCGGGGTCGCCGCGCACCGTCATGGTGACTTCCCGCCGCTCCTTCTTGCCGTCGCTCCACGTCACGCCCACCTCGTGGCGGAGGACCACAAAGTCTGTCTCGTCTTTGTCTGGAGAAAGGGACATAAAATGTCTCTTCAAAGCCATCCATAACCTTTTCTACAGTTTAAGAGCTTTAAAAATAATATTTCTTCAGCTCTCTCTACTTCTAGCGAATAGTCGCTAAAAGAGATTTTTTCAAACAAGGACTTTTGCATAAAAAAATTTTGTGGTGAATTGCGAAGCCAGAAGAAATAAGGAAAGGTTATTTTAAAAGTATCATCGTAATAAAGCCAAATAAAAGCTTACAAAAACTTGGTCCTAAATTGGCGCCCAACGTGGTGCAACGATTGTTCGTGATCGTGACTGTCCCATGTGTGACTTTACTTTCAGCTTATTTAACCATAACAATAGAATAGTTAGTGTTTTTATATGTGAATAGCGGGTTCCATTGAAGTTGACGAGTCCTCAGCCCATCAGGACTGGCCGTGTGAACATGACCAGTACTGACCGAGCTGCAGCCGCTTGCTGAGGTAGTGGCTGACGGTGTCGAGCGGCGTGTTGCACTTGAGCACGCGCTCGTCGTCCAGGAGCCCCAGAGACTCCAGTAGGGACTGCTGCTGTGTGAACATGACCAGTACTGACCGAGCTGCAGTCGCTTGCTGAGGTAGTGGCTGACGGTGTCGAGCGGCGTGTTGCACTTGAGCACGCGCTCGTCGTCCAGGAGCCCCAGAGACTCCAGTAGGGACTGCTGCTGTGTGAACATGACCAGTACTGACCGAGCTGCAGTCGCTTGCTGAGGTAGTGGCTGACGGTGTCGAGCGGCGTGTTGCACTTGAGCACGCGCTCGTCGTCCAGGAGCCCCAGAGACTCCAGTAGGGACTGCTGCTGTGTGAACATGACCAGTACTGACCGAGCTGCAGTCGCTTGCTGAGGTAGTGGCTGACGGTGTCGAGCGGCGTGTTGCACTTGAGCACGCGCTCGTCGTCCAGGAGCCCCAGAGACTCCAGTAGGGACTGCTGCTGTGTGAACATGACCAGTACTGACCGAGCTGCAGTCGCTTGCTGAGGTAGTGGCTGACGGTGTCGAGCGGCGTGTTGCACTTGAGCACGCGCTCGTCGTCCAGGAGCCCCAGAGACTCCAGTAGGGACTGCTGCTGTGTGAACATGACCAGTACTGACCGAGCTGCAGTCGCTTGCTGAGGTAGTGGCTGACGGTGTCGAGCGGCGTGTTGCACTTGAGCACGCGCTCGTCGTCCAGGAGCCCCAGAGACTCCAGTAGGGACTGCTGCTGTGTGAACATGACCAGTACTGACCGAGCTGCAGTCGCTTGCTGAGGTAGTGGCTGACGGTGTCGAGCGGCGTGTTGCACTTGAGCACGCGCTCGTCGTCTAACAGGCCTAGAGACTCCAGCGCGTGCGAGCCGGCTGCGCAGGTTCTCATAGAAGATGATGAGTCCTCAGCCCAGTTGGAACTACCACTGTGAACATGACTGTACTGACCGAGCTGCAGCCGCTTGCTGAGGTAGTGGCTGACGGTGTCGAGCGGCGTGTTGCACTTAAGCACGNCTCCAGCGCCAGCCGGCTGCGCAGGTTCCGTAGAAGATGACGAGTCCTCAGCTCAGCAGGACTGCCGTGTGAACATGACTGTACTGACCGAGCTGCAGCCGCTTGCTGAGGTAGTGGCTGACGGTGTCGAGCGGCGTGTTGCACTTGAGCACGCGCTCGTCATCCAAAAGACCCAGTGATTCGAGCGCGTGCGCGCCGGCGGCTCCGATGCGCTCCGCCAGCCGGCTGCGCAGGTTCTCGTAGAAGATGGATGAGTCCATCAGGCCGAGTAGCTCGCAGGCAAACTGACGCTGGGTAAAGATTTATAAAATATGTGAGAGTAGCCTCGTCTATTTTTATATCTCAAAACTAATTTCGACGAATTTTGTAATAGAGAAAAAATAGGACTCTATTGATTCACGACTTTCTCGTTAAGAAGTCGTGTAAATGGAACCTGGAATTAGTCATTTTGCTACAAGATTTAAGGAATTTAAAGATTGTATGGGATGGGAAACCCAGAGATTGCGACCGCCAGGCAGCCAGTTAAACATATGACGGTATATGCAGCCAAGAGTGTTCATATATCTACCTGCTTAGTGCGCTTGAGGCCAGAAACTAGTTTTTGCTTTACCTATGTTAAAGTCAACTTACCCATGTTATTTTAGGTCCTTCGGGATGTAGAGATGGGTGAGGATTAGGATCGATCAATCCAAATAATTGCAATGCTTTCATTGTCTCAGCGAATCCTGTAAATTAATACCATATTAGTTAGTTATGGGGAAACAATCGTGCATCCCAATCAGTTTCGGTCACAATCATAATCTTCTTACCTTTATACCTAAGAGTGCCTCTGAACATAGTATGTGCATCTTCAACACCATAAAGTTTAGAGTATATTGTGCTATCTCTGTTGGGGAAGCCTTCAAACGCTAATCCTGGCAGGAAGTCCAGATCACGCGCTACTGACATCAGCTCACCGCCGCTTAGAACTTCAACGATCTAGACAAATATAATTATCTGTAATTCCTGTTGTAAAGAACTGAGTTTAAATATTTTTAGTTGCAAAATGTTTATATTTACCTGTCCTTTACTGAGGTACTTGGCTCCAGAGATTGTATTTAGAAGAACACCTCTAGGATTCCATGAGAATTTATACCTCAGAGCATTGTCGCTAAACTCAGGCGCCGGAAGACCTAAAATTTTACATATAAAAGTATTGTTTTGATTTTAATACCACGTTAAGTTGTGAAAGTTATCTATGTATGAGCAATATAATTACCTCCACAGTATGAGACGAAGGAGTCAATTCTTCCACCGTGGTTTTGGATGTCATGAATGCACTCCAGGGCCAGTAGATGATCAATACCCGGGTCCAATCCAACTTCGTTTAGTAACGTTATGTTAGCGTTTTTGGCACTGTAACAATAATTAGAAGGTGTAGTAAACCAAAATACACATCAGTTAAAATCGTAGTCAGTGTCAGGCTAGTGCTCTTGTTGATTCAAAAATTGGTATTGATTTGGATTGAGCATTTTTTGGGAATGTAGCCACAATTTTTTTTTATTTGGATAACACACAGCTTATATTTAGTTTAAACGCAGATAGCTTAAAAAACCACAATACACTTACGATTCGTGTAGCTCCTGGACCTCAGGGCGGACATAAGACGCCGTCACCATGTGGGCACCAGCACTAATGCAGGCCTTGGCCACCGCTCCGTGCAGGTCGTAAGGCAGCAGGGACACCACGAGACGAGCACGTGACGCGAACGACTTCAGGGCGTCCGCGTCGTTGGCTTCTAAATACTCGGATCGGACGCCGTAGCGCTCCGCTAGTGCGTCGGCTTCTTCCTTCACTTGGGATGCTGGGAAAAGTTTTAAGTATGTGAAGTTGCTGGAATTTTCGAAGGCTAGTGAGCTTTACATGTGTGGCTCACTACTGTTCGTTTTTCAATTAAGTTTTGATCAGAAAGTTAATATTCGTCTACTTATTATCTTTATGGTTTTGTTAGACATTACCAGCATTACACTATCATCATCTGCATGTACTACGTTACGTACACACACAAGTAAAGCTTCGTGATTTGCAAGAACTATACCTACGTTTGATCAACAAATTGAATACTATTTAAACTTGATGTTATGGTGACTCTACTACTCCACTCTACTCACCATAAGGCCTGGTTCAAACACGCGCGATAAACACGCGGTGTCTGGGTGAGGCACTGAGGCGATAACCGTGCGGAGACGGGTTTGATGCAAATGTACGAGAACTGCCAAAAACCGCGCGATTATCGCAGTGTCTGAACCAGGCCTAAGGGCGAGATTTTCCACTAAATCTGACAGTGTCAACAAAATGAAACGGAGCCGCGAGTTATTGTCTTAGAGATTCGTCCACAGCTCCGTGTCAGGCAAATTATGGTACCACTCTCTTTGAGTCCTACCCATTACCGTTTACCCATTGTATTGTAACCGTTTACTCCTACCTACTCTGCAAGAATTTGACTAATTAATTATAACTTGGAGTACATGTACTTACCTATTGTGACAGCGATATTTTTGTCCCGCGACAGGTACTCGACCACAGGGGCGGAGACCAGTCCACTGCCCAGGATCACCACGGGTGCCTGCTGCTCGCTGCCCTCCACCTTATGACGCGAACGACTGGAACCAAAATGAAGCAATAAGACAAGTCAGTCGCAGAAGTGTGACGAGGAGAGGCAGTGTCAACTCTGCAACCATAGATTCTCAGATAACTTGACTGAAAATTATTCGTCCTTTTGTAATATATAAGGTAGGTATTTCAAAGAAAGAAAGATTTTTTTTTTATGTATAGTGATTAAGTAACTAGTATTTACATATTAGGTGGTCGCTTTTTCAAAACTTGTTTAACTTAATCAGGCAATTAAAAATATTAATAAATCTGGAAATTAAGAAGACCACGTACCTCGCAGACATCCTTTGAATGAACTAACTATGTAACTACCAACTTACAAAGTCGTAATTTTATCACCTGAACTGTCTTCCAAACATGTGATTAGGTAGGACCAATAATCGTGTGTTTAGTAAGGTAAATAAGTAAATAACTACTGATACTCAAAATGTGCAAATAATACGATGTCACCAAAGATAGCGCGTAGGTAGGTCAAGTAATAATATAATGTTATCAGACGCCCTCGCCGATTTCTGTACCGACCGATAATAAATTACTTAACTTGCTAAAATTTCCAATCTTAATTATTAAATTATTAGTTTACTAGCTTTTGTCCGCGGATTCACCTGCGTGAAATTAATCATGTCGCGCGTGTCTCCCTAGAAAACCCGGGATAAACTATCCTATGATTTCCCTGAGTCTTAAACTATCTCTAAGTTCATCAAATTCTGTTTAAATAGCAGTTTTAGTAAAAAGTAGCAAAGTAACTTACGTGTTGGTCATTCGTAGATCATTGATGTACTCGAAAGGTGGAGTCAATTTTCCGTTGCTCGTTATAATAGCCTGAAAATGCAAATTAATAATATTTATTTTCATTTATCTATAAAAAAATACTATTTAATTATTACTACGCACATTTTCGTTGTTTGGTATGTGAATAATAATTCGGTATCTTAGATAAAACCCGCCTATTTGTCTTATTATTTATTGATAAAAACTTGATCACACATTATTTATCAAAATTGAAGATGGATTAAATTCAAATACCCATTTGTAATCTATAACGTGAAAAGCGATTTCGCGATTGTTCTAATAATATTAAGCAGGGTCTTCACGCAGTACCTATACAATTTCATATCTCTTCTGGGAACTTTGAATTAGGTATGGTTTGGTTTACCTACTTCATTATAATTATGTTGCTTTTAAAGGTCTTGACCTTCTGAACTAAAAAAGGCTAAATAATTGTCATCATTATAATTTACACGAGCAAAACCAACCTTAATTAACATTATGAGCTAGAATATAAAATTTTATATTCTTAATTAAGTCTAAAGTCTCTATTTTTCTTACCCCTTGCACAACAGGTGAAAAGTCGTGCTTATCCAAAGGTTTGGTGGCGTCCGACTTCATGATATCCTCTGCGTACGGGAACAACAGGTCTCCGAAGAAATCCGTGGACTCACGAGGCAATTGGGTCGGCATGTTGTCAATAGAGCACACCAGTACTCCTGGACCCTTGAAACTGAGAGAGACAGACGTTTTGAAAGAAGTCCTCGATGTGATGAATGAGTGAAGAAATGTTGAAAATGTTTCACGAAGAAATAGAGAGCGGAAAATAGCTAATTATGAGACCTCGAAGGTTTTCCCCGATAATTATAATTAATTTCAATAAATGTCTGTTTAGACATGATAATTATAATTAATTTAGNATCGATAAATAGATGAGCGAGATCAAACGCGAAGATCAAGATCAAACGCGATAAAGGACTGTTGTGAACGCCCTCTGCCCCAACTAGGGGACATAGGACCTTAATTCAAGTTAGTCAAGATGCAGTAAAGTAACTCTGCAACACTTCTGAAATATTTACACTTATCGGTGTAGAACCTAACATTGCATTCATATTTTCGGACCTTCATACCTTTTTGTGTCCTTGTTCCTGTCAGCATCATAGAGGCAGAACGGCGTGTCAATGGTGGTGCACTCATTCATGAACTCGATGGAGCCACCGGGGTCTGCCGAGATGTCGCAGATTGCCAGCATTCTGCAAGAGGATTGTCATTAGTTCAAGTTCAGTTCCAATGTTTGAAAGGTTTGAAAATAAGCAACTAACAAAAAGTTTTCACGGCGCACTGTAACTTTTCGGCTACGTCAAGTGCGGGTGGTAGACGGACTTAACTATTATGTGTCATATACGGCTATGCCAGCTAGTATTTTTCAAAATGATTCATAGTCTCTCAGGTACAAACACTTCAACATCCATCCGAAGACAGTTCGTGGATTACCTATGGGGTAGAGCCGGCGCGCCGAAACTCTTACCACCATCACCAAATCCTCCCGTAAGGATGTTCCAATAGCTCTTTATGATCCACCATAACTTCGCCATCGGGTTGGACGTTTCTGATAGATACCTATGGGGCAGTGCCGGCGCGCCAATGCTCTTCGGCAGCCATGGCGTGTGTGATGGCACCAACAGGTGCTTAGCATCAGGGATCGTCAGCAGCTTCGGGCTGTCCACCGCCCAGTAGATACAGTTCACCAGCACCGAAGTAAACGGCGCAATCTGAAGGTTAAAGTTATTTGTCAAAATGTTGACCGATAAATTTTCGATTAGATATTTATTCGGAAGGGTGTGTCGGACTCGCGATGATATTGATAGCAAAATTGATAGTTAATCTTTCATTTTAATATTAAGCCGTTCACGTAAATACCTATTGAATCAAATGACGTATGCTACCTGCCTACTTCTGTTTGCGGCATGATCAAAACATCAGTAGGTGCCTACTACCCAATAAAACTAATTTACCTACGAGTACGAGTATAACATTAGAAATCGTAGTATAATAAAAGTCTAAATTATGCTTTAATCTTACGGCAAGTAGATAGTTACCATGTCACCTAAAGTGAGTTAGAAATTAAAATGTACGAAGGAATTAAGCACCCCTGAGGACAATATGGAATTGTATTGTCTTCTAAGCAACATCTAACATCCAGTACCACCAAGGCACAGACCTTACCTTCTGCGCAAATATAGAGATGTATCTTTCTGGGTGCTCCTCATACTCCTGGTGATCGTAGCCGCCCCCATTCTTCCGCACCAAGTGGTCTCGCCGACGCACTTCGCAGCCGTAAATTTTGTTTGGACCTTCACAACATTAACAATGTTAATGAATTGATAAACAATGCTTTGTTGATAACTCCTTTCCTGTTCTGATAACATACCCGATCTCTCCCGTTTTCGAAGTTTTGATTGTTTTAAAGAACTGGTTACGAATTTACTAATTATATTGTTTACATTTAATTTGTATGTATTTGCGATTACGGGCATGTCTGTTGTCAATTGTAAACGGAAATTAAATTAACAAATTAGGAATCCGATTTTGCCCTACTCATCCTCTACAGAATAACGAATCTAACCAGCTCAATTCGAGGCCTTTATAATATTCGCATCGCAGCATGTGTGACCATGCATAGCTTCAACTTACTTCCATGTTCTGCTACTTTTCTCAACATTTCCGGAGGTACATATTCGTAGGGTAGTTCTTGGAAAATTTCTTGACTTCCCTAAAATTAAAATAAAACAACAATAAAGAGAGGAACAAATACACAGCTAGTGCATAGTGATAATTTATTGAAATACTCACCTGTGAAACATTCCCAGATCCAGTGAAGACAAAAGTGAGAGGTCCAAGAGATTTGGGCATCATTCCAAGAGCTACTTCGTAGCCGGCGTCGCGAATGGCTTGTCGCGCCATGCTAGAGTTGCGGTAGTTGTGAGCTGGCCCTATGTGCTGCATAAAACAAAACACACTTGTAGCTACTGATCCAATATTCTTGTTTTAAAACACATACTAACCTACCTATGGGAACCTACTGAGTTTACTGACTATGGCCCCCGCTGAACAAAGCCTCTAGCTAGGTAGCCATTCAAAGGCTTCATTAAATCTAGAGTAACTATGAGGAATAAAAATGCTAATTAAGCTAGGCTCTTTGAAACTCTACATCAATGGATTGTATAATTGATTTTACTGTTCTCTACCATTGCACAGTTACGAATGACAACATTTAAACATATCTACGTTTCGTGATATCGCTTCAGCCAAAATGACGTCCCCTGCTAGACAAGGGCCCCAAAGGAATTTCATAATGACTTGTCTTGCGCTACCCGCAGCCAGGTATAGATCGTTTATCTAACGTATAGAATCTATACTTGCCGCTACCTTCACCAGTTTCATGAATGCTTACCATAAAAGGAGTGTGGTGTCCAAGTGCCAGCAGCCTCAACCCAAGACCGTGGAGGATATTGATCATGCCGGCCACACCAGCGTACTTGCCAAACGCTACCACGCGATTTCCTTCGTTGTCCATCAACTTTTCGTAGTCGACTAGACGAATGTTCTGAAAATATTCTAAAGATGTTATACTAATGTGGAAGGTCTCTAAAATAAAAAATGCTGATCTGAGCCCCGTCGCACAATAATTGTTTCTAGCAAACATGGCGGCCCCTTACCCACGTGTATGAAAACGCAGCCGCTATCATCAAAATATTCAAGCGGAGAATTTCATATTAGAAAGAAAAGGAACGCTCTATAATACCTTAGCAAGGATGGCGTCCAACATGGGCATGTTGGCCTCTTGAGCCTTTATGGTGTGGGAGAAGAAGCAGTAGGTCTTGTTGGGTATGAGCAAATCGATGGGGGTCTGCTTCACGCCGAAGATCACACTCGCCTCGCTGATGTCCTCCTGTACATCTGCGCCCGCGTTTATGTACGACTGAAAGCACACAAGTAATGAAGAACGGAGTACGTTCGTTCGTTCGTTCGTTTCAGCCGAAAGACGTCCACGGAGTACGTATTTTCCCAAAATTAAAAAAAGTAGCATAACACGTTGTACTTATGCCACGCGGCTCACTCGTGAGTCTCGAACAATAAAATTTCTATCGTGTCTATCTATAAGTAGTGTCTCGGTACGGTAGTCATGATGACTTAATAGCAGTTTTTCTCTATCTATGAAAGTAATTCTTGTACTGATTCAAAAATTCGAGAGCTAAAGTTAGGACCTCGGTTATCGGGAAAGCAATGTTTTGCCGTTTACCTGCATAGGATAGGCGCGTCGATTTGAAGGCTGCACTATAACTTTGACTCCTTGCCGCACGAATTTGTTTACATTTGAAGGTGAAAATGGGGCTCTTCGTTCCCATACTGACTGATCTTCTCTCCGTATAGCTATGACTCGTTGAGACTGCAAAAAACATCAAAAATTAGTTACGTAAAAAGTGTCCCACTTTTTATTTTAGCGATATTTTGTATTTTATAATAACGGGCACATAATGGGCGGCAGTCTTTATTCGTCCAAGGCGGCAGTGTGTGGTGGAGTGGCTGAGATGATGCCAATAGTTTCCCGGGGTTTTCAAAATTCGGTTTCAAAAAATTTGGCTTCAAAAGCTAAGGAGTCGAAAATTTCAATTCAAAAAACATTAGCTTTTTAAAAATTAGGTTAAAGAACGTTTAGGTTTTCGAAAATTTTCTAATTAAGTAGATTCAACATAAGTTATCTATGTTTTCTAAGAATCTGGTTTTCTTTCATAAAATATGGTTAGGTTTTCGAAATTAGGTTTTCAAGTTAAATTACGAATGGATACCTAGGTTTTCCAAAAACTACGTTCATTTAAAGAAAGTTCGGGAAATTAGGTAGGTATTAGATGATTAGGTTTTTGAAGTTAAGAGTTAGGTTTAAAAATGTTGGGTTTTCGAAAAAAAAATTATACAAACATAGGTAGATTAGGTTTTTGAAATTTTGGGTATACCTACTACCTACAAACGTTCAATTTAATGAACGTTTAATTTTGAGAAAAGTTAAGTTTTCGATATTCTTCAAAAGAATAGGTTTTCGAATTTAGTTTTCCAAAAGTTATGTTTTCGAATAAATATGGTTTTTCGAAGAATTATACCGCAAGTAGGTAAGTATTAGAATTTTTTTTCGGGAAAATTAGGTTTTCCAGGAATTTGGTTTTTAACAGGTTTTCGCAGATAGGTTTTCGAAGGTTATGTTATCCAACGAAAAGTTAATTTGGTTTTCAAAGTACGAGCACTACAGAAAAAAGAAATTTAAAATTATTCTTTAAACGCGCCCTAACGAGGAAGCTCTTGGCCTGTATCTCACCTGAAGTGCCTTCTAATATTTTAAAATCTGACAAATATTAGGTAATGACTTGCGAGTACGTAGGTATTTATGTAGTGGTAAGTACTTATTTTGAGTTACGGATACCGATTTCTGCAATTTCAAATTCCCAGTACGTTTTATTATCAAAATACCTACTTAGGTACTATATACAGGGTGTTAGGTAAATGGGTANCTAATGCCAACTTCATGAATTTTGGTAAGTAGTTTCTCATGGGAGATATGGTCGAATGCTTTCGACAAATCAAGAAACAGTGCAGTAGTCAACTTATCGTCATTCACACTATTTAAAACATGATGCATTAGCGAAAAAATTGCTGTAGAAGTTGATTTCAATTTTTGAAAGCCGTACTGTTCACTGTTGATTAAATTGTATTTGGTTATGAAGTTTGTGAGTCTATCAATGGGTACATGAGCCGACACTAGCCCATGTTAACATGGTCATATAAATGGTATGGTGAAGTCAGAAAATTGATATCTTCATTTTTATTATTTTAATTTTCATACAAATCGGATTTTATAAAATTTATTTTGTATGAAAATTAAAAAAATTAAAATGATGATATCAAATTTCTGACTTCACTATACCATTTATATGATCATGTTAAAATGGGCTAGTGTCGGCTCATATGCCCATTTACCTAACACCCTGTATAACATCATTTAAAAAACAAACACGTAAAGACGATTGTTAAATCAAAGTGCTGAAAGTTACCTAGTTCCATCAGGCATCGGTATAAATTAGTGCCATGTTCATTTGTTCGACACGCTCTATCATTAAATTGATGTCAGTGGTTAAGGTAACATAATAATAAACATTGATATCAAAACAAATCGGCAACTGTTACCGACCAATTTCCATCGTAACAGCTATCGGATTAGCGGCGGCAAAATGATAAAGTTTATTGTTGCTTTGGCAAACATTAACTTCCTGTAAATGGCAAGGTCGGTTGAAATGTTTTCGCATTTCAATAAAATAAAAACTTTAATGAAAAACAAGTTACGTTGATAACAATAAATTTTCTTTGATTAAGAATCTTCGTCCGATTTTTATCGCAACACCCCTTTTTGTCGATTGATAAATAAATACGTAATAAGTAAGAAATAAATATTTCATACGACTTAGAATGAATCAGAATATTAATTATCAAACTTGACTTGGTTGCCTGAATTTGGCAGACTTTTATTAACTTGACTGTGTTAGCAATATCGTTATAATTAACTAATGTAAAGCTCAAGGTCGCACCTGAAACCTGCTATACTAAACAGATTCAGGAGTTTCAGGAGTTCGACAACGAAAACTAAGCTGTACCTACCTGAATTTTCTATTTATAAAAGCTTTTTTTGTAGATTTAGATTAATAAAGTGGTATGGTTAATTACCTATACCGTTCCCAGGTGCTTCACTCTTGCCGTCATTGTACCTACTAAGTACGTAACGTGTGCGGCAACGACATGGACAGAAAGTTATGCTTTCTGATCTGAAGTACGTAAAGTAAGTTTTAACTCAGCAAATAAATCAAATATAATATTATACTGAGGTTTTAGTTACTTGTTTACTTTTTCGTTCAAAGCTTTGACAATTAACTATTTAAATTCAGTAAGGACTGAGTATAAAAGACGACTCAATAAAAGTTTAGTTTTAGTAAAGTAGGTTTCCTAGTTCTCTCTGTACATAACTTGTAGAATATTATAATCTTATTGAATTAATTTTGTTAAAAAGGTGTAGGTTATTAAAATATGTATAAGCTCCTATGTTCAAAATATATAATTAACGCTTAATCAATAAAAACAAAGCCGGCTTACCTTTGCTGATGAATAATAAACTATTTGCTTCACGAATTGACTCTTCGGTCGAAGAGTCGACGATTTTAGTAACATTTTAATGAATTATTTAAACTGTGAGACTAATTATACAAAAATTGATAAGCACTCGGACCATGCGCCTCGCGCGAAGTTCTCTCGTAATCTGGTGCTGTAGCTTCATGCCCAAACGAAGCTTCTTTGAGAAAACAAAATCAACATGACGTTTATCAATTCAATGATAGTGATATTATGTTCAAGTAACTCATTTGTTGATAAAACAACTGCGTCATGATTTATTAATGACAATAACATGAAAATTAGTTAATTAGGAACCATATTATGGACGTAAGTAGTTATCAAAGAGTGGTAGCACTAGCGAACACTATGTCTCGGTTTATCGGTTAAATAAAATTGATCAAGGAAACCTTTTTCAAAGTCCCATTTTCAGCAAAAACAATTATGTATGTATTACTTTTTAATCAATACATTTTATGTTCCATCACAAGACTAATGAAAATTATTTTTTTGCCTTCTTATGATATTCTTGTAAAGTAAGTAAATGCAGACTGCAGAAGCTATTTTTTAATTCAGAAATCCTTTTCTATCATCGAGCTGCCTGCTGCTGTTTTAATTTAGTCAACTTTAAATAGGTATAGGACAGGCTCAGAATACAGAACAACCGTATTCTGAGAGGACAGGTAATCCTTACCTAAAATCCGATCACGCGCTACGTGGTTTTTCGTTATAAACAGCTGCGCTGCGCTCTAATAATAACATGTAATTATTTGTTATTTTTAGAAAATCTCATTTTAAGTGAATTAGTTATTGTAATTATTATAAGTTCTTACAAGAAAAAAAAGTTTAAACCTAAATTGCCTGTTCGTTTAGGCATGTCGTGTCGCATCAGAAATTACACAGAAAATAATATTTGTTAAGATCTTACTAATTAGAGTAGGTACCTAACCTAGGTAAGTAGTCTTTGCAGTCTAATGTGTCAAGTATTGCGTCCCCTTGAAAAATCTTTATCGAGGATAATACAGTGTAGATAGGTATTAACTTCTCCTACCTTTTATTAAGAGCAAAGTAACAGATCAGCACATTATTTGTAGAAATTTTAAGCTTGCATATACTTTACTGTCTTATCTATTTAGATCTTATCTTAGATAAAATATAACTTAATTTTGGGAAACTTACGGCAGACTTAAGTATTTACAATGGGCTGGCATGGCAGAATTCTAATTTTTGTACGGGAAGCGAAAAGAGGATGGGTTTTGTTTCTCAATTTTCAGAATTCGTTTTTCGCGGTAATTAGAGTGAATTTTGAGGGAATAGTATTATAGCTTTCAAGCCTAGAGCGTGCTAGAGCCATAGAAAAACAATGAACGCAAAAGTGGCGCACGTCAACAGTCCTAAGTTTGCCCTCCCTCGGATTGATACAGTCCTATCAACTTAAGCTGAGAATTGCATTTGTGTGAGTGATCGCCAAAAGTACCGTTAGTAAAACACATACAAATAAAATTAATGTTTTATTAAAAGGAAGTCTATAAAACACTTGCTACCAATTGGGCCGATGTAACGACACTTGACACATCCTTTTAAATAAATAAATAAATAAAAACAGGTCCTCGCTCAGCATATGCCAAGGCACGAAGTACCTCGACGCTGATATTCTGCGTGCACCGTTTATACAGGGTGTGAGGTAAATGGGTATATGAGCCGACACTAGCCCATGTTAACATGGGCATATAAATGGTATGGTGAAGTCAGAAAATTGATATCTTCATTTTAATTATTTTAATTTTCATACAAATCGGATTTTATAAAATTTATTTTGTATGACAATTAAAAAAATTAAAATGATGATAAAATTTATTACGGGCTAATTTGATATTTTCATAAATTAACGAAAAAATATTATTATAGGTAACCTGGTTTAAATAAATTAAATGAAACCATCAATCGAGCTAGTAGGATTTATTTTATTATTCATCAATAATAAAATTCAGAACTTGAATATTCAACTGCAATGTCTGCTAAGAACGCTTCAAACTCGGTACTTCTTTCCCAATTCCATAAAATTCAACACTTAAAAAGTGACAAAAAACTTTAAAATAGGTAGTGGAAACAAACCACAGCTAATTTTCATAGTTGACTGTACTATACGATAAACATGTCAGTCAATTTGACAACCTTTGTCGGAAACATTATTCAATGAAAATATTGTCCGAACCCTTAGTATTTCTCTTCGACAAATACTTTAACACATTGTGAACCACTTTTCTTTCACGACTATAAAAAGATTTTAGCAATTTATTCACAAAATCAATTGCGCACATTTAAAATAAAGTTTGTTTACACTATGACAGCAATAAACTGACATGCAAGGTGACATTATAATGAAGTTTTCAGTTACTGTTGCCATTAAAAGAAATTAGTACCATTAGTTTTCCGCAACATGGCGAGGGTTTTTATGTTCCTGGTCAGGCTATAGCTAGGGTACTGCGTTAGTGGTGGCAGTTCAATAATGGAACGAATTTTTCAACAGTGAGAGCACTAAGCAGTGCTCACAGTGTATTTCGGACAATGTCTTATGTATCTGTCATTAACGTCAAGCTGTCTGTCACACAGTCTGACAACTGACAGCAGCACCAGAAAAAATGTCAGTCAGTCGATTTTTGCTTATGGGAGGCAGTCATGTGTTGTTAGTAAACGCTATCGCAAGCTAAAATTCGCTTTTGGAAATTAATTTCTCATTACAAATCACATAAAAATACTATCAACTGTTTTAATTGAAACGGCATGTTGCTATTAAGTTAAAGCATTGTAATTTACAAAGAAGTGCACTTACATCGGTCGTGATGGGTCGTTTCCTGACACCGGATAAATTGGCCGGGTTCGAAAAATACAAGGTATTTAATGCTAGATTCATTAATTTGTCTGTATGTAACGTTAAATATTAGACTTTCGGAATGCCACAGCAGAGCACTGATTTTACCTCTATTCAAGAATATGTAACTTGAAAAATAATGTACTGCCGTAAAAAAAACTATTACACCATGTAACCCATAAAACTTTACACCGCCCTTTGTGTTTCAGTATAATTCCATCGATACTAGTGTGCTCAGTAACTATGTTATGCACCCATTTTGGAATTGGTGTGTTCAGGTGAGTCATGGAAATATGAGTTACTTATTGATTTTAGTAAAATTTGAAGTGATAAAAAAATAAAAAACACAGTTGGATTACTTAGATCAGTCAGTTATCTGTAACCTTGGATTTCCCCTAACCATAGTTTACCTGCAAGCTACTAAATTAATTCTACCAGTAGTTTTATGATAGTTTATGCTTGTGTGGTTTAGGTAAACTTCAGCAACATATAGGTATTTTGTGAAAGTCCAATAGAACTTAGAAAAAGTATAATGTATTTTATTAACAAATTGCAGTTTTGTCCGGTGTGGGTGGCACCAAACCTGCTAACATTTGCTGGGTTCCTACTGACCGTTTTTAACTTCCTCCTATTCTCGTACTACGACTATGGGTTTCACGCCCTTACTGAAGAGAATGTCACTAACGATCACATTCCTTCGTGGGTGTGGGCTGTGTCCGCTGTGAACTTATTCGTGGCATATACTCTAGGTAAGATTATTTTATACTTACTAGATAATTATACCAATAAGATTTAATCAGATAAAAAATTTGGAAAACAATAATTACCTAAAAACTAAAATATTTTCTCTATTATAGTTTAATATTATCAACTTCAGTCTCCCTTTTTTAATAGATAATACATATAACAGTATTAATTGTGTTGGTAGTTAAATCTGTAACTGTTTACAACTCGTGTTGATTTCTACTATTTAACCAAATAGCTAAAAATAAACTGGGCATAAGTGAACACAAAGATGCAACTTACTTTGTTTACTATATTGCTTAGAATTAGATTATGTTGGCAGATTATGAAGCTAACTAATGCTACTCAAGGTTTACTCATTATCCAATTAAGTATCTTACATGTGCACAGCTGTTATTGATCTTCATGCATGTATCTTAACTACATATAAATTGTATGTACATTTTCCTTTTTAATTTGAACTAGCGGCCGCCCGCNACGAAGTTCGCCGGGTCAGCTAGTATCTAATAATTTTATTTATACCTAGCACAAAGTTCACTTGGAAGTTCATTTGATCATTTAATTCTAACTTAGTAAATAACTGTTGGCCCTAACATACCTACTCAGAGGGCAAAAGGGGGATTTTTTATGACTATCTTTTGTTTTAAAAGTATTTATTCTTATTATTATGCAGTGCACCAGACAATGGTTTTTAGTGGAACTCTAAGATCAAGGGAAAAACTGTGCAAGGTTGACCTCTATCTCCACCCCATTTCCTAAACAAGGCAACTTCGAAAGAAAAACATCAATTTCCAGTTATTTAGGTTTAGGTACTGAAATGCTAAATAATTTATTATTATACATTACACAAAGCCACAAAGTATTTTGTGACTAAATAATCCGTCTGTCTTTTACCTATTAGTTTTAATTTTCGTTGTATTGTATGACACCGCAGTTAAGTAACTTTTAACACGATCCGTCTTCTATCGTGTGTGTCGGTTATAAGAACTAAGGTCATGGCATGTAAGAATTACTTAATGACCGCCCTTAGCCTTAACAGGCGTCTGACAATAGTTCAATCGACGGAACAACTTAACGTGCCTTCGAAATTATGTAAATTTTTTTGTGCTGTTGTTAAAACCAAACTCAGTACGTTGCGTACTACCGCTATTTATAATATTATTATCATAAATAAGATAGGTCATCTTATCGTCGAATGTTGCTTTATAATTCTGCGTAAGTAGTCGTATTATTATTTTGATTAACTAGCTAATGCCCGCAGCTTTGCCAGTGTAGATTTCGATCTGTCACAGAAATATTACCGCGCCCGTTTCTGTTAAAAATCTGGGATAAAAACTATCCTACCTGTTTTTCTTGGGTCTAAATTCTCAATCCATTTACCCCATAAAAATCGGTTTAATGGTTAACGAGTACCTAAGTATGTCGAACTGCTGACATACAGGATGTGCGCAATCGTAACATCTTCGTAAAATATTAAACAACAATATTTTTTGCACTTGTATAGGAGACACAGTTATGTTTTTGTGTACAACGAGTATGCAGTTACGAGTGTCGCTAGTATGTAATCATGATACATAATTACAATCCAATATACAAACAAATAATATAGATGTAATTGAGCCGGAGTCTGTTCTGTTACTCAGATTGTTCAAATAACTGCCCTTTGTTATCTAATGTTAACGTCTTACTTTGATAATACCAAGGCGTTACGAAATCGTATCCTATTTAGATATTGTTTGGTTATTAAAATAGCTATACAATTATAAACTTATTCATAAATGAATCGGCATTAAGTTTTAAGATTGTGCCACGTGATTGCACTTATGGGTGGCGACGTGATCTCTATCGCCTTATAATGTTATCTTTCTTAATTATTTATTTTAAAATAAACTAACGTACCTATATTGCAGCTATAGTAGACGTATTATGCAATATTATAGTTATTATGATTATCATATTATAGTTAGTTATAATTTCTAAAAATATTTTTTTCGGTACAAAGGATATTGAGTTCAACTATTAACAAAGGTTAGATAATAATAAATGTATATCAAATCAAATCAAATCAAATCAAATTTGTTTATTTGTGGAACATAGGTAAATAACATATTACAGGTGTTAAAAATTAAGTCGGTATCACTATGTTTGGCCCAAGGTCGGCGTACAAATTTACATAACATCATTGAGTCTTATTAGGTTAGTAGAAATTAAATAAAATAAAAAGTAAGTTAGTAATGTCCAATCAGTAACAATTTCATAAACATTTAAACATAAAAAAAGGTCAAGAATCTTACAATTTGTCAGTTAAAAACTCTGTCAATGTATAGTAGGCTTTGCTTAATAATAAGGATAGCAGCTGCTTGCGAAATATCTGAATATTTGTGTCTTTTAGTGTCTGTGGTAATTTATTGTAAATTTTTGGAGCCATACTAAAGAAGCTTTTTTGTTTTAAAGCAGTTTTTGAGACAGGTGCACTTAAAATGTGACCATGACGTCTACTCTTTTTCAATTGCCCAAAGGATATTGTGGGAAACAAGTGTGGATTTCTCTTAACAAACATTGCAGTTTCAAAAATGTAGAGGGATGGTACTGTCAATATTTTTAGTTCTATAAAATGTGGTAGGCAGCTGTCCATTCTTTTTAGAGTTTTTATAGCTCTCACACATTTCTTTTGGGCTCTAAAGACTTGTAATATGTTTGTGGAGTTGCCCCAAAAAACTATTCCATAACGTAGAATAGAAGCGACGTATCCATTGTAGGCTGTAAGAACTGTCGCCAAATCAGCTACTTTACATAGAGATTTTAGTGCATACACAAACTTGTTTATGCGGGTGCACAGATTGTTAGTATGAGTTATCCATTTAATTTGATAATCTATATTTAAGCCAAGAAACATTGTTGTTGAGACTGGTTCTATAATTACGTTTTTATATCGAATAGTAATGTTTGGTATTTGAGTGTACTGTCGGAAATGAATTATTTTAGTTTTATCTATATTAATGTTTAAGTTATTTGAGTCAAGCCATTTAATTATGTCAGTTAGCGCTATTGTAATTTCATTCTCATATGTCATTTTGTTTTTACATTTTATTATAATTGTACTGTCATCAGCAAACAATGTCATAGGATGTTCGATATTAGCTGGTAAATCATTTATATAAATTATGAATAGAAGAGGGCCTAGTATTGTTCCCTGGGGAACACCGTACNGGCGTTACAAAATCGTATCCTATTTAGATATTGTTTGGTTATTAAAATAGCTATACAATTATAAACTTATTCGTAAATGAATCGGCATTAAGTTTTAAGATTGTGCCACGTGATTGCACCTATGGGTGGCGACGTGATCTCTATCGCCTTATTATGTTATCTTTCTTAATTATTTATTTTAAAATAAACTAACGTACCTATATTGCAGCTATAGTAGACGTATTATGCAATATCATATTATAGTTATTATTTCTAAAAATATTTTTTTCGGTGCAAAGGATATTGAGTTCAACTGATAACAAAGGTTAGATAATAATAAATTTATAGATTGTTATGAGTAATTTTCCACCGTCAGCTATCGTTTGGAGCGAGAGACGCTCTTCCTGTGCAAAGTTATTATTTATATGTATAGATTTTTTATATGTAGAAATTGCACGCTTATTAAATGCCAAAAGCTTCGAAATATCCAAACATTTGGGCCAAGCGAAGGATAGACTAATTGGGTGCTTTTGTTCGTTCGTCCGAGTCGATAGAAAAAATGGTAGAGTCGTCGTAGAAATAGCTATATCCAAATGCATGCTAGTTACTAATTGAAATTTTATTAAGTAGTAAAATACCCAAACTGAGTGATGTAGTAAACCGTCATACTAAACCTTGAACTTGCCTGTAATACGAAAATTGCTTGTATGTAAATGTAACACGTACAGTCAGCGTCAAATAGTTAGTGACACCTAAAGTGGCCAAAAAGTTGACAACACAACCTTATTCCAATATAACAAAGACGTGTTGTGAACTTTTTGGCTACTGTGTCTCGAACTATTGTCTGTAAAAATAAGTTATTTAATATTACCTATTTTGTACGTGCGTGTATTTAAACAAATTCAAATGGAATCATCATAACTGAATGTGTTTTCTAGACGGCATCGACGGCAAGCAAGCCCGCAGGACAGGCACTAGCGGGCCGCTGGGCGAGCTCTTTGACCACGGCCTCGACTCGTACTCGTCCGTGCTCATACCCACTTGTTTGTACAGCATATTTGGAAGGTAAACATTGCTGAATCAATTCACATACAGTTCATAGTCTGTTGTACTAACAACTTCTCATTTAGCAGTCAGTATAATGCTAAGAGCATCCAGGTTGTATAAAAAAGTACAGACAAAATAATTCTCTTATAAGTACCTTATAATTTGCCTTGGCTTGATCGAATCCAAATAAATTCCGAAACAAGGAATCATTTATTTCTTTTTGGAATAAACCAGAATTAAAATGGAAACAAATCACTAATGCTCTTAATTTTTAAATAGCGGATATTGTAACCTTGATTCGCTCTTATTATGATTTACTAGCTGACCCGGCGAACTTTGTTCCGCCTTAATGGCAATAAATAAGCAGACTTTTTTTTTATTTTGAACGGTATAAAAAGTATCCTATGTCCTTCTCCTGGCTCTAAACTACCTCCCTGACAATTTTCAGCTAAATCGGTTCAGCCGTTCTTGAGTTATAAGCGAAGTAACTAACACGACTTTCTTTTATATATATAGATAGATATAAAAATATCATTGATTAAATCTAAATTGAATCCAATTTAATATGTTATGGGCCTTATTGTGTCCCACTAGAATCAACCCCAGAAGCTTCAAGTTAGATAATCCAACTATTTACAAACTGAACCGAGGAGAAATGCTATAAAATTTGGCTTTAAAATAAACTAGGTAACTTACGTTAATCTTAACTAGGTTTTTAAGCAGATTGTAAGATTTTTTGGTGATTTAATCTAAAACACGTGTATAACTTGAGGAAAAATAATTATAATTTTTGGCATGGGATTTTTGATATAATCACAGCTGGTTTTTTATGGCGTCACTGATTTGTTACCTATTTGTTATTTGGTTTTCCTTCCTGTTATTTGTTTGTAATAAAGAAAGTTTTTATCGTTTATGTTACAGAGATGAGTTAAGCCCACTCCGGTTTTTTTTTGTGATATGGAACATATTCATAAACTTTTATCTCACGCACTGGGAGAAATACAACACTGGGGTGATGTTCCTGCCTTGGGGATATGACTTCACCATGATTGTAAGTACTATTACAGCTATCATTTAATTACTCTTTGACTTGATGACGTTAGGAATTACGCCTATTTCCAGAGTTACGGTATTGCAGCGGGATCACAAATTGATGATAATTTGTGACGCAACAAATAACGATAAATTGTACTAGATCTCGTATAGATACAGAACTATTATCTTCCAAAACGTCAAAGATACGTATACGGAGCACTATAATCCCATTGGGCTGTGTTGGATTGGCAGGCGTTTGACTGAAGTTTGACTTTATCATTAATCACGCCATACCATCATATAATATTATCATATTAGGAAAACGTAATTCTGCGTCGTGCACGGCTCCCTCATTTGGGTACTTCACACCAATAAATCGATTCAATACATAACTTCTTTAAAAAATATAAAAAAATCACACTCCTAAAAACGTTAGTTTTTATTTGATTGTAAAATTATAATTGAGTTCGCGAACCTGATGACATCATAGCCCCCATTGCCTTTCAAAATTTATGGGAAAATCGCGTTTTGACAGCTCATAAAAAGTTTGTCAATTATCTACGATTCCCCCTATAATAACCAAGATCTGGCCAAAAAAAGAACAAAAGAAGAAGGATGTCCACTATCCTATTATGAAACGTCAATCTGTTTATTCTCAGGGGTCGTGCTGCCTGCTGCTAACGACATCTGTCATCGGGCCTAAGGCGTGGCACGTGTCGCTGCCGGGAGGACTCAGCCCTGGGATCGTGTTCGAGTTCGTGCTTTACTTCTCCGCCATGATCACCAGCCAGACCGTCATCCTGTGGAATATTTACAAGTAAGTACGAAAATAGTCCTTATTATGGTTCTTATTGCTCCAAATTCTGGCCAGCTAGCAGCGTTGACGTGAGCTACAGCTTTGTTCAAATAGTCCTTATTATGGTTCTTATTGCTGCAACTTCTAGCCAGCCAGCATCTACGGCTTTTTGTGGAACATTTACAAGTTAAGTCACGAAAATAGTCCTTTTTATCGTTCTTATTACTCCAATTTCTAGCCAGCCAGCAACATTGACAGCTCCGACCCAGTACGGGCAGTGCTGGTGCTGTACTGGCCTGTATCGCCCATGAGCGAGTTACAGCTTGTGGGAAAATCACATGTTTTTCTTAATGCTACAATTTCTCTCCAGCCAACTTCTGCAGCATTTTTTGGAATATTGTTTCTGCTGCTGCAACTCTTGGTCATCTAGGATCTACAGTTTATCCGCCAATTATCCCCTAAGTCCTTGTCTCACCAGTAAAGGTGAAAGTTAAATAGTCATTTGATCTGTAACGAAATTATCAGAAGAAAATAAAAGGTGCTGCAAGTTACTCGCAAAAAAGAGTCAGGTACTAGGTACCTGTTTCATCAGATCAGATAAGAGACAATCAAAGTTCTCAGATAAGTAATACATAATACTCTATGAAAGGTGATAACAGTCACTCCTGTGTTTATCTAATCATTTTTTCAACATCACACCATTAGTATCTATGCAAAAAATTACTGGAGTTTGTACTTGTTGAGGTTTTTATGCATTAACCTTTTTGCATATTACAACAATACCTTCATGAATATTTGTTAAAATGTTGTTAGCTACCTACCGACCAAAGTAAAGTGAGAGTATGTATTTAATTTTTTTAAATAACTGCATGCCTACCTATATCATCATGTAAACACACTGTTCAAAAACGAACACACTACGAAATAACATACAACAAAATATTTTTTTATCATGGACACTTCGCACCTCTATCGATTCGACCTTCCGAGTATCCGAGTCCGATTTAATTCGTTTCAGCCAAATGACGTCCACTGTTGGACAAAGGCCAAGGATTTCCATAACGACCGGTCCTGCGTTGCCCGTATCCAGGATCTTCCCGCGACCTTCACCAGATCGTCGGTCCACCCAGGGCCTGCCCACACTACGTCTTCCGACTCGTGGTCGTTACTCTAGAAGTTTTCTACCCCAGCCCCGCCCACCGCCACTTCATTTTAGCAGTCTGTGAGCAGTGCCTGGGCCTGGGCTATGTCGGTGAGCAGTGGCGGCGTAGCATGGTTCGGCACCCACCGCCATAAGTCCTAGGCACCCCCAGGATTTTGGGGATACCTACCGATTCGAAGACTAAAAGACAATCCCCCACCCCCCCCGTACCGCGTACCGCAGGCTTGTCATTGCCATGCAGATGCGCCACTGAGTACTAATCTGCGCGACCCCCTGATGTTTGGCACCCGGGGCGGACCGCCCCCCCCTTACGCCGCTTCTGTCGGTCAGTTTGGGTTTTCCTGCGGATCTCTTCATTTCTGATTCAATAAATTGTGCAATAAAAATTGTATTATAATACTTCTGCATCAGGTCGTACCGCGACGGCACGGGCAAGATGCGTCCGTTCTCGGAGGCGGTGCGGCCGCTGGTGCCGGTGCTGCTGTTCTTCGCGCTCAGCAGCGCGTGGGCGCTGTACTCGCCCACCGACATCATCAACCGCGGCCCCAGGCTGTTCTATCTACTCACCGGAACTATATTCTCGAATATCAACGTAAGTAATGCTATGGCAGCGTTTGTTTTATTGATGTTTTCTGTTATAGATTTAAATTATTCCCATTGTAAAAGAGTGGGTTTTGTTTAGACCAATTTTTTTGTGTTCAAGGTACAAGGTAAAAGGAAATTTTTTGGTGGTAAACACATAAAAAATAATTCTTTAAGAAGTAATTTCATTAGTCTTACCCTTACTTACTAAAAATAAGATTATAAGAAAAACATATTTTTCCGAGGCACACCATCTAATGACCACGGTACACCGATTGCGGAACACTGGTTTAGACTATTCTAAATCTTATGATATCTCACTTATAGATGATTTATGACTCTAGCTGCTCGAAAACTCTGCCTTAAGATCTATGTATGTTATTGATGAGAGGCGATTTTTAGGAATTCGGACTGCTTCGTTTTGTCAGCGTCCAGTGTAGATTTCAAAATTCGTCACCCTTCTGTTTGCAGTGCCGTCTGATCGTGTCCCAGATGAGCGACACGCGATGCGAGCTGTTCAACGGGCTGCTGGTCCCGTACGCGCTGGTGCTGGCGCTGGTGCTGTGCGTGCAGGTGTCGCCCATGAGCGAGCTGCTGCTGCTGGCGGCGCTGTGCGCGGGCTGCTCCGCCGCGCACGTGTACTACGGCTCCCGCGTGGTGAGTACGGGCCGGTGCTGTGCGTCAGGTGTCGCCCATGAGCGAGCTGCTGCTGCTGGCGGCGCTGTGCGCGGGCTGCTCCGCCGCGCACGTGTACTACGGCTCCCGCGTGGTGAGTACGGGCCGGTGCTGTGCGTCAGGTGTCGCCCATGAGCGAGCTGCTGCTGCTGGCGGCGCTGTGCGCGGGCTGCTCCGCCGCGCACGTGTACTACGGCTCCCGCGTGGTGAGTACGGGCCGGTGCTGTGCGTCAGGTGTCGCCCATGAGCGAGCTGCTGCTGCTGGCGGCGCTGTGCGCGGGCTGCTCCGCCGCGCACGTGTACTACGGCTCCCGCGTGGTGAGTACGGGCCGGTGCTGTGCGTCAGGTGTCGCCCATGAGCGAGCTGCTGCTGCTGGCGGCGCTGTGCGCGGGCTGCTCCGCCGCGCACGTGTACTACGGCTCCCGCGTGGTGAGTACGGGCCGGTGCTGTGCGTCAGGTGTCGCCCATGAGCGAGCTGCTGCTGCTGGCGGCGCTGTGCGCGGGCTGCTCCGCCGCGCACGTGTACTACGGCTCCCGCGTGGTGAGTACGGGCCGGTGCTGTGCGTCAGGTGTCGCCCATGAGCGAGCTGCTGCTGCTGGCGGCGCTGTGCGCGGGCTGCTCCGCCGCGCACGTGTACTACGGCTCCCGCGTGGTGAGTACGGGCCGGTGCTGTGCGTCAGGTGTCGCCCATGAGCGAGCTGCTGCTGCTGGCGGCGCTGTGCGCGGGCTGCTCCGCCGCGCACGTGTACTACGGCTCCCGCGTGGTGAGTACGGGCCGGTGCTGTGCGTCAGGTGTCGCCCATGAGCGAGCTGCTGCTGCTGGCGGCGCTGTGCGCGGGCTGCTCCGCCGCGCACTTGTACTACGGCTCCCGCGTGGCGAGTACGGGCCGGTGCTGTGCGTCAGGTGTCGACCAAACCAACGTGTGCAGGGGGCGTAGTGTGAGTTTAAGGCGAACGCATTCTATATCGACTGCGTTAAAAAAAATATTATGAAGATCTTAGTTCTTAAAAGTTTCCGCTAGGGGCGCTGTACAATCCGTCATATATTTAATGACACTTTTTTACGCAGTTGAAATCGAATGTGTTTGACGTAAAGCGTAAACTCATACTACGCTCCCAGATCGCCATCGCCGACGCGATCATAGGCCAATGACAGGTCACGCGTCCTGTCATTGGTCACCCGTTCTGTCATTGGTCTTTGATCGCGTCCCGCGTCGGCAATGCCGAACTGCATTCTGCACACGTTGGTTTGGTTGAAGCTTTAGCGACCCCGCCCACTAGGCAGCCTGGCTGCGGCAGCCAGTCGAACGTATAACAGTGTATGGGAGCCCGCGCACTATGCAGCCAAGAGTGTTCATATTCCGGATTGGCTGCACCTAGTGCGCGGGAGACTTTATTGGATACCTAAGCAATCTATGTATAGTTTTACCTATTAAAACTCCTGAGATTTAAGCTCGTAGCAGACTTATCAACTCGGAAAGGGATCAACACTGTATCGCCTTTCGCGAGCTGTCATCGCCTTTCGCGCACTGTCTAACGCGAGGCGAGGCGGTTTACGTTACGGTGCGGATAAGTATGCGTTACAGTACGGTATGGAGTTTCATACAAAGAATACTGACCGCCTCGAGTTTATACGGTTACGATCCCTTTCCGGATTGATTAGTGTGCTACGTCCTTTATACGTATTCAGCATATCAGAATGAACATTTTTGTTGTTAAATAGCACTACGTGACAGCTGTATAAAATGATCCAGTGTTAGCTTGCGCCGCCGTCAAACAAAAAATTGTGCATAAAAATTTCAATACATAGTTGTTAAAAATTGTTTTTATTTTTTTGCAGGTACAAGAGATGTGCGATCATTTCAACATACAGTGTTTCCATATAAAGCCAAAGGTAACATAAGTATCGTAGATTGTATGATGTTATTTAGAACTCTCTTATTCTTATAACTTGTACTGTGTATTGACTTTCTCCATTTTATCCCTACTTCGGTAGCCACATATACCTCAGATTTATTTTAATTTAGGTAATTTATTGTTAACGTGGTTTTGGCGGTGAGGGTATGAATCTCATTCATAATATATTTTAAGGGTATGTGTGCGATAGAGTTAATCAATATTTTTTATTGGCAGCTGTATAAGCTAATTAATTAGTCAAAAACGCTGCTATCATTCGAGTGGACCTCGACGTAGCTGAATGTATTCAATATATTCTTAAAGATTACAGATCTACAATTATATTTGCTCATTTAATTTTAATGTTTAATAAGGTTCGGTTAGGTAATACTTCTTCCAAATATTATTTTGTAACTAAATAGGAGTAGGTTTAATATAAATCAAAAACTGCCGTATCTAACGAGTTTTGTGGATTTTATACATTTATTTATGTTTATTTACACAACTGATTTGTTATTATTTATTTTTAATTTAGTTAAATGAATTTTAAATCTTGTAAATTGGTAGTAGTTGCCCTTTAGCAGGCTAATACCCAAATTATGCGTGATATACTATACCATATCTACAACTCTAAAATTTCCAGTGGTTAGAATAATAAGATTATTTCCTATTTTATAAAACTGGTGTTACTAGTAAAACTAGTCATGTTTTTTAATATTATTGCCATTTTTGCCATAAGTAATTGATATTAAATATCTGAAACCAAATGTAATGTTATAATATTATGACAAACAATTTTAGTCAATTTCTATTCAAAATCTGTATTTTGGTAGATTGTTGATATTTTATACAATTTTGATCTAACATACTATGACAGTTATTTACTATTTGTATATTTCTCATCAATATTGTATACTGTATATTTTGGAATAACTCTTTTGTCTGATTTGATAGTAATATAATTTTAAATAATTAAGTGACCAGTAATATTTTGAAATATTTGTTGTTTGTGATTTACCTTAGTAACGGTTATGGGCCTGTTTCACCTTCCAAAATTACAACTCGAATATGTTACAAAATTGGTTTGAAAACAAATAGGTGTCACGTACAAATCATGCTAAAATGAAAACACGCTTATCTTCGCAGCGTCCTTATTTCAAAGCAGGGATGTTTCCGCACACATTTTCCTATTGACTCCAAACTAAATACAAAACATTAAGCAATGTGAAGAATATGAAATATTTGTACAGTATTTAATAGTTGTACTGGTATTGCTTTCCACTATCACTACAAAAATTAACTTGGCCTAAATCTGTCATAGTCTATCGAAGTTAAAGAACTATCGTAATTATTAGTTGAATTGCCGCATTTCCCCGTAGTGAAACAGGCCTCGTTATTGGTAGATCACCTTTGTACTAAGCTACCTAAAGTCAGTTTTTCTCTTAGGTGGCGGATAGAGTGAAGTAAAGAATATTTAAATCTTCAAAAGTTACGGAACTAAATTCCCGATTTGACATTTCTGTAAAAAAAATAGAATTTATGTGTACTTACTTTTATTTCTTCAAAAATAAGCGTAATTGAAACTTCATGTGCCAGCCACCACAAGAAAAACTGATATAATACTATAACTGTTGTCTGTACTGTAATACAGGGGGACTTTTAAATCATTGGCATCCTTTTAAACTACTCTACTCCACTCATGGTAAATAGTACATTTCCTGAATATGACACAAATCCAATGAGTTTTTTGTCTTAATTTTACTATTTATTTGTATTAGTGTGATCTTATAAAGAGTTTAAAACGATTGTAAAGTTAACAGCACATTTTTGTTGCATATTAAGTAATATTAACACCTAATACATCGAAATAAGATGCCACAGTGTAATGTTTTAATTTTTGAAATTATAACTCATTGAATTTGTCTCATATTCAGGGAATGTACTATGAACCATGAGTAGAGTCTTAGTTTAAAAGGATGCCAACGATTTAAAAGTCACCTGTATAAAGATGTAGGTAACATTTTTGCATTTTAAAAGAAAAATGAAGACTTATAAAATGGAGCATTTAAATTTAAGCTTGACCGCTGCTAGCGCGACAGCTAACGCCATCATCACCATCACCATAGCATTATAGACTCATTAGTAACGAGTTGCGCTCACGGCGGTTAATCTATAGTAGAATACTATGCATAGAAGGATGTAATAAGAAATACATTTTTTGTTAAACTTTTACATACACACAACATGAATGTATTGTGATAATTATTTAATCTGTTAAAAAATAATGTAGTTAAAATCATTGTCACTGTCTGCCCAGTACAACTAAGCAATTAAAAATAATAAAAGGTCTTAAGGTTCATCAATATGTTACGAATGGCAACCCTAGTTCTACAGTGAGCTTGATTTTAAAATGGCATCCACATAATCATGCTAATTCAATAACCGAATTAAAAGCATGCCAAGTGCGCCGGTTCTTTCAGGCAGCGGATGTTTTTGTATGGGCATGGTTGGATGGCGACGACGGATGGTGTGCGCCAGCCACCTACAAATCTGAATCCGCTTAAGGGCGTAGCACATTTATCAACCCGGAAAGGGATCGTAACTGTATCAACTCGAGGCGGTCAGTATTCTTTGTATGAAACTCCATACTTCAACGCACACTTATCCGCACCGTAACGTAAACGCCTCGCCTCGCAATTGACAGCGCGCGGAACAGTAGCGGCGTAAGGGGGGGGCGGTGGGGGCGGTCCGCCCCGGCTGCCAAGCATCAGGGGGTGACAAAAGTCCCGCACTGGCGTGGAAGGCGATGACAGCTCGTAAAAGGCGATACAAGTGTTGATGCCTCTAATCCATATCTGTGGTGATCCCTTTCCGAGTTGATTTGTCGACTTTACCAGAGTAAATACAAATGAGTAGGTTATCTTCATAGAAACGCACTTTGTATGGGAGCGCGCCAATACGTATACGGCGCGCACGCACACACTGACAAGACAATTGCCCTTTAAAAAGAATCGAGCCTATTTTTATATGAGCCGGTACAAAGCCTTTTTAATAAATTGATAGAGTGTCTGAATATTGTTAAAATATAAAATGGACAAGAGACTGAGCTAGATTTCTGCAGGAAATACCTATTAATGTTTACGCCCTCTTTGGTAGGAAAGTCAATGATTAGGATCTTAGGTGCCCCAATGTGTATTGTATTAAACGTTTCCTGTTTTACTTCATATAATTACACAAATCCTAGCCAGAAATGTTGTTTTATTTAATAACCTAATGCCATTACCAATTTATTATGCTTATATTTCGATAACTTTATTTAGTTTTTGGGGCAATCTCAAATAATAAATAAGACCGACTTCAAAACTAGAGTTCAAAATAGATACTTCATATTTAAAAAACAAAGTAAATAAGTAATACAAAACTTCATGCTTATAAAGTTTATTTAAGGAATATTTAGTATCAACACAGATAATAATTACTTATAATATCAANAATAATTATAACATTCATTTTCATGCTTAGCATAAAGTGCTGATGGTCTCATTTATTTCATCACCAAGTGATAATAGTTTACGCCATTGTTCTGGAGTTAAACTTATTCCTTTCTTTCCTGGTAACAAGTCGCCATTTTTTTCATAGAATTCTCTTACATCTACATACACTTTTCCCTTGAATTCCCGAACTTTTACTAATTTTTTGCCTTGCAATACCCAGGTTGGCTCTTTGTCATCAGTTCTTGACCCCATTTTGGCTTTTTTCTCAGGAGGTGGGTTTCTCTGAAAAAATATAATTTGATATCAATAACAGTAAAGGAAATGTGAAGAGTTTATAAGTTTTGTAGAGGAACTGATTGGAATTTATGAATTTAATGCCTTGGGGGAAACTAATTACCTTGAAAAATTTAAAGTAGGTAGTTTGTTGCTTCAAGATGGCTAATGTTTATATTGTATGTTTTCTAATAAGATTATTAAGCGCTTTTGTAGTGGGATTCAAAAAATATTTTTGAATCAAAATTAATTTAGTTGATACATTTTAAAAAGTAAGTTGGAAAATTTCTTAGAGAAATAGGATGATTTTGTGAATCTACCACTATTTACCCATGCATAATGTGTGTCGAGGCTTTATTATTACGATTTCAAGGCCTTAAATAAAATCGTTTTTACTCTTACTTACATCTATAGGACCTTCATCACTATCGCTGCTGGAACTTTCTTCCTTTTTCTTATGTTTCGGCATCGTTCCCGGTTTAGTAACCTAAAATTTATTAAATTGTAGTTACCTATTTTATGGTAGATGGCACTAAGATTACAAACCTGCTTAAAGGAAGTGAGTTTACAAACCTGTTTTTTGCACCTAACCAATTAAATTTTAATTTATCAAACAAACAGATAACAGTTATCAAAATTCAACACAATTTTAATAACATCTTCTTCTTCTTTGGTTTATGGCGATGAACTTGCGTTTTTTCGCCACTGAGGGCACACTATTCCGCCAATTTTTTAAAAAATTAATAATTAATTTCAAATTAATAACATTAGCTTGCTTGAAAATGACGTGTGGCAGCAGGCAACTTTTCTCTATGGGGTCTGTGTATGGGGTGTCTGGCGGAAAATAATAACGCCAGCCAGCTAGCTAGCTAGCTCTAGCAAGTAAAATGCATGAAGCTACAGATAAAAATGGAGGCCACACTCCGAATACCTACTTGAAGCACAAACTATGTATCACTATCTCGCTCTCTGTGGGCAGACTCGCTCTTTCTAAATAAACAAAAAATATAAAATTGCTAAATTCAGTGAAACTCAATGTAAAATCTTTATTTCTTGACATAGGTATCATTAAAAATGATAAGTGTAATTACTGGTAAAACGTTTTAGGAAGAAATTACTGTAAAAAATGTGAAAAATGTTTACAATGATCCAATGTCGGAAATCACGAAATAAACACTTACGCGTGGAATCTTATGTCACTTCCAGGACACCACGCACTACAAAATTTTGCACCAATTCTTGTGATAAAACAATGATTATTTCCTGTAAACAATCTCAAACGAAATTAACTGCTTAATAAACAAAATAGTAAACAACCGCCNTTCGCTCGACACCGCGTCTTCGGCTTGCTGGCCGGCTTTGCCGGCCAGCCTCAGCCGCGGCGCCTCGCTTCCAGCCACCTGCTCCTCAGCCCGCGGGCCGCCTCGCCCCTCCGTGCCTACGCGCTTCTAAATTACACTCTAGGGGTAGGGCAGACAAGACTACGTGGAGTCGGTTTTACGGCGATTCGTTTTTGCCACTAAAGTCATTTATAAGTCAAGCTAAAAAAGAACATACTTAAAGTTATCTATATCTATCATAAATTATATCAATTAAAGAGTATAACAAATAATATTTATTATATAATATGAACGTTATTGAAATGAATTTATATCATATAAACTTATAATATAAACTGTCACGCACCCGTCCTTCACAGATTAGAGAGGCGTCTTTTAGCGGTAAGTGCTGTCACTGTCCAAAAAATGTATGGGAAATAATGTAACGACACTTACTTTTGAAGTTTAAGAAACGTGTCCTAAAACGTAAAATTTTCGGCGGTTTGCTAGCAAATTTTAACAATGCTAATTATCGGCTGAACGCAGCTCGTAACATGAAAGAGATAGCAGACACGATTTTCACAAAAAGAACCTATATTCCATATCAATCTGTGAAAAGAACTGTCAACTCAAAATAGAACGTGAATAAAGGTAAAGGCACACCTATTTACATCATGGATAGGTACCAAAGATTAAATAATACTCGTGGGCTATTATTTATGTAAAGCGCGAATGATTTGATTGATGAATAGGCTCCAAAAGTATTGTACCGATTTAAAAATTATTTCCTACAAAAATCCATCCCTCCTGAAAAAGAACCCTACACACTATGGAGCGAAATTGAGATTTATGGACATAGCGATTTTTTTCACAATTTCTATTTGAAAAAAATACCTATCGATAGGTTACGTTATTCTGATGAATAAATGCTTCACAAGTTTTTCTCTAAAACCAATAGTTTGACTGGAAAAAAATATTTTCCATTTTCGTTGTATGGAATGAAACATAAAGTGGTCGATTTCGACTAAGCCTTGACAGATCTTNTAATCGCCTTAACTCGCCGAAAGGGCTAAGTTTCCGTACTGCTTTAGCTCATATATCTACTGTGGTAATCCTGTAGGGTGCCATCATGCTTGTTTTGTTTTCGATGTAAACTCGCGGAGATGAACAGGCCTGGTACTACGTACAGAAGGTTTTCTTCGCGAAGGTATTTAAAAACTCAGTAGAGTAGTTTTTTTTTTCTTTAATTTATTATCGCGTATGAAATTCTAACGAATACTACTTTGTAAACATAAATCAACGATATATTTAATTCGTTCCTTTCTCTGTATAGTCAATTCAATCCATCTATTTATAGCCAGTTGTAATTGTAAATCATGAACATTGCTCTTGTGATGTGTTCGCTAATTTTACACAAGCTGTCGCCAACGTCCATACCACGTTGAAAACACCGGTTCTCGTCCGATCACCGAAGTTAAGCAACGTCGGGCGCGGTCAGTACTTGGATGGGTGACCGCCTGGGAACACCGCGTGATGTTGGCTTTTTGCCCTTTTTTTGCACTTTTAGGATTTTGCCAGAAGTTAAAATACGTATTTTTGGTTAATTACTTTTATTGAAATGTAACAACAACAAATACATCGTATAAATAATACCTACACAGAAATTAATATTTCTGATGCAAATTGTGTCAAGGTCGCATAAATACATGATGAATTATATGCCTCAATAAAAAGAATAATTTTAAAATCACTACATAAAAAACACTAACTGCTATTATTCAGGTTTTCTTTTTGCGATCAAAGACAGCCTATGTATTTTTCCAACGTGATTGCAATAAATAAACAGTGAAACGAAGTTAGTTCATTATTACTAAAATCAGTTGGGGTGGATTTGCCTTTTACATATTGTGTACTGTGTACATTGTGTATAACAAAGGAGAAGAAACAGAGATTATTCATCCTAATATAAAAATAACTAACTGATCGATCTATGTGATTGTTGCGGCGTTATTTATAACGTTCAGTATAATCTTTCAGCAGCAATTATTTTGTTATTTATGATACATGTTTCCTTCTTTTATTATTTGTCCAACTAAACTATTACAAATTATAATTGCATTGTAAATTATCACGTATTAATTAATGTTATGTATAGCCTCATCATAATAAATTATCAGTATCAAAAAACGATACCGATCATAGAAGATAGATAACTGACTCCGCTCTGCCATAGTATAATAATGAGTACTGCGGCTCTATATAAATTGGACACAACTAGCATAAAAAATAACTCAATGACTAGTCTATGATAAATGCCATTAAACGCAGAACATTGTGTTCTTAAAATTTACCTCATCTGTCGCCAACGTCCATACCACGTTGAAAACACCGGTTCTCGTCCGATCACCGAAGTTAAGCAACGTCGGGCGCGGTCAGTACTTGGATGGGTGACCGCCTGGGAACACCGCGTGATGTTGGCTTTTTGCTATTTGAGTTTGCATCTTTTTACACAAAAATTTAATGAGAACGCGGATTTGTGTACAGCTCCACATTTTGATATTTTTTTGATATCATAAATTTTTTAAATCCTTTATTTTGTTGAATAACAATTAAATGTTATATTTTTAGAATTCGGGGGCAAAGAAAAACATAATTCAAAAAGCTAACAAAACAGATTAAATAGCAAAAACTGGCAAAATATGTATTTTTTGTGTTCTTAATCATTATGTTTACTAACTAGTAACTACATCTATCCGAATTACTCTACACGAAATCCTTAAACTGACCAAGTTCACAACAATTTAGTTCGTTGTAACTAGAGATGAAACGGATATCCGGTAACTATCCGGTAGGCCGGATATCCGGCCTAAATTTACTATCCGGCCGGATACCGGATAGTAACCCACTATCCGGCCGGATACCGGATATTAAAAAATCTACGACAATTTCCTATTAATAAAATGAAATGCATTAATATTTGAAGTAAATGTCAATAAAATGGCTTATAGTAATGACGGCTTTTATTTAAAGACCAAAAAGTTACAAAAAAGCCATATTAAAGCCTGTCAAAAACTAATTTCTTTTTCTGGGCTATTCACTCTAATGACGAATACATAAATAGTAATTGTCTGTTAATGTCGAAATATTGCCAAATAAAATAGGCGATCTTTTTTTCACTGATGACAGATGCAGTTCAGTCAGATTACGCAGCAAGTAAACTAATTTATAGATGACCCACGCTGAACTGTCCCACCAAACTCAATGACAGGGGGGCGCTACCATCGTTCAACTATATGGTTTCCAACATGGCAAAAATCGGAACCAGCGATCCGGTATTGACGGTGGCGCCCCGCTGTCAATGTCATGGATAGGACAGTTCATTATTTTGGAACTATAATTTTCGCTATTAAATCACACACTCACGATGGCAACCGAAATCGCCCGAATGAGGGCTATCGTTTTAGCGCTCACCAGTTAGCGCCACTGTAGAGTAAGGTCCTGTCACTTGCTAGTAGCGAAGACAGTGGCACCAACTGGTGAGCGCTAAAGTGGTAGGAGGACTATCGCATTTGCACTTATCAAGATGGCGCCACTGTAGAGTAAGGTCCTGTCAATCGCCAGGGGTGCCAACTGTTAAGTATAAAAACGATAGCCCTCTGATCTACCCCCTAGACAAGTGGCAAAATCTGACATTCTATTCGGACGGATTCGATTTTCGAAAAGTGTGACTAGTCTAGTCTACTAATAGACCACTGATCGCGTTCGAAGCACCTGTGCGGCGCTAAACTCGTCACGACATGCAACGAGACAATTGGCCAACTATCCGGCCGCCGGATATCCGGCTATCCGGCCTAGCAGCTGGCCGGATATCCGGTATCCGGTATCCGGCCAAACAACTATCCGTTTCATCTCTAGTTGTAACCTCATAGAGGGCGGTATGTAAAAGCAGCTTAACTTTATCATTTTCTGCTCCTCATTTGCCAACGTTCATACCACGTTGAAAACACCGGTTCTCGTCCGATCACCGAAGTTAAGCAACGTCGGGCGCGGTCAGTACTTGGATGGGTGACCGCCTGGGAACACCGCGTAATGTTGGCTTTTTGCTGTTCTTTCGTTTTTAACTTTTCATAACGACTATTTTATTTTTTTGTTTATTGAGTTTAATTCTACACAAAAATGCAATTTAAAATGTTGCATTATTTTTGAGCCAGTAAATTATTTAATCAACGTATTACGAAACAAACATCCTAGTTAATTGTCTTATAATGATTATATTGCATGCTGTATTTTTCTTCGAAATAATTATTCGGAATCTGTATTTTTTTTTCAATGTGTTATTTATTACTAACTAGCTTCCAAATTCTGTATTATGTTATTGTCATTTAAGTTCTGCAAATGCTAATGAAATGCATATGTGAGCATCATTGCATTTATGTATTTTAATTTTACCTTCATAAATAAGTAAAATACCACTCGTTCCTTTCGGTTAGTTATTTATAATAACAATGAATAAAAATTGTTCTCAAATAAATACAATCTACTAACTACATCTATCCGAATTACTTAGCACGAAATCAGTAAAATTTTTATGGTGAACCAAGACACATTTCATGCTGTCTACAACAATTTAGTTCGTTGTAGCCTCATAGAGGGCGGTACAAAAGCAGCTTTTCTTTATCATTTTCGACACGGCATTTGCCAACGTCCATACCACGTTGAAAACACCGGTTCTCGTCCGATCACCGAAGTTAAGCAACGTCGGGCGCGGTCAGTACTTGGATGGGTGACCGCCTGGGAACACCGCGTGATGTTGGCTTTTTGCTCTGTTTTATGCTTTTCTTAATAAAAGAATTATGTGAGCAAAATTTTTTTATAAAACTGAGCCCCGATTACGGTAACTTTTAACGTTTCCAATCCAGACACGCTTCTCGATTCTGCGATACGATTGGTCGTTCAACAGCGTACGTCAGCTGTTTTGACCAATCGTATTGCAGAATCAGAAACGCGTCTGGATTGTAGACGTTAAAAATTACCGTAATCGGGGCTCAGGATGTTGAAGTAAAATTAACAAAATTAATTGCTGCTTGTAATATTTGGTTCAAGAAGATCGTAAAATAATTGTTTGCAAACAGTTTTGTAAATCCAGTTTTCCCAACCTTATTAAAACAATTATTTTTGTTAAAGTTACTTTAAATTTTTAGGCAACAGTAGTAGTCCAATTGTTTGGAAATCGTTCTAACACATAAATTAATTTCATTACAGCGCAACATTGACGATCTGGAGTACATAGTCATACCGGCGAGGCTAGCTAAGAAGAAGTCGGACTTCAGTTCTATGGCCTGGGACACCACATCGCCTACCGATTCCGACTGCCTGAGCCCGCGGGACATACAACACGACGTCGTCGTCCACAAAGAAAGAGACAGCTCTACTGAGAGCAGCGAGAAAGACTGCAGCAAAAGCGACAGCCCACATTACGAACAAATCCTCAAATCGCGCACCGAAACTTATACCATCCCCGAGAAATGCTTCATATCAGATGAGGACCAAGTCGATGACAGGCCAGTACTAAAATACAACCACCTCCCAGAGAAAGACTTTTCTAGCGCCTGCTCGACTCCAATAGCAAAAATCAGGGCGCGTATCAAAGATATAGGCACGCCAGGCTTACACAGAAGCGACTCCACCGAATATTGCAGCATTCTAAGCCCGAACCGCACGAACCATTTCGCGTCTAATAACGACACTTTTAATCTAAATGAAAGACCCACGACGAAACTCAGCAGGAGTTTCACCCCTAAATCGTACAAACCCCTTCACATCAAAGTGCCGGAGTGCAATTTGGACTCTATCAAGGATATATTGAAGGAACACAATGGCAGTGAACGTTCGTCGTACAATTTTGATATTAAAAACTACAGTTTGCCGACGACGCCGATCGCGCGGAGCAATAAGCTCAGGAAAAACGCGTGGCTCTCAGGCGACTTGAGTATGACACGACAGAGCAACGAGGCGTTGCAGGATTCAAAGAATAGTAGTAAAGGTAAGTGTGATCAAGGTGACACTTTAATAATAATAATGACATACAAGACTGATAAAAGATGCTAAAAGAAAAAAATACCTTTTTTTCCCTTAAATATCAACGGGGCATATCTTGTGGTAGTTAAATACATTTGTTACGATAAGGTTAACCTTTTTACGCGTTCTTACTGATTAAAAACTCCAAGGATCCTGTCGCCAACGTCCATACCACGTTGAAAACACCGGTTCTCGTCCGATCACCGAAGTTAAGCAACGTCGGGCGCGGTCAGTACTTGGATGGGTGACCGCCTGGGAACACCGCGTGATGTTGGCTTTTTGCTTTTCATAGTCATAACTAAATTTTGATATTTTAATTTTACAATTTCTATTCAAAATTCTACTGAACATTGTATTTTTTTCAGACAAAAATGAAGATTCGCCGCCAGACACTCCAATGATGTCTAATAACACATCGTTGGAAAAGGATCAGCCTGTTGAAAAGACAGGTTTTCAATATCCCACAAAAGAATGCTCTCCGCAAAGTGTGGAGACTCAAGACAGCTTTTCCGGACTCAGGACGTAAGAAACTCATTTCTTTCATTCATCCTTCAGCTTTCATTAAAAAATAAACAAATACAAAATATGCACAAAGATAGCAGCGCCATCTGTTTGCGTTTTATAGAAATGTTTGTCACTTGTTTCGTAAAACAAGTCACTATCATCGAGTCGGGTGATAAATCATTAATAAATTAATGCTTTTTCTTTCAATCCAAGGCGGCCTATAAATTATTATAGGTGGTTATTGTATATTAGAAACTACGACCTTGTCTATTCTTATTTATTATAGAATATGAACAGTATGTTTTTCAGTAAACAGTAACTTTTTAAATCGTGTCCCCGCAAGATGGCGTTAATAACATACTTTGAAATTATTATAGAATATGCTTTTTGTATTTCAATAATTAAAATAACTTTACTAAACTGATTTTTATACGGTTTTAAAGTACGTTTCTGTTGTATGAAAATCTTTTTCTTTAGGTTGTAGTAGTAAAGATCACGTCACGAAAGCAAAAAGTGATTCGTTCCAAACTAAACACAGTATACAAGCGACAATTATAGTTCTTGCGACTCACGAAGGCGAGTGAGCTTTACTTGTGTGTGTACATGCACATAACTATAGTGTAATGTCTATCAAAACTTGTGAAAAACGAACAGTAGCGAGCCACCACACATGTAAAGCTCACTCGTCTTCGTGAATGAGGGTTTTCGCGATTGAAAAATCGCGCGAGGTCCAAATGCTGCATGATTGGTGGATTTTGACATATCTGTCAATGTCATGTCAAAAATAACCGATCATGCAGCATTTGGACCTCGCGTCTACGTATTGCCATTTGGCGGATTTTTCAATCGCGAAAACCCTCATTGCAACAACTATCCTTCATCTCCAGGGCGAATCAAACCCAATCGTCGCCCGAATGCGATGACCCGGTCCGAGAAAGAAGCAACTCCTGGTCATTCCGCACTTCCATGGACCGCAGCAAGTTCAAAATGGAGGAGGACGTTCTAACAGGCGTCAACGTGAAGCCTCTGGTGGCCATACACGAGCGCTGGATATACGAGGCCAACCGCAAGACCGGCCGGTCCATGTCGCTGCCTGAGGACCACAAGTGAGTATACTAGAGTAAATTCTAAGACCAGAGCAAACGACACAGTCTCTTGAAGATATTAGACTATAAGTGGCTGCAACTCCTGGTCATTTGTCACCTCCATGGACCGCAGCAAGTTCAAAATAGAGGAGGACGTGCTAGCAGGCGTCAACGTGAAGCCTCTGGTGGCCATACACGAGCGCTGGATATACGAGGCCAACCGCAAGACCGGCCGGTCCATGTCGCTGCCTGAGGACCACAAGTGAGTATACTCAGAGTAGATTCTAAGACCAGAGCAAACGACACAGTCTCTTGAGGATGTTTCACTATAGTACACTCAGAGTAGATTCTAAGACCAGAGCAAACGACACAGCGTCTCTTGAGGATATTACACTATAAGTGGCTGCAACTCCTGGTCATTTGTCACCTCCATGGACCGCAGCAAGTTCAAAATAGAGGAGGACGTGCTAGCAGGCGTCAACGTGAAGCCTCTGGTGGCCATACACGAGCGCTGGATATACGAGGCCAACCGCAAGACCGGCCGGTCCATGTCGCTGCCTGAGGACCACAAGTGAGTATGCTCAGAGTAGATTCTAAGACCAGAGCAAACGACACAGTCTCTTGAGGATGTTTCACTATAGTACACTCAGAGTAGATTCTAAGACCAGAGCAAACGACACAGCGTCTCTTGAGGATGTTTCACTATAAGTGGCTGCAACTCCTGGTCATTTGTCACCTCCATGGACCGCAGCAAGTTCAAGATAGAGGAGGACGTGCTAGCAGGCGTCAACGTGAAGCCTCTGGTGGCCATACACGAGCGCTGGATATACGAGGCCAACCGCAAGACCGGCCGGTCCATGTCGCTGCCTGAGGACCACAAGTGAGTATGCTCAGAGTAGATTCTAAGACCAGAGCAAACGACACAGTCTCTTGAGGATGTTTCACTATAGTACACTCAGAGTAGATTCTAAGACCAGAGCAAACGACACAGCGTCTCTTGAGGATGTTTCACTATAAGTGGCTGCAACTCCTGGTCATTTGTCACCTCCATGGACCGCAGCAAGTTCAAGATAGAGGAGGACGTGCTAGCAGGCGTCAACGTGAAGCCTCTGGTGGCCATACACGAGCGCTGGATATACGAGGCCAACCGCAAGACCGGCCGGTCCATGTCGCTGCCTGAGGACCACAAGTGAGTATACTCAGATTAGATTATAAGACCAGAGCAAACGACACAGTCTCTTGAAGATTTACTACTAGAAGTGGTAGTAACTCCTGGTCATTTGTCACCTCCATGGACCGCAGCAAGTTCAAGATTGAGGAGGACGTTCTAACAGGCGTCAACGTGAAGCCTCTGGTGGCCATACACGAGCGCTGGATATACGAGGCCAACCGCAAGACCGGCCGGTCCATGTCGCTGCCTGAGGACCACAAGTGAGTATTCTCAGAGCAGATTCTAAGCCCAAGCAAACGACACAGTCTCTTGAAGATTTACCACTAGAAATGGCTGCAACTCCTGGTCATTTTGCACCTCCATGGATCGCAGCAAGTTCAAATTAGAGGAGGACGTGCTAGCAGGCGTCAACGTGAAGCCTCTGGTGGCCATACACGAGCGCTGGATATACGAGGCCAACCGCAAGACCGGCCGGTCCATGTCGCTGCCTGAGGACCACAAGTGAGTATGCTCAGAGTAGATTATAAGCCCAAGCAAACGACACCAGTCTCTTTAAGATAGTCCACTAGAAATGGCTGCAACTCCTGGTCATTTGTCACCTCCATGGACCGCAGCAAGTTCAAGATAGAGGAGGACGTGCTAACAGGCGTCAACGTGAAGCCTCTGGTGGCCATACACGAGCGCTGGATATACGAGGCCAACCGCAAGACCGGCCGGTCCATGTCGCTGCCTGAGGACCACAAGTGAGTATGCTCAGAGTAGATTATAAGCCCAAGCAAACGACACCAGTCTCTTTAAGATAGTCCACTAGAAATGGCTGCAACTCCTGGTCATTTGTCACCTCCATGGACCGCAGCAAGTTCAAGATAGAGGAGGACGTGCTAACAGGCGTCAACGTGAAGCCTCTGGTGGCCATACACGAGCGCTGGATATACGAGGCCAACCGCAAGACCGGCCGGTCCATGTCGCTGCCTGAGGACCACAAGTGAGTATGCTCAGAGTAGATTATAAGCCCAAGCAAACGACACCAGTCTCTTTAAGATAGTCCACTAGAAGTGGCTGTAACTCCTGGTCATTTGTCACCTCCATGGACCGCAGCAAGTTCAAGATTGAGGAGGACGTTCTAACAGGCGTCAACGTGAAGCCTCTGGTGGCCATACACGAGCGCTGGATATACGAGGCCAACCGCAAGACCGGCCGGTCCATGTCGCTGCCTGAGGACCACAAGTGAGTATACTCAGATTAGATTATAAGACCAGAGCAAACGACACAGTCTCTTGAAGATTTACTACTAGAAGTGGTAGTAACTCCTGGTCATTTGTCACCTCCATGGACCGCAGCAAGTTCAAGATTGAGGAGGACGTTCTAACAGGCGTCAACGTGAAGCCTCTGGTGGCCATACACGAGCGCTGGATATACGAGGCCAACCGCAAGACCGGCCGGTCCATGTCGCTGCCTGAGGACCACAAGTGAGTATGCTCAGAGTAGATTCTAAGACCAGAGCAAACGACACAGTCTCTTGAGGATGTTTCACTATAGTACACTCAGAGTAGATTCTAAGACCAGAGCAAACGACACAGCGTCTCTTGAGGATGTTTCACTATAAGTGGCTGCAACTCCTGGTCATTTGTCACCTCCATGGACCGCAGCAAGTTCAAGATGGAGGAGGACGTGCTAGCAGGCATCAACGTGAAGCCTCTGGTGGCCATACACGAGCGCTGGATATACGAGGCCAACCGCAAGACCGGCCGGTCCATGTCGCTGCCTGAGGACCACAAGTGAGTATACGCAGAGTAGATTATAAGAACAGAGCAAACGACACCAGTCTCTTGAAGATTTACTACTAGAAGTGGTAGTAACTCCTGGCCATTCGTCATCTCCATGGATCGCAGCAAGTTCAAGATAGACGTTCTAACAGGCGTCAACGTGAAGCCTCTGGTGCCATACACGAGCGCTGGATATACGAGGCCAACCGCAAGACCGGCCGGTCCATGTCGCTGCCTGAGGACCACAAGTGAGTATACTCAGAGTAGATTCTAAGACCAGAGCAAACGACACAGTCTCTTGAAGATTTACTACTAGAAGTGGTAGTAACTCCTGGTCATTTGTCACCTCCATGGACCGCAGCAAGTTCAAGATTGAGGAGGACGTTCTAACAGGCGTCAACGTGAAGCCTCTGGTGGCCATACACGAGCGCTGGATATACGAGGCCAACCGCAAGACCGGCCGGTCCATGTCGCTGCCTGAGGACCACAAGTGAGTATACTCAGAGCAGATTCTAAGACCAGAGCAAACGACACAGTCTCTTGAAGATTTTCTACTAGATGTGGTTGCAACTCCTGGTCATTCGTCACCTCCATGGACCGCAGCAAGTTCAAATTAGAGGAGGATTTGCTAGCAGGCGTCAACGTGAAGCCTCTGGTGGCCATACACGAGCGCTGGATATACGAGGCCAACCGCAAGACCGGCCGGTCCATGTCGCTGCCTGAGGACCACAAGTGAGTATACTCAGAGCAGATTCTAAGACCAGAGCAAACGACACAGTATCTTGAAGATTTTCTACTAGATGTGGTTGCAACTCCTGGTCATTCGTCACCTCCATGGACCGCAGCAAGTTCAAATTAGAGGAGGATTTGCTAGCAGGCGTCAACGTGAAGCCTCTGGTGGCCATACACGAGCGCTGGATATACGAGGCCAACCGCAAGACCGGCCGCTCCATGTCGCTGCCTGAGGACCACAAGTGAGTATGCTGAGGTTAGATAAACTGATAGATTAGATACTCATTATATTCATGACGATAACCCACTATATGAGGCGACGAACGAAAAATTAATGCAAGCTTAAGAGTAGGCGCACACCGTTGATTTTTCGTCAGCCGATAGTTTAGTCGGGCAGTTGATCAGTATAGGCATGTATGGGAGTGCGCACACTACGCCGATTCGATTTGGCCGATTCTTCATACAATTTGAAATCGGGCACAACTATCGGCCAACTAAAAATCAACGGTGTGCGCCTACTCTAATACAACTGACCTCTCCCTTCTCTTCGTTGTCTTGATAATTTTCAAGCAAGTAAGTACTAGACAAAATATTTCGGCAAAGCTGTTGCCAACGTCCATACCACGTTGAAAACACCGGTTCTCGTCCGATCACCGAAGTTAAGCAACGTCGGGCGCGGTCAGTACTTGGATGGGTGACCGCCTGGGAACACCGCGTGATGTTGGCTTTTTGCTATTTTTAGTTTAATAATTTTATTTGAATTTATTTTAATCATTCAGTTCATTTTGGTTTATTTTCCATCAGACTTGGTGTCTCGTTTTATGCAGTTGAGCATACATTTACAAAAAAAAAAATGCTTTTAATTCTTATTTCAAGGGCAAGGGACTAAGAATAAAATTTGTATACAAACTTTTGACAACATTGTATTTTAGCTTACTGCAAGACATGCATAACATTATTGAACAAATGAAACTAAATACTCGTAAAAGCTTGTAACAATACCGCGCCATGTCACGTTTTACTCTGTATTGCAAAGAGTATGTGTAAAGGGCCAATGCCACAGGGCCAAGTAGGGACTTACGCGGTGTTGTTAGCATAAATGACGATATCGTATTTCTTTAACTCCTGCTTAAGTTCGTATATTTTTCCCAAGCTGTCGCCAACGTCCATACCACGTTGAAAACACCGGTTCTCGTCCGATCACCGAAGTTAAGCAACGTCGGGCGCGGTCAGTACTTGGATGGGTGACCGCCTGGGAACACCGCGTGATGTTGGCTTTTTGCAATTTTGTTATACCCTTCATATATTTTTTTACCTTTAAAAATATGAAGTGATTTTTACCATTACATACTTTTTTATTTATTTATAGATGTGCTGCAATCCCAGCGGTGAAGCCAGCTTCCCACTGCGTGGACACGCTACAAAAGTCGCTGCCCCAGTTGAATGCCAGGAGGCCTTCCAAGCCGTTTAGGGCTCCAACTTCGCCGGGCGTCGGGAAGACTGGTCAGTGATTTTAAAAAACTACATAAGTAACGCACATAGGGCATTATGGTGATTAAAAAAGATAGGCATGATGACAGATTGACATGCTTGTCTGTTTCCCAATTTTAGAGGGTCATAATAAAACGAATTAAAATTAAACTTGTTATCAAACAAAAAGTTTACAGATTCTTATTTTTATCTGTATATTGCTAATTACAATCCTAGGATTAGCCATGCCCATTATGGCGCAGTTACACTATTCGCGGAATGGATCGAATTAGATAGTGTAAACACACAGTTCAATTCGTTCTGCCGTACGTCGCCTGTTCGATCAATTTCGCGCAGTGTAGCTGCACCATTAGGCTCTGCCTACTTCAAACCTTGTAGTCCGTTATTTATGATAATCGGGGTTTGAAATGTTTGTGTAACTGATGCCAAACTCGATATGCACGCCGCTAATTGCACATTGCATGTTTTATAACATTTAATTAAGGCATGTATTTAAATGATCTTTTTAAATTAGCAAAAACGGCAAATAAAAAAATCTAAATGGTCATCTATTTTAATGATTGATCCTCTTTCTTTGAGACATAAAATAAATGAAATCGATCGATATTTTAACCTCTTTTGAAATACGCAAAAAAAAATTGAGATGTAAAAATTATATCTGATCGTTACTTGTTCGTCCTCAAAAATAAAAGAAATGAGTACCAAATATTCAATATTGTGATACTTTTTTAAATAATTCGATTTGTATAAATTATTTTTTGTCTATATCAAATAATCTTCAAAATAATTATGTTATGGTACTTATTTTTATTAAGTTGCAGTCAAAGGATGGAAACTATTTAAAGGCACTTGATGTTGAAAGATTTTTTTTTTTAATAAAAAAGCATACTTAACATGTTCACACTGCGTTATCGGGTCGAATTGACCTTAGGTGCTGGATGCGTTGGTGCGGGATGGATATATTCGGTCTTTTCAGTAGTACGAAAGATAAATATTGTTTTGCAATTGTTTCGTCAAACACAGTAAATATTTGGAAAAAAAAACTTATCAGGTCCTTACGACCCGATGTCGCACTAAAAGTAAACAAATATCGTTTAGTGCTTTTATCGTGTCTAATCGACCCGTTGACAGATGACTTTATGGTCACTAATCACGGTCGAGATCGGTATACTAAGAGAAAATCAACCTTGCGATTTGAAAAAAATAAAGAGGTAAAAATTATGATGTCGGGTTCAGGGATGTCAGAAGTAAGAAATTATTTTACATAGCGCCTCTAGTCCCAAACTAAGCAAAGCTTGTAATTTAAACAAACATGGCAATGTACCATTCTGCTTGCTTATTGGCCGCTAAGCCCTTGGCCAACTCAGTAACCAATGACGGACGATTGTCAGTCAACCACAAAGTACCGCGTCAATTAAAAGATAATTGTTAATTTAAAATATTAACCAATAATATTTTTTGTTAGATCAAATATATTTTAAAGTTAAGTTATACATAGATCGAAATGTATTTATTAGGTGATCAATATTAAAAGGCAAACTTGATATAAAAATCATCAAATTAACAAAATTAAAGATCAATAACTAAAAAAGAGGATCAAATATTATTTTTGTTTACCAAATATTAAAAGAGTATGTTAAGCATAAATATTATGTTACCTTTAATGAAGATCGTTCATAATTTATCCGTAGATCAACTAATATAGACCCAATAATTAATATAAAGATAAAATATAATAAAAAACATCATTTATTTTTAAAAGTGCACATACAAAAAAGATCAATTAGTTTTTAGAGGATCAAATAATATTGTCCCTTTAATTAATGCTGTAAGTTACGCTATTATTGTTATTGTGATTTGTGCATGCTATCGGTAGTGATTAACAATTTATTACTGTTCTTTGTGTTTGCCAACTAACTTATTAATAAGATACCTATAATTATGGTAATTCCTAAAAGTATTTTGTTAAAAATAATTGTTTAAATCTTCGCTTAGATTTGTGGTCGTTCGTTATGTTTGTTTTTGTGTTCTGATGACATTTTTAAAATGTTGAAATGTGAATATTGATTGTCTTGCATTGCATGTCTACGCTTATGTGAAAAATGTTCTCAATAAACAATACAATTGAACTAATAACAGCTGTTTCTTTTCTTAACATTTGCACTTTATGCTTTATCCTGTATTGTTGTAAAATTATAATCCACAACTTGCATTATGCGACAGTATTAGTGTTTCCAGTAGGCCTAAGATGCGCGCCGCGATAAGCGGCTATCACGTCATTTTATCGATTTTCTCCATACATTTTGACGTCGATAAAAGTTATCACGGCGCGCATCTTAGGCCTACTGGTCTACAATCGTACTTATTTCTTTTTCATCTTACAAAGGAACAACATTACAAAATATTGTTTAATTCAACTTTAATTTAGTAGAAACTATTACTTTGCCATATCTTTCCTTCACAGGTGCGCAATGGGAACAATTTTGCCACGCCCGCGACACAATAGCAAAAAGTGTGAACTTCGGCTCTCGGGATTCTGAACGATTCCATACTTGGAAAAAAGATACTGACAAAGGGTAGGTCATTTGATTCGTAATTTTTCTGTATCTTTTGCCAACGTCCATACCACGTTGAAAACACCGGTTCTCGTCCGATCACCGAAGTTAAGCAACGTCGGGCGCGGTCAGTACTTGGATGGGTGACCGCCTGGGAACACCGCGTGATGTTGGCTTTTTGCTATTTTAACTCAGCTTATTTTGATTTATTTTCCATCAGTGTATATGCAGTTAAGTATAAATTACAAAAAAAACTACCTTTATCTCAAGGGATTAAAAATGTTATTGTGATTAGCAACTTTTGGTATTTTTTTTAGTTTACTGCAAGACACATTTAACAAACAATACCGGCGCCTTCTGTATTGTAAAGAGTTTAAGTGAATCATAGTTTTTTTTAAAGTGCCACATTACCTGGCCAAATGGGGACTTACGCAGTTTTGTTAGATTATGATGATATCGTATTTCTCTTATTTTTGCATAAATTCTTATATTTTACACAAGCTGTCGCCAACGTCCATACCACGTTGAAAACACCGGTTCTCGTCCGATCACCGAAGTTAAGCAACGTCGGGCGCGGTCAGTACTTGGATGGGTGACCGCCTGGGAACACCGCGTGATGTTGGCTTTTTGCTATTTTACACAATATTTAATTTAATATGATTTAACTTATTTTTAACTCAATGATTTTTTTCAATTAGCAAATACATAACTACGCGTTATCGTTGTTTCTATTTTTATGCAATAATTTAAAAAGACTAAAGTAAAAACACACCAATTTAATATTTTAAAATATTTTGTTCATTGCAGTAGAACTTTTTCAACTTGTATAATAAAAATGCTATTTCGTTGTTGTAGAGGATAGCTTTCAAATTGTATGATACAAACGAAAATAAATAAAATTATTTCTGGTCAAAAATAATTTTAATGGTAATAACATTCACACAACTTTCATTAATTAATATAACTACATCTATCCAAAATTACTTTGCACTAAAATTGTGAAACTGACCAAGGCTCACATCATGTTGTCTACAACAATTTAGTTCGTTATAGGACTCATAGAGGGCGCCCGGGCGGTATAAAAGCAGCTTCTCTTTAACATTTTCGACTCGGCATTTGCCAAGGTTCATACCATGTTGAAAACACCGGTTCTCGTCCGATCACCGAAGTTAAGCAACGTCGGGCGCGGTCAGTACTTGGATGGGTGACCGCCTGGGAACACCGCGTAATGTTGGCTTTTTGCTGCTCTTTAGTTTTTCATAAAACTATTTAATTTTTTGTATGTGTTCTGATAAAATTGTTTATGATTACGTTTACTTACAGTACTGTAACCGAAGATGTGACGCCAAAACCAGAGCCGAAGGTGGATCAAGCGACGGACACGCGGAGTATCGAAGAGTTCATTCGCGAGCTGATCCGCAAGGAGTTCCAGCACCTTATACATGAGTATTCCGACGACACGGCCACCACCGCTTCCACGGACAAAAACGAGGATATTCTTAACAAAGGCGTCGCGAACATCATGGAGAATTTAAAGCACGACGACTGCGACCAGACCTTAAAGAAAGAGCCAATAAAGTCGTTTTCAAGGGTCAAAATTAACGGCAACAACAAACCGTTGTTGCAAATAACTTTTAGCAGGTCAGGAGAGAACAGCCTGCAGGTTTTGGATAACTGCGTGAATGTTACCATTTGTGACGGAGTGGGCGCGCGAGAGAAACAGAACCAGTCGATGGAGGAAACGCTGACTGAGGACATGCATGTCAACTCGCTCAAGAGGTGCCAGGCTTTCAGTGCCATTCAGGTGAGATTGTCATATTTAAATAATTAAATACAATCAGGCGTTTTGAGACATTTTCCATAATTAATAATTTGTGGTGAATTAGGTTTCTTTTTTTGTAATTTTAATGACAAATAACCAAAAATGAATTCTCGAAACAAGTCGTAGGTCGAATCACGAAAATACGTAACAGATTTTTATAAATTTCACAGCAGCGAGAAAAATGCATTTCGGGCCCTTTTTAACTGTCAATTCCTGACAGAATTCAGTTACGATCTTTTGTAAGGTTATAACTTATAAAATACACGTTTTTTAATAACATGGTGTGTTTATCTCAAGATCGCCATTTTGTTAAATACGCCTTTTCGTGATTCGACCCACGAAATATGACTGTAAAAGTATTTAATTGTTTAAAAATAATGTCATTTCGTTTACAGGAAGCTAGAAGTACCGAGGATTTATACATAGACGACGACCTATCAACACAAATGCAAGAGAACTTCGGCGGCAAAGTGAAGCTGATCCCTCTGCACGGCTCGCTGCACGAGATCCTCTGCGAGAAAGAGGACGAGTGCTGCCTCATCAAGGTCAAGCAGGAGAACGGCTGCGACACCGTCTACTTCCGCTGCGACGCCTCCGACGACGTCGTCGACGCACCACACCCGAGAGACACCGTCGTCTTCAAACGCAGCATATCCCTAGTAGAAGAACGAATCCAGCGCATATTCCCCAAAGAAAAACGGGCGCAGACCCCCATCCACATCCGACGCGCGAAATCTAATACGGACGCGATGAAAACGCGCCCCAAATCGGAAGTTTTCGCGCCGAATATCACGAGAGAGTCGCGAGTGCTCAGCAACAGTAGCCCGTCGTTGATAATGAACGATAAAAGTGATGAAGTCGAGGTCAATATAGAGAACGTGATGAGTTACCAAGACTCGTCTTCGGAAGAATGTCTGAAGTGTCAGGCGGAAGCGGACGACTTCGAGATGCTTGAAAGGAAAATAGAGGAGGATCTCGCGAATAGCACTCTCTCGTCACTCACTTGCGGCTGTTTGGAAAAGATTTCTGAAGAAAACCTATCGGTGATCAATGAGGAGGGCACGGACAAGGATTGATTGCCGGTTGACGTTTGCGTCAAATTGGTATTTATATCACAACTGTTGTAGATTTTAATAATTCAAATTCGTTGAACGAATCATGGTGGTGATCGAGGTAACCTAATTTTTACTTATTTAAAGTGTAGATTGAAGATTTATCGGTTTCAATTTCAAATTGTATCGCCAGTCATTGCATGACGATATTTGACGAGTACAAAGTTATCAATTGTTTTGTTACATTCCAGAGAGTATCGATAGGTGAATAATTTTATTGTAACGTGCTTTAGCTGTGAAAAAGTATTCAGTGTTACACTGAATTCTTATTCGCCACGTAAAAGGACTTTTTAAATGTATAATGTCTGTATTGTACAAAGCCCTTTCTCCGATATTCTCGCATTTAGAAAACCCAAAGATTTGCATTAGGTTTTCCCAATTTTATATTATTATTTTTTGTTTATTAGGTTTTTAGAGTTACGCAAGGCTATGTGATTTTTAGACTAAGGAGCACGAACCATTCCACTGTTGTGATTTCTAGTATAGTTACTTACACCTTGTAAAGGTTTATACTTGCACTATTTTAATCTGTATGGTTTCTCGTTGATCTTAAATTTTATATCTGAATTTCTTTTCTATAAGTTTTTAAAATCGCCAAAAGATTGCCTTAATATTTGTCACATTTTATCATTGATTTTCTAAAATATAAATTTTTAAATCCATAATCAATTATTGGGTGATTTTAAAAGTTTTGAGTGAAATCGAGTGCTTTACTTCAGTTTGACCAAAGACATTCAATTCTGGGGTCAAAGCACTTTAAATTTTCATTTTAAATACTTTGTTAGTAATTGATTTTAGATCTATATAATCGTTAATAAAACTTTGTATTATTTATTTTCAATCTTTTATTTGAAAATAGTTTTTACACATTTACACAAATATGTATTCTTAAAACTAGTGAACATAAAATGTAGATTATAAAGGCACCAGAATGTTACAAATGAAAATGCATAATTATGGCTGTAAATATTCAGTACTATTGCTTATTATTATTGGAAGACATTTTAATATTAAAATATTTTGACTTTAAAATAAACTAAAATAAAGAGTATCATCACAAGTAATGTATATTTCTATTGATCAAATCAATCAGAAAATAATAATATCTAGCGATTTTTTTTTATTCATTTTATGACGAAAATTTATTTGGATAGCTATCATAGCCATAATAATATTGCCAAAAATGCCAATTACATTGACATCTTAGTTGAGTCACCTTTACTCGAGGCGATCTCTGCATATTTTTTTAATTTGAGTATTTCACGTCCATAAAGCCTGGTTTCCACCAAAGCGGAGCGGATCAGAGAATTATTTAGAATAACCAATCAGATTTCGTTCAGTCAGATTGAATTAAATTGTCAGAACAGAATGAAATCTGAATGGTTATTCAAAACATTTCCGCTCCGTTCCGCGTTGGTGGAAGCCGGGCCTTCCTTAGGTACCTATAGAATAGCTGCATGAAGATAAAATGGCACAGTGCAGACTTACCGGCTATATTATACTATCTATTTTTAATTCTAGTGAATAAAAATAGCATTTGTGCTGTGCATACAGGTTGTTTCTATTGGTCGAGTTTGCGAGCCAAAAATAATCTCAAGTTTGGCAGTTCAAAATGTGTTACACTTATCTATTGCTTACTACGTTACCTAATTATATCGGAACGAAAAGTTAAGTGAGTTAATTAGTTAGTTAACTTGAGTTAAGTGTTTTGTATAAGTAGCTTAGTGCCAGCCCTAGGATATAGAAATAGGCGTCAGATGACAACGGGCTTCAAAGTAGCACGCTATCTAATAACTATAGCCACATCGATCGTAATTCGTAATCCTAAAAAGTGTCGCGGTAGGTCGATCTTCAATTATGTATAGACGACTGCACATCATGCTAAAGGCACATTATGGTATAAAATTATCACTTCACGGGATTTATTGCAACAATATCTATTTTAACGGTAAATAATATTTACCCTCCCGACGTTTCGGCTCGGTTGCACGAGTCATGGTCGCGGGCGTTAAAATAGATATTGTTGCAATAAATCCCGTGAAGTGATAATTTTATAGTAAAAAATGCAACATAATAGTTTAAAACATTATGGTATCATATGGAGTACTAATATAATAAGTATAATTTTCAAACAAAAAGGACAGATCGCACATTTTTCTTGCAAATCAATCCTATTATGACTATATGAGACCCCCAAAGTTTATACTGATGTGCTGGCGTCTGTACAATCAAAAGCTAAAATTCTGTTGTCCCGCTTATGAGTTCTTGTCAGTAAGTTTGACCACGACGGCCTTGACTTCTGTGTAGTTGGCCAGCCCGTATGGTCCATTCTCGCGGCCGATACCTGACTGCTTGTAGCCGCCGAATGGCACTTGGTTCGCGAATACGTTGTAGTCGTTCACCCAGATTGTACCCGCCCGGATTGCCTGCGGAATTGAAAGATTAATATGAATATTCACTTAGCACACACACGAAAAAGTGTAAACAGAAAATCAAGCGATCAAAAATAAAATTAAAATGCGCGGTCAAGTTTTCAAACTGGATCAGTGTCGTTTCCCTAAAGGACAGTGCCAATCCATGTATGGAAGTTGGACCAAGTGCTGCCCAGAATGAAACTATAGTGCGTTTTGTTCCTCAGGCCAATACTAATTTGTAAACCGGAGCGCACTGAAATCTATCCCTGGAGTTAAGAGAAAAAAAGAGTTTTGTTTGGAATTATTTACATGCAAAATATCATCGATGTAGGTATACCTACTATGCATAAGATTTCGCGATTTTGGCATTAAATAACACTCGTTATATTGAACTTAACCATACTACATCCGTACACCTTACTTAAGTACGACTTCTACATTATTTATAAGCGATCAAGGGCTGTTGCAGTAGTTTGGTTAGTTGACCGAATTTAATTATTTCCAAAATAGAGCAAGAAGTTTTAGCTTACAATAACTTCAATAATCGATTGTAATACACCAATAAATTGATTTTTCGCAAGGATAGAGAACTAAAACTTCTTGATTCATTTTGAAAGTAATGATTTCTGTCAAGTAACCAAACTATTGCAACAGCGCTAGATCGCTTATAAAGAATGTCTAAGTCGCACTAAAGTAAGGTGTACGGATGCAGTATGGTTAAGTTCAACATAACGTGTGTTATTTAATGCCAAAAACACGAAATCTTATGCGTAGTACGTATACATCGATGATATTTTGTATGAAAATATTTCAAAACAAAACTCTTTTTTTCTCTTAACTCCAGGGATAGATTGCAGTGCGCTTCGGTTTACACATTAGTATTGGTCTGAGAAACAAAATGCACTATGGGTTGATTCTGGGCAGCACTTGGTCCAGACCCTGGCACTATCCTTTAGATTCTAAAATACGGACATCGTTTCAAAGAGCAACGTAACAAAACACCGCGCAAATAAATACCGCCCTCATTAGAAACAAATACGGAAGCCCCGCCTACCTCTTTATATTTTAGACTACACGTTTTTAATTCGCACTTATTACAACGAAGATGACAGTCTGCAACTTATCTGCTGTCTGTAAACTATAAATCGTTTTATCCACGATAACGTGCCCCACCAATTTGTGGTCAAGGGCGAGGAGTTTGATCCGAGCGTCATTATTGTAGTGTGTGTGCACTCATGGATAATGTAGCGTGTACCAATAACACTCAAAAATTAACGGAAGAATAGTGGGGCGCGTCTTCGTGGATGAACCGATCTATAACTAACCTGCGTGAGGTAGTTGACGCGGTCGAGGTCTTTGCTAAAGATGGCGGCTGCTAGCCCATACTCCGAGCGGTTGGCGCGCTGCACTACCTCCTCGATGGAGGAAAACTTCAGGATCTGCTGCACGGGGCCGAAGATCTGCAATGAGCATGCATGGGATGTAGCCAAGTTGTAATTCTTAGTTTGAATGATATACTTACTTAAAATTAGACATCATATTAGTCAACTGACATACCTACTTTTTGGAATTTTTGTAAAAGGCAGTTCTCAAGTTCCTCGTGTGGCAATAGGAGGCTATGACGTCACGTTCGTTCGTTCGTTTCAGCCAAATGACGTCCACTGCTGGACAAAGGCCTCCTCCAAGGTTTTCCACAATGCACGGTCCTGCGCTGCCCGCATCCAGGCTCTTCCCGCGACCTTTACGAGATCGTCGCTCCACCTAGTAGGAGGCCTGCCCACGTTACGTCTTCCAGCCCGTGGTCGCCACTCGAAAACTTTTCTGCCCCAACGGCCATCGTCTCTACGAGCTATGTGCCCCGCCCACTGCCACTTGGTTTTAACAATTCTGCGAGCTATGTCGGTCACTTTGGTTCTCCTGCGGATCTCCTCATTTCTGATTCGATCACGCAGGGAAACTCCAAGCATGGCCCGCTCCATCGCCCTTTGGGTGACCTTGAGCCTTCTTATGAGGCCCATAGTAAGCGACCGTCACATTTTCATATAATTTGTTTGTAAATGCAAAGAACTAAAGAATAGGAACCTTTATCTCATGGATGCAATCTAGGATGGTACACACCTACCTGGTGTATTAAGCAGTCTATAATGAAATTGTCATCTAAAATCGAGACTACGACAAGCACAATAATTGTTTAATATCATGAGTGCCGTTCATGTCAACATGTGACGTTTCATAAACCTTCTAATAACAATGTGTCCTTCTGTGATCTGTTTGTTAATGAGTGGTTCAGTGACGTGAATGTCTTCTATAGATGACCCACGCTGAACTGTCCCACCAAACTCAATGAAATGGGGCACACTGAAAACCAGCGTCGTGGCTTCCCTCACCGGGGGCCACGGCATATGCTGAGTGGGGTCCCATTGCGATGGGCATCGCTGTGCGACAGGGTGGCACTGCTTAGTTTACTTGCTCACTCATTGTATGTTTTATGTCACCTCTGTCTTATTTGCATTTTTTTTTACCTCTTTTGTCTTTTGTGATGTCCATGGCAATAAATGTTTCTTTCTTTCTTTCTTTCAATGACAGGGGGGCGCTACCATCGTTCAACTATATGGTTTCCAACATGGCAAAAATCAGAATCAGCGATCCGGTATTTACGGTGGCGCCCCACTGTCAATGTCATGGATAGGACAGTTCAGTATTTTGGAACTACACTCGCGAGCAAAAGTAAGGAATCACCCCATTCGTTTTGAGTAATCTTTGTAGCTAAACGACTATGAAAATTAAATTAAAAATGGTACCAGTTTAAAGGTTACATTTCAAACTTTAGCTTGATACCATAGATGCATAGATAGTCATTGAGTTCTTCAGATCGTTGGGAACAAAACACCCTTTTGTGTTTTGTTTGATTCCATACTTTTGCTCGTAGGTATACATATATCTATGCGGTGTACCTCAGTCTTAGCGATATCCATGTCGTCCTTCACGTTGGCGAAGACAGTAGGCTGCACGAAGTATCCGCGGTCGCCCGCGCGGGAGCCGCCTGCGGCCAGGGCCGCGCCTTGCTTCTTGCCGCTCTCGATTAGGCTTAAGATTTTAGTTTGCTGCTCGCTATCGATCTGACAAAATGAATGATGTTATTACGGGAGATAAATTAGCCAGTTTCTGTGGGTGAAAATTCCACCTTCGGCTTGATCATCACTTCCCATGACCAGATGATTTTATGAGATGTTTATGGTTCAACGAAAAAGCGAATAAAAAAGATATCAATGTTGAAAACACGACGAAAGCACGTAGAATTCTGTCCAATGACCCCAAGCTACCCATCCTTATCGCTCGCACGTAATTATTATTGCTGTCGCGACTGTGCGACGGATGGTCGCAGTGAGAGTGCAAGCGAGTAAGGATGTCATTGGACGAAATTCTACGTTCTCGGCGACCGGACTTTAGGTGTCCTCATACTAATGATCACCCCAATAAAATCCGAAGACTTTATATTAGGTTTCGACGTCGATATCCCGAGGAAAGATGTTGATGAGTATTTCTCAAAAAAAATGTACATTTTGAAAAAAAAAAGTGTGCTTTGAAACAGTTCAAAAGTTTTATATTTATAAATCATCACACAAAAAAAACACACACACAATTTTGAAGGATGAATATTAATCTTTAAGATAACGAAGAATTATAGCTATAATCCTACTTATTACCAAATATTTAGATATTTTAAAAATAGTCCTTTTTTACCTTTCATACAAAAACCTGTTTGCCACCCTAGCTTTTTCATGTGTTTTTGTTTCATAAAATGCGATACGTAACTAAATTATTGTAAATTTCTTTGTATTATCGTTCTACAGTAATCGCAGTTTCTGTATCAAATTGATTTTCTATGGGGTGTCATAATGAATTGGCAATTTAAAGCAAAAAAACAAAATGAGTCGCTCTCATTTACTATTTCGTTATTTACTCTTTAGTTACGATTTATTTCTACTTTCCCATGGTTTCTGAACAATTCCGTATTTATTTTACACGGACAACAATAGCTGCACTCTACCTAAACAAATAAATTAAAAATACTTGCGGATCAAAAGTACTCAATCATACTACAATTTACGAAAAAATCACGCGTGACGCATATACGTCAGTGGGCAGTCAACTGACATAGACCCGGCGTCTACGAGTGCCAAAGCACGACTGATTTATGCCATTTGATGCACCCGATTTTATAGTATTTTCAAATTAATTTTTCATTTGAAGATTGAAGATAGATATTTTTTCTTTTTCACACAATAATAGTACTATGTTTCTTCTTAAGTATAAAGTAGTTTATGTTGCCAAATGACTTTTAGATTATGAGATGTGACCTGTTTTCTTGCAGTAATTTTCTCGAATTTTGACTATCTTAGACATGATAAAAATGCATTTTAATGAATTAAACATCAAAATTTTCTCAATACACTTTCTTCTTCAGGGTATGCTTATTCTAATGAATACATTCTATCTTCTTACTTGGAAATAAATTTGTTGTAATATTGGTTCAAAGTTGTGCCATCGCGAGTTACCTGGAAATCGGGCTTTCGAAATTCGCTGTTTTCGTAGGCAAAAATCCAATTTGAACGAGATTTTGTCAATAGACATTCCGTAAAAACGTATGATAATTACGATGATATAAGTCAAAAGAAGCTATAACAATAAATTATATGACTAAAATCATTTCGAAATCTGCCAAATTCTGGATTTCTGCATGAAAAATGTGACAACGCTCTTAAGTTAAAGCTAGCAGTAACAACACTGGACTGGCATCGACAGTTATGTCAATCTCAGGATTTCAGTCAGTCCCAGCGTAATTTAGTAATTTTTGTGGTCACTGATCAACAAAACTAATCTTATGACTGCTAATAACCTGTAAATCAGACACAAAATAATTTACAGATCGTTTCATCCACGAAGACGTGCCCCACCAATTTTTGGTCAGAGTTTGATCAATCAAGCAATCCGAGCGTCATTATTTGTGCGTATGCACTCATGGATAATTTTGTGCACATACTGATAACACTCTAACATTAGCGGAAGAATGGTGGGGCGCGTCTTCGTGGATGAAACGAGCTATACACGTTTTAAATACTAATATCTTTTAAATGTTAATCCTCACCAGCGCAGCAGCACTGGCCCATATTATAAAACAGAGCCATATGAGCAGCCTCGACCGCCTTGGGCAGGTCGACGTCGCCGAAGATGATGTTGGGCGACTTGCCGCCCAACTCCAGAGTTATGCGCTTGATGGAGTCTGCCGCGCCGCGCTGGATCAGCTTGCCTACCTCGGTGGAACCTGAATACCAACAAAATTCATCAGCTACTTAATAAGTAGTAAGCTTGTTTTGTATGGGACAAAAATAAATAATTTATTTATTATTAATAGTATTATGATGACAGATCCATTTACGTGATTTTCTAAGGGTGATATCTCGGGAAGTTTTTATACTACCGACAACAACAATTATTTATTTAACCATTGTTTCTATTATTAAGGGGTCATCCATCATACCTATTCACCAGGCATGTATCTACATAGACATTGTATACTATTCATAGACCTTAAGATCTAGGTACTGCTATTATTATTATTGCTAGGTATCTTTACTGTTATCGGTTAACTTTTAAGTTTGTTTGTTATAGTGTCAATTTCAAATGCTCAGCTTTTTTTATGCGAACAGCGGATATATTTTTTCGTCAAGAAAAGCGAGATTCCAGCGTGAGGGACGCAGGGTGTGTCAGGTACTCAAATAACTGAAACCACACTGAAACGTTCTCATATTTACCAGTGAAGGCGATCTTATTGACGTCGGGGTGGTCGACGAGCGCGGCGCCCGCGTCGCCGAAGCCCGGCAGCATGTTGACCACGCCCGGGGGAAATCCAGCCTCCTGGAAAGGTAACAGTATGTCAGTATATCTTTGGGACTATTCCCTCTTATTCCGCCCGCTGCAACTCCTGAGTAGCCAAGATCTACAGCTTGACCGTACCATACAAGCCGTGTGGTGACAACAGAGTAGAATACATTTGTACCAACCCCTACTTTTCCCGCGGGTGTCGTAAGAGGCGACTTACGGACTACACATTAAACAGAGAACGGGCAGCAGCGCTCTCTGAAAAACATCAATCTTTTAAACTGCGATCTCCAACCCGCCTGCCAAGCGTGGAGATTATGGTAAACCCTCCACTATAGTGGAGGAGGCTATGAGCCTCAGCAGTGGACTGTAAAGGGCTAGTTAAGGTCAACTTTGTCCCGCGGGGGAAGTTAAACTGTGATTGGATCCGCACCGAAATTAATGAACAGCATCAATCCTCCTATGTTAGGAGGAAATCGAAATGAAGATCAGCTGATCGTACCTTGACGAGCTGCGCGAGATAGAGCGCGGTGAGCGACGCAGTTGCCGATGCCAGCGCCTGATATGGAGACTAGACGATGACGAATGGAGTTTTGTGCGTCTAGATCACGGCTTCCCAAACTATGGGTCGTGACCCAGTGGTGGGTCGCGAGCGAACATTGAGTGGGCCCTGCCAGTAGAACGACGACACACCACCCTACCAATCCAACCACTGGGCAGCGGGCGAAATTTCCTATAGGTGGGTCCCGAAACTCCCGAATTTGGGAATGTGTATTAGATGAGTCGTAGCCCAGACAACTTTGGAAACCACTGGTCTAGATCATACCTTGACAAGCTGTGCGAGATAGAGCGCAGTGAGCGGCGTCTGCTTGGCGGGCTTCATGACGACGCAGTTGCCGGTGGTCAGCCATCAAGAGAGAGAGGGAAGTTCCATGGGATTCCAAACCCTTCAATTTATCTTTAGATCATCAGTAAGGGTCATTCTACAGAAGTCGAGACTGATGATTAATGATGTTTTGTGTCCAGCCGCCCCAGGAAGCGCGTCACGATAAAATCATCTCGTCTACTTTATATGACAAATGTATGAGCTTATCGATATCGATAAAAAATGATAAGCTGATCGTACCTTGACGAGCTGCGCGAGATAGAGCGCGGTGAGCGGCGTCTGTTCCGCGGGCTTCATGACGACGCAGTTGCCGGTGGTCAGCGCCGGACCAAGTTTCCATGCTGCCATCAGGAGAGGGAAGTTCCATGGGATGATCCCTCCATTTATCTCTAGTTAATTAGTAAGGGTCATTCTACAGAAGTCGAGACTGATGATTGATGTTTTGTGTCCAGCCGCCCCAGGAAGCGCGTCACGATAAAATAATTTCGTCTACTTTATATGACAAATTTATGAGCTTATCGATATCGATAAAAAATGCCTCGATAAGCTGATCGTACCTTGAAGAGCTGCGCGAGATAGAGCGCGGTGAGCGGCGTCTGTTCCGCGGGCTTCATGACGACGCAGTTGCCGGTGGCCAGCGCCGGACCCAGCTTCCACGCCACCATCAAGAGAGGGAAGTTCCATGGGATGAACCCTCCATTTACCTCTAGTTAATTAGAAAGGGTCATTCTCTAGCAGTGGAGACTAGATGACCTGATGATCAATGGTGTTTTGTGTGTCCAGCCGGTCGAAGAAGCGCGTCACGATAAAATCATATCGTCGATTTTAGATGACAAATGTACGAGCTTATCGATGACGATAGTTGATATAATGGCGCATCTATAATGCGAAAGTAACTCTGTCTGTCTGTTTGTCTGTCTCGCTTTCACGCCTAAACCACTGAACCGATTTTGATGAAATTTGGCATAGATATTGTTTGAGTCCCGGGAAAGGACATAGGATAGTTTTTATCTCGGTTTTTAAAACAGGGACGCGCGCGATAAAGTTTTTCTGTGACAGACAAAATTCCACGCGGGCGAAGCCGCGGGCGGAAAGCTAGTGTTGATATAAATCAAGCTACGCGAGGTAGAGGCCTTCATGACGACGCAGAGGGTGGTCAGCGCCGGACCAAGCCGCCATTAATTAGCAGAGGGCAGTCCTCCTGCAATGGGGTCTAGATGACCTGATGATGAAGTCTTTTGTCCGGATCGTACCTTAACCAGCTGAGCTAGATAGAGCGCGGTGAGCGGCGTCTGCTCCGCGGGCTTCATGACGACGCAGTTGCCGGTGGCCAGCGCCGGGCCGAGTTTCCAAGCAGCCATTAAAAGAGGGAAGTTCCATGGGATGATCTGTCCGCATACACCTGACGACGAAAAAAATTACATGAGAATTCACAACATGTAGGTATCGAACTATGAGGTTTAGGTATATTTTGGTTGTTAAAATATGAACTTCCTCATAGGTCGTTATAAAGTATTTGAGGAAAATAACAAAATAAGTAATCAAATTCACATTTGACGAAGACTTGAAAATCTGTCGACTTTTAAATCTACCACCACAAACCACAACACAATACCTACTTACAATTTCACGACTATAGTGTGTAAAAATGCACCTGTAATATCTATCATACAAACGGCGAAATATTAATATCTTAGGTTCTCTATCACTTCCGCCACGTCCGCCATAGTAAGTAGCCGTGTATGGTTGTTGCCAAACGACTCTAGACCCTAAGGTCCTTTTCACACGTCCCGGTTGCCGGGTATCCGGTGGTGAAGTGTATGGGCATGGTACGTAGCTTTCACATGTTCCGGCGTAATTAATCCGGCATGCCCATACACTCCACCACCGGGTACCCGGCACCGGATAGCCGGCAACCGGGACGTGTGAAAAGGACCTAACGCTGTGTGTCACGGTGCATTACCGACGGGCTCGTGGCGCGTGTAGGTGAAGTACTTCCCGTCGGCGGGCAGCACGTGGCCGTGGTTCTTGTGGCCCAGTGACGTAGTGAGCTTGTTGCCGAGCGACTCTAGACCCTAACGCTGTGTGTCACGGTGCATTAGGCCTCAGCCTCGAACATAGCGGGCAGCGGGGCGGCGGCGGCGGCGGCGCGGGAGCGGCAGGATCTTATGCGTAAAATCAAATAGACCGGTTCTCGAAAACAGCGGCGCAGCAGCGGCGCCGGAGCGGGCAACGAGCGGGCAGCGCACTCCTTCTTTTGCCCACAATAAATCGCGCGTTAGGAATAAATTTGAATCGAAATAAAATTGTCGCCGTTGTTCAGACATTTCGTTAGCGAATAAAAACAAATTATCTCGACAACACAACCCCGAACACAACACTTCGCCGCTAAAGCGCCGCGCGAGCTGCCCGCTTGTTTCGAGAATGGGTCTGCGTTGCCCGCCCCGCTCCCGCGCCGCCGCCGCTCCCGCCCCGCTGCCCGCTAAGTTCGAGGCTGAGGCCTTACCGACGGGCTCGTGGCGCGTGTAGGTGAAGTACTTCCCGTCGGCAGGCAGCACGTGGCCGTGGTTCTTGTCGGCCCAGCCGGCGTAGTAGCGCAGGTTCTTGATCACGGCCGCCACGTCCCCGTAATACGCCGCCGTGTATGGCTTGCCGTTGTCGAACGTCTCTAAACTCTGAAAAGATTGTTTAAGTTCTAAAAAGAGCTTCAAGTCAAGTATCAGAATAAGGGGTCGGAGTTGCCGACTCGAGATCCGAGGAACGCGGGTTTGAATCCCACCGCCGCTCGACTATTGTGGTGGGCCCACTCGTAACACAAGCTTATTTAGCTTAACACGAGGGGCTAATGGGACTATTAGTAATTTGGGCAATACAAATTGCTAATAATCTTTAAAAAAAAAGTATGTAGATAAAGGTCTCTAATAATAAGCACCTCATGCAGCACAAAATACTGTCAGAAATAACGTGCAAAAGTTTGAATTCAAAGCAGTCTTTATTTTGGCGGAGTTATCGCTAAGACTAGAATATCACTATTATGGAAGCAATAAACGTATTGAGTATAAATTCACCCTATTAGCTGTCAATTGTCTCGGCTGTTATCTGTCTGTATATTTTTGCCCTCTGGACATGTGGTCCGACTGCTTTGTCCGACTAATCGGACCACGTGAAATTTTTTTTTCCTGTTGGTTCGATTAATCGGACTACAAGAAATCGCAATTCCACTTCGTCCGACTAATCGGACTTGAAATAAATTAAGGGTAGTATGCAACAAAATCGATCCATGGAAACTATTTCTCGTGACAATTTCATATTAACTACCAATGCGATGCTCTTTTGTCATAATAATAACAAGAGCTTCCTCGTGAACGCTTGGCATGGAAAGGTTCACTGTTAAATAAATTTATAATAATAAATTTAAATTAATATTGATTTGAGTAAATTAATACAAATATGTAAAGGTATAAATAATTTTAATTAAAGATTGTTTCAGTCAATGTAAAACGACCTCCTTTTAGTTCAATTCAAAGTTCAACTGAATTGAACTTTCAGGAAAAAACACCGTAAAGGCAACTTTCTTAAGTAATCTTTCAAGGAAGTTGAAATAAACGGATTATTTTTTATAAACATTTCCGAAATGTTTATATTATTATAGATAGGTCATGTAGGTATTCATTTGTTTTCCACATTTTCAATAGGGATGTTTCCTGGGTAAAAAGCAAGAGTTTTAATTAGTCCGTCAGTTAGCTTATCAAAAAATACTCGACACCTATTTTTCACTTTTTAAAACTAATGAAAATGTAAAGAGATAGAGTGTGCCAAAGTTCTAAAGAAAAGGCCCGTGACGTCAGTGAGTGCTTAAAAGTGCTGCACTTTGTGACCTCGCGCGGAACTTCAACGCACTAAGTATAACCCTTAACCACTGACGTCCGTACGTGGTACGTCGGTCAAACGGTTTTTCGTTCAAAACTTCATTTTGTGCGGGAATTTTTGCGTGTCCTTCTTTGTAATTATTTGTTTGATTGACAATTAAAAATATATACGTGTCCAATATTTTTTTATATTAAAATTGACGGACTAAAAAATTTTTTTTAGGAAACTAGCCTAAAAAATCAATCAAAAATATTCAATAGATTTATTATAGTTGAATTTTTAGGAAAATATTATATTCCGTTTATTTCAAATTTCTAGAAAAAATATGAAAACTATGGATTTTTTTTCCTGAAAGTTCTACTCAGTTAAACTTTGATTTGAACTAAAAGGACTAATAGGTCTGTTATAGTTTTTCAATTAAGAAAATGCAATTAAAAAGTGTTGAGTTAAGGAAATAATAAATGTATCTTTCTTTCTTGCTTTCAAATAGGTTGGGCGGTTAAATGTCGGACCATGTAACCTTAAGAACAGAAAGTCTTGATAGTCCGACTCCTTAATCGAACCAACAGGAGAAAAAAGTTCACGTGGTCCGATTAGTCGGACAAAGCAGTCGGACCACGTGTCCAGAGGGTATTTTTGTAATTTTTATTAGATAATGCTAATTTTATACTCTTTAGGATTCCAAGGCTACTGCAATTTAGTTCAGTCATGCGCATATTTGTTTTGTGTATCAAGTCCTGCATTTCAACGAGATATCACATTTGATGGCGCAAGTAAACTATGCAGGAAATTGATACGTATAGTATAAACACGCAATTCGGTTAGTTTCGCTGTGGTTTCGCCGTGTGTCGCCCATACTTCGGTGTGCGGGCTCGCGCTCCGTCTAGGTCTATTTCCCGCATAGTGTACTTACGCCATAATGTTGTGTACATTAACGTACACCCTGCGGTCTTGTCTTGAAGTTAGATAAAGAAACAGCAGTAGTATTACAGATATTTATAGCCTTTATCAAAGCAACACGGCCATCATGTCGTGATTCTGATAACCTAGCGATTGATACCATGTTGTACAGTTGACTAATAAGATTAATGAAAGTCATAGTCATACAATCAGATTAAGTAGGTAATATGCCGTTCGGTCAAGTAAACGAGTATCATTTTCAGATAACGTTTATCGAATCATGGACATAGACGCTGAAACCGTCAATTACAAAGCTTTGTAAACTTGGCAAACTTGCTAGCTAGTGTGGGCATAATTATTAAACAAACATGTTTCGTTTCGACAAAAAAGCGTGATTTAAATGTTAAGTACCTACATACAATAACCTTGACTTAACATAACATAAGCGTACAGTTGAATTAACAGCCGATGTATGTAAAATAAACTGGTTTGTTATAAATAACAAGGAAAATAAGAGCCTTTTCACATACCAATGATTTTAGAGCGTTTTTTCAGCGAGATTGCGACGGTCGCCAATTTAAGTTCTTCTTGCCTTTTGACTCTTTAATTCAGTGAAGTCTCTAAGAGTGAAGATGCAAAACGATTTTTACGACGTCTATGGTGATCCTAATTACTCGTTAATGAGGGTATTACCCCCCACCCCAAGGCATCCAGGCTCTTCCCGTGGCCCACCAGATCGTCGGTCCATCTATTGGGGGGTCTAGTAGTCGCTATGGAAATCCTTGGGGGAGGCCTTTGTCCAGCAGCGGACGTCATTTGGCTGAAACGAACGAACGCCTATTACAGTAAACTCACCGCCAAGTAAGTCCTGTCTCTCTCGACGAGGTCCGCCAACCTGTTGAGGAGGTATCCGCGCTCCGATGCATCCATGCGCCTCCACGGTGATCCCAGCCTAATGAACAAATTATAATAATCAGGCCAAGTGTTCATGTACAGTGAAAAGTTTTCACCAGAGAAGGGATGCAACTTTAAATCCCTAATCAGCGTCATTGAGAAGTGTAAAAGCATATTATTCGGAATACGTAATGCAATAAAGAATTAAGTATTGAGTATTGAGGGAGCTTTTTTTCGCGAGCTTTAAATGTCGAAATCACGAGACACACCCGATAAAAAAAATGTGAACTGATTTGTGTATTATTATTATTATTGGTTTTTGGGCCTTCATTTGCGCCAGCTCGACCAGGTTTGATCTATTGTGGCAGCCCTTGTCTTTAGAGTTCTCTGCTTAGTCCCGTTGAGTCTAGCCTGATTTGAGTAGCTAGGATCAATCAATCAATCATTTATTGTGCCAGTTATAGAAAGATGCCAGATCGAAAGGCCAAAAATAAAACCCCAACCAAGGTTGCAAGTAGTGACTTGGACACTGAGCTCAAACAAAAACTAAATTAATCAGGGAAACTGTAGAAATACAGCTTTCAATTTAAATTGATGATAATTTAGTAGTTAGTAACAAACAGAAACAATTCAGTACACCTGGGGGAAAAGTTTAATCCCACTAAAAACATTCTGTAAAAAACTAGCCAAGTCTCGATGGAGCTGCTTGTTTATCTCTAAAAAGTAATGAAATCTAGACAAAGTCGTGCCAAGTCTATGGTTCCTTACTGCGATTTCTTTATTATTATAGTTAATGTTGTGTGACTTGGCCGTTGAAGGGTACAAAACCAGGTGCTCCATGATACCATTGCACCAATCTGTCGCCAGAACCGCTACCCATTGACGATGGAAAATTGCCACTTGGAAAACGTTGATTCAACAATAACCATTCAATTGTAGGTTTAATAAAGCTGCGTATTTCAATAATACTTATGTATGATTATCTTAATAAAGATTGTTCAACGGCCAAGTCACACAACATTAACTATAATAATAAAGAAATCGCAGTAAGGAACCATAGACTTGGCACGACTTTGTCTAGATTTCATTACTTTTTAGAGATAAACAAGCAGCTCCATCGAGACTTGGCTAGTTTTTTACAGAATGTTTTTAGTGGGATTTCACTTCTTTTTGTAGAAAGTGGCAAAATTATTTAACGTCGTCGTTTTATCGATATTTTTTTACGATATTAAACACAAATAAACTCAACGACCTTTAAAATGGACAACGAATCAGAATTGTTTTAATAACATAACCTTAGCGAACCTTACAATATAATAAACGAAATCAACGAACTGCAAATTTACACAACATCAACTTAATCGACGGGGGGCTCTAGAAAGGAAAAAATCTGGACACCGCTTGGACGCCGCTAGCGCCATCTAGCGGTGAGCGATACAGGCGAACACCACGGTGCCGGAGTAGTATTGATTATGAATGTGGTGTTACTCCAGATCTTCGATTTTCCTAGTTCTTATAGTTTTCCCTTTATGTGGCCATTAAACCCTAACTCTGTACCAAATTTCAGCTCTCTGAGTTGATGGGAAGTACTAGTTCTATTTTGATGATCATCAGTGAGTGAGTGAGTGAGTGAGTGTCGTAAATGCGAAACTTTGCTTTCGCATAACTTCGGAACTAAATGACCTACAGACTTGAAATTTTGGATTTTAAGTATGTGATTATAGCTTACTAGATGACGAAAATTTCTGCGTTCTGGACTTATCCAGAGGTTCTCAAATAGGGGCCTGAAAATGCGGCGAAATGGTTCCAGTAAAGGATGGTACGGCAGTGTTTGCTTCGCGCTCGACTTGGCGGGGGCACTACCGTGCCCCCAGATCAAGTAAGTTTCCTCATGTAAGATATAAAATTCATTATAATCATTTACAAAAATATAACAAGCTACATTTTAGTTTAACATGTTTTATTATTAGTATTGATATTTAATGATTTTATCAAGACACATTAATAATATGTATAGGTATCTATACAGGGTGTTAGGTAAATGGGTATATGAGCTGACACTAGCCCATGTTAACATGGTCATATTAATGGTATGGTGAAGTCAGAAATTTGATATCATCATTTGTTTTTTTTTATTTTCATACAAAATAAATTTTATAAAATCCGATTTGTATGAAAATTAAAATAATTAAAATGAAAATACCAATTTTCTGACTTCACCATACCATTTATATGACCATGTTAACATGGGCTAGTGCCGGCTCATATACCCATTTACCTAACATCCTGTATATAGACGGTAATTTCCATTCATTAGCTTAGCTGTAAATTAACATGTTTCTTATGTGTAAACAATTGTAAGTGTTTAAGACATTGTTTGTGGGATTGTTAACGAGAATATGCAATTCAAATGAGTATCATAGGAGTTATGAATGAATATTGAATAAAATTACTGTATTCTATTAGTCACTAACATTCAATGTAACAATAACTTGATTAATATGTTTTATCAATTATAAATTTTATTGAAATAGTATTTTAAAAATAGTTAACATTCATATTTTAACTACATAATTTGGTAAATTAAATGTTTATTATGTAAGGATGTTTGAGGCCATTTATGGAATCATCATCATCAGTTCAGCCACAGGACATCCACTACTGAACAAAGGCCTCCTCCAATGACAATGGGATAGGTGACAAAAAATAATTCAATATTCACCTGTAAAGGAATTAGTTATAGGTAATGAGATTGTTTTAGTGCTTAGTAGAGCTTAGTTTATTCCCTGAATAAATACTTACTTAAAAGCATCATTGGCAGCTTTGACTGCAATATCTACGTCAGTCTTGCCAGCCTGCTGCACGTCTGCGATCACTTCCCCTATAGCCGGGTTCTCTGTCTTGAAAGTTTTGCCATCTGATGACTTCACCCATTCATTGTTGATGAATAACTGCAGGAGAAAAAGATGATAAAAGTTTAAGGTGGTGATTAGTATCTGGTATGTTTCCTAGACTACCCTAGGGTTGGTACTTGGTCCATATCTGATCTCCTAACCCTCCCCTATTAATGTACACTTACAACTAGTGCTTTAGTAATACCACAATCACGAAACTACCTCTACTTCCTTAGGAATAATTAGTAAGTAAATAAAGTCTAAGGTGATATAGAGGAAAGCCATACCGGTTTCTGTAGATTATCTACTAAACTTGTTTATCGCCTATTAGAGTTGAGTCAAGAGGTTCTGCCGGTCTTCTAAGCTGCCGGTTTAAAAAGGTCGTAATTGACTTCTTTTTAAAGTAGGTATAACTTATAAACTATGGGTATACTATACTTAAAAAACCTCTATATAGAGTTCGGCAGCGGAATAAAACTAGATCAGTTAAATTAGGGCTGTTAATTCTTTAAAAATAAGCTGGAATCAATATTCAAAGTACTTACACCTGTGTACAAAATTTCAGGGTTAGTGTGAGGTGCTGGAGCTGTAGCAGTAGCGAAATTAGCTTTTTGCAGTCGCACAATTTTAACAATGTTTCGTAACATTTTAATGCTGATGTGCTTCTCAAATAATTAAACAACAAAGACGAACGAATACCGGTCGTCTGCGAGGTAAAAAAAGCACTAACTGAACTAGCTACGATCTTTGAGACTAGAGCCATTTTAATATCTTCTGACATTTAGACGTTGAATTGTATTCGTCATAAGTAACACTTGACCGATTTCTATTGGTAGATAGATGATTATATCCCATAGTTCCGACGCCAGCAATGTATGCGTAGTAGCATCACACGTCAAACTTGACAACCACTATTGTAGTGCTGTTACCCTACCTGGCCTATCGATATAATGTAATGTTTATTTACGTTAAAAAATCGGTTACAAAAAATGAAAACAATACAAATCAACATTATGAACAAAAATTTGCTTTGGCTGTGAATTTTTGCTAAGAATATTGTAGGCATGGCACCCAAGATTATAAATAAATTACCAAAAGACATTAGATTAATTGAACATCTAAATTCATTTAAAAAAACTTTACTGACTTATTTAATTAATAAATGTTATTATAATATATCTGAATTCTTTGACGATAAATCTAATTAGTTTATGTAACTGCCAAATTTTATTGTTGTCTGACAAATTGTATGCTCTTTGAGCGGAACATAGTGATACTACCTAATGTAACATGTCACCATTTTACCTATGATTCACAATAAATGATTTTGTATTTGTATTTGTATTTGTGTCAACGAAACGTACTCAAGAGCAGTGCCCCGACTGCGCCCTAATTTTATAACGTCTCCAATACATTGGCGCTTCTTCACCTGAGCCCCGATTACGGTAACTTTTATAACGTCTACAATCCAGACGCGTTTCTGATTCTGCGATACGATTGGTCTAAACAGCTGACGTAAGCTGTTGAACGACCAATCGTATCGCAGAATCGAGAAGCGTGTCTGGATTGTTGACGTTAAAAATTACCGTAATCGGGGCTCTGTTACGCTCCGTTTTTCATTCCAGCTGAGGTGAAAATTCGGTATCGCGGTAAAGTTCACACGCAAACAAAGACGAAACAACGAATTTAATCACTTTCCAATAAAAGTCCGCACACCTTATTTTTTCACAAAAAAAAAACAGCAAAATTAAATGTTCGTGATGGCGTTTGAGTTTGAGAAAAAGTAACATTCTTTCAGCTTTTACACAAAAAAGCAGTTGCGTTTTATTTTCGTTTGAACTAGCTGTCAAAGCGTTCGTCGTGTAATCGCGTTGTAGATGAAAATTATTTAGCGCAATCGGGACCCAGGGATGTTAAGGATATGAAGTTTCGCTTATGGATACCGTTACGGATAAAATAATATTTAATATTATACCGGTTTCGGTTACAGATACGGATATGAAATCATTTACGAATATTAGAATTTAAAAAATGTAAAATTTAAATTGTAAGATGCTGTGCGACCCACATAGCCACTTTATGTACTATAACGAAACCTATGATAAAGGTAAAACAGGTGGGGATATTAGATGGTGCCAGAGAATGCCAGACAAGTAACAAATTACAAAAAAAAAAAACGACTTTATGCAAAACTATCCGAAACTTTTGAATCGGTTTCGGTTATGGTTACGGATGTATTTTAATTTCGGATATCTGATAGTTTTGGTTACGGATTCATAACATCCCTGCTCAAGAGCACGTTACGGCCACTGGTATTCTGCACACCATGAGAGATTAATGACACCCCTCACCCCTGTAGCTTTTCAATTTTATTTATTTTCAATATTATTTATACACGGACGGACCTAAGTAATGGTCATTTTTTTTAATCCATCAAGGGTTAAAGTAGGAATTTTTTGAGCTAGATATAAATATGTGTTTTAAAAGATTTATTTCTCATTATCTGATTTTCTATCACTATAAAAATTCAAACTGCTATTTTTAACAAAAAATAAATGTCAAATATTGAAATAAATAGTATTTTATAGAAAAAGTAAGGTGAACTATCGATAGACTGCTTGTATGCACTACACTATCGTATTGTTAATTGACATTTGTCAGTCGCTGACCAGCTGGCCGAGCTTGGTGATAATGTTGATAAGGAATTATGTATTTTTTAATACTAGACTTTATTCGAAAGCAATAAGACTTATTTTGAATCTTTTGTCAACCGGATGTAAAAATCAACAAATATAAAATTCAAGGCTAGCATAGCTCATCACCAATTAATTTATTTCATTTTATTAAAATTGAAAGCCTTACTAAGATTATATTGGAAAATGGAAGAATTTATTGAGTATTTCGTTAGCAGGATTGAGAACAGTAATTTTTATAAGTTTTTCAGATCAATAGATGCTCAAGTATCTAGAAATGTAAAAGCAGCAGAAATTGAAACAAGGTAATGAAGTATTTATTTTTCTCAAAAAAACACATACATCATTTGAAAATGCTTTTAACCATAATTTTATTTTACAAAACAATGGCCCTCATGTTCATTTCAATTGTGTATTACAGACAGTCAAAAAGCAATGGCCTATGGTGCTGCTGCCTTCTACCTATGATATTACTGATTTACACAGTGCAGTATAATGTTTCACCGCTGTACAAACTGGTGGCATTTGCTTCGATCAGTCTGCTCTTCTATTGCTTGCTGTTCACAGTTTTTTTGTCAATATCAAGTTTGATTCTTCAAGAGCCAATATATGGAGGCTGTGTATCAACTAGTCTAGTATCAGTTTTACTGATGTACACATTTCTTGGTCATGGTAAGAAAAATACTATAAACTTTAAAAGAAATATCCTTCAATAAAAATTTACCAAACAAACGTAAACTAATTCTTTTCAGATCTTACATTTTCTACAATATTCTCCGTACCAACTGTGTTCCTGTACAGCTGGCTTTTACGGACGTTTCTGAACTCCTTCCAAAATACGTTTACGATTGGGGAAGCGATGGTCATGGCACAAGCTATCATGCTGTTTGCAGTCATGGCAGTAGCCAAACTCACATGTGAGCTGGATGAGACTGATGAGGAAATGGACTTTGTTTATACCATTATTTATGTAAGTTAATCTTATTTAAATACATTATAATTTAAAGCGTTCTTCTCCCAATTGTTTAATTAAGTTTGATAATTTGTGCTCTATTACAATCATGCACCTACTAATTTTCAAGAGCAATTGTTTTCTAGCGTAAATATTTTTTACCTATTTTCAGACAGTGTTATCAACCGTGGGATTGATTGTTACAGCACTGTTTTTGCTCAAAGACGAAAGAAGAAACATGAAATCTTTGACATACATACTTGGCTTAGGGGCAGCGTTTGGCCTGCTCATGTTAATATCGCTCCTAGGACTCTCGTGCATCACAGATATACTCCATTATATTTTTGTAGAAAATGATAGGGTAAGTGGGCATTACATTTTCCATCAAAAATTAATAATAAATCATAAACTTTTTATGGCACTTGGAACACCACTGCAGTCTAAAAGTTAGTCTGAAACATGCTCATCACAGTTTATTTATTTATTTATTTGATCACCAACAAGGTTACATTGAGGCTTCACAAAAGTAACTATAAAAAATGACACTTGTTAAATGCAAACTTAATTATAGGTGAAAACATGAAAGTTTAAAGAAAGACAATACCTACCAACTTATGATTTGGTACCTGCATTACGTTGTCTGTTTTGTTCAAAAATTAATTAAGTAATTAAATCACATTTTTACTGTCCTCTAGGTTGTCTGGACGATATTTCTTCATAGCAATAATGCCGCTTACAATGTGCCGTTCTTTTGTGTCTTTCTTTGCTTGTTTTACGTGCTGTACAATATCCATCTATTTTTCCATTCCAGTACCAAATCTTCTCCTTCTGGCTGGTTTTGGTGGTGATAGCTGTCTCAGTTCTCACGATGCGCACACAACTAGCTGTGAAGGCGAGCACGGTGACGCGCAAGTCGTTCCACGTTCTAGCGTCAGTCGTGTTCTTATCAGGGATACTGGTGGACGTGAACCTGATGGTGCTTGCTTCGGGAATCGGGTTCGGACTGCTGGTATTGGTTGAGGTGAGTTTACTAGAGATGAATTCTTTACCACTCAAGTATAAGGTATAAGTTTGAAGCCGGCTACATGCAGTAGCAGGCGACGCGACGTATCGCCGAGACATCTGGCTTGTAAAATTCGTCGCTAGCAACGGAAACTACTAAGAACTTACTTCCATAGAAACGTAGTAGTTGCTGCTACTACGTGGAGTTGGCTACGAAATCATACCTTTAGTTATTTAGAAAAAAAAATGTAATGTTTGTTTTCTGTTTCCAGGCACTAAGAAAAAGTAACATTGAGCCAATATCATCAGCTCTTCAATCAGCTTTCCTTGTCTACAGTGATGAAAAGGTAATTATTTATTTTATGTACAATCTAAGAAATAAGTATGCTTAATCTTCTTGTCTTCAACCTAAAATTTTCATTGCTGGACAACTAAATGCTGCTTCTACAAGAATATTCACAATGACGGTTTGTTGCTGTACTGCTGCTTTTCTTTAATCTAGATTGTATTTCCTAGCTACATACAATATACGCTTCACAGTCAGTTTCTTAGTGAATCTAAGAAAATCACTGCGCCATACCCTATCGTTCTTGCTATAGCATTTTCGTCTCTGATACTGCTAACTGGTACTTTAACCTTTTTCAGGACAGCGGGTGCTTCGCAATGACCCCAATATATCTGTACCTGGGGCTAGCGTGTCCTCTAGCGCTCGTGCCTCACTACAAGAATTCAGAACTGGAGCTATTGAGCGGAGTACTGGCTATCGGGGTGGGAGACACTGCTGCGAGCTGGTTCGGATCCAAGTACGGCTTCAATAAGTGGTCGGGTGAGTAGTTTATTCATAATGCTATGTTTATAGATGCACGCCACGATTTAGCCTAGGCGCAGACCACCGACTATCGATTTCCAATTTCTATGAAGAATCGCCTGATACCAAGTCGGAGCACTTCCATACATGTTCATACTGATCAATAGCCCAACCTAACAAAATCGGTGGTCTGCACCTAGGTTTACCCTTATCGAGGGATTTGATCGATTTTATCGTGGCGTTAATCATGACTGAATGAACGCCACGATAAAATTAGACTTACACCTGTCAAAATATAGCAATAGTATTGACAAGGTAAATGCCCAAGGTTGATTGTGTACCTACAAACCTAATTTTGACCAGCCGGGCTAGGATGCGCGTCACGATAAAATCTTATCGATGATTTTAGACAGATGTATGGGTTTATCGCGTAAAATTGATAAAAGCTTATCGTGGCGCGCATCCTAGGTAGCCCTAGTACACCTAGCCTAGCGGTCTACTGGTATAAAGCTAAGTAGTCCTGCAAAGTTTAACATAAATGAAATTTTCTTGGGCATAAGTTTTGATTGTGTTATTTGATATTTTCAGGTGGAAATAGAACTTATGAGGGAACAGTGTTCAACATTCTATCACAAATCGCTACTGTGTATGTGCTCATCATATTTGGTAACTAATTTATTTTATACTTTTCTTAAACAATTTACGAATTGTAACATAAACTAAACTATAAATTTATCTCTATTACAGAGTTGCTGAATACGAAAAATGCTCTAATACGGACTAGTATTGCAGCGAGTATCACAGGACTGGTGGAAGCCAAGACCAACCAAGTGGATAATTTAGTTTTACCTCTAGTCATGCTGATTGCTTTTCAATCAACTTCGTTCCTCCACTAAAGTTATCTGAACACCGTAAATTCGTATCTACGGTGTTTTAAATTACATTTTGACATATCTTAGAAAATCAGAGGATAAATGGCATTTTGCTGACTTGCTATTCAGAAAAACGAGTTGTTAGGAGCATTTGATACTCCAAATATGTTTAGGAAAGCAAAGTATGTTTGAGATATATTATGTACATAAACATGGTAATATTGAGATTATTAGATTGTTACTATTTATTATAACTAAAATGTTTCTATTTTTATACTAAAACGATATTTTTATGCATTCCAAAGAAGAATTTATTATATTTAAGAAACTATTAATATTAATAAAGAGGCTGAATATAAAAAAAGTTATTTATTTCACAATTCCATTTTGTTCTGTATTACTTTGTTCAATACTTTCAGTCTTAATATCACAAGTTTCTGGAACAGCTGTTTCTGTTACTTCTAACTTAATTATCTTTGATTTATCATCTTCATCATTATGACCATTTGTACTTGATTCTGCATTATTTCTTTTGATCAAATTCCTTTTCTTTTTCACCCCTTTGCATTTCGCTTTGTATATTTTCTCCAATGCCAGAACATCTTTTCTGTCAATAGTCCAGTCAATGATTGACGATTCCGCCATTTTGCTCAAGTCTTCTTCTTCATTGTAAGTAGGAATGTCGAGATTCAAAATATTCATCACTTTTTCTAGTACGTCATCTACATAGTAGTTTATTACTAAATCTGCTTTATTGTCCTGAAATATAAAAAGACTAAGTTAATGTGATGTGATCTAAGCTTATTCCTCATTTTTTTTATTTAGATTTAACATAAAATTAATGGCTGATTTGATAAACTTTGAACTTACATGTTTAGTTGGCTGCAGATTACAAATGACTAGTTTTCCCCCAAATTTTGCAGTTTCTATAGGCAAGTTGCCACTTGGAATGATTTGAAGTGTAGTCCCTAAGCATATACTCAGGTCTGCTATGCTGGAAATGAGAAGAATTTTATGACAGTGAAAAGTAGTTTAAAAAAATGGTTTTTCTTAATTACAGAAGAAAACAGGAGATATTACAAAAAATATAAATGCTTTTTACACAAGCATACATACAGCTTACTTAATCAAAATCAAAATTATCTTTATTTGTTTAGACTAATTAAATTAGTTCTTAATAGCAGTGATAGTATTTAGTTTGTCAAAAAATAATTAATAAACATGCAGCATCTTATGAGTTGAAATATGAGCAATTTTGAAACTAAAACATTGTATTCTCTAATCACATAATATGTAGTAATGATAAAACAGGACTTTTGTTCAGATCCCATCATCAAAAAGCATTTTAGTAAGCCAAGATGCGCGCCGCGATAAACGGTTATCACGTCATTTTATCGATTTCGCTCATACATTTTGGCGTCGATAAAAGTTATGGTGGCGCGCATGTTAGGCCTACTGGACACAAATTTTCAGCGAGAATTAGTTTGAAATACCTAGAATGCCACTCAGCCATCAGCAAGTCGTTCTCAGGCAGGCTGTGCTCCCAGTCTAAAACGCCGTCGTAGAGCCGGCCGCGGCATGGCCGCACGCCTATATGCGAGGACGCACACGGCACACCACTGCATTTCTTGCCGACTGTCTCTACAGGGCGGTTGCGGACAAATTGCCTGGAATTATTGTTTAAAAAATTATATTGCTGTTGTGAAATTATTCATAGAAAGTAAACAAATATTTTTGTTTTCAGCAGGATTTGACCACCGACCACAGCTGGTTGGCCATTTGAATGAACCATCTAGCTGTTTAACATCCAGTTTTAGAGACATAAAAGAAATGCAACCCAATTGTGTTTAAAGTAAAAGCAATAAATAGTTTCAGGAAATCTAGAGGTTCTAGAGAAAAATCCAACATACCTTTTGCAAACATTGCATTCATCCACAAACATGTTTCCATGCAGCTCTGCCAAATGCTTCCTAGACAGGCCGGACTTGAGGTGCAGGCCATCTATATTTTGGCTCACTACATACTGCACCTTGTTGCACTCCACAAGCTTCTTCAATATCATGTGAGTTTTGGTTGGTTTTGCATCTGCGAATGACACATTGGTGCTAGGCTTTTTACCCTGCTTCTCGAGGGTCCAAACACCATTAGGACCTCTGGAAATGTATAGTATAGTCACATTAGTGTCTTCTTATTTAAGTTAAACTTTTTTTGAATAATAATTCATACTAACTAACCTGAAATCTGGAATTCCAGCTGATGTGCTAATCCCAGCACCTGTGTGAACAACTACGTGCTTAGACTGGCTTATTAATTGGGCAAGAAGCTCACATTTTTTGTTAAACTTTTCCGGTGGGTCAAATTTCTGAAATAATCACACACAATTTTAAAATTATAGACGAGCTTACAAACTTGTTTTATCTCAATCTTTAAGCGCCAATACCTCTGGAACACCAAGAATTCCTTTATGTTCATATGGGGATAAACCTTCTGCATAATTACAAGACATATTTATTCATAAATACAATACATACATTCAGAGAAATAAATTGATTCGCGAAAATTATTTCAGAACAACCTCCATTGTTTACAATATTTTGACAACTTATAGTGATGTTGTGATAGTATGCTAAATGGGCCAATTATCACTATTCAATTGAATGTTCAATTGCTTTTGTTCTAATTATCTGTGCTATATGACAGTAAGCTAAAAAAAAGTTTTATGTCAGTTTTTGTTTGACAGAAGTGCTAGTAATTTCGCGTCCCGTATTCCCGTTTTTAATTTTCTGTTCTAACTTTATTTGATCTAATTTCTTCGAAACCGAATGAAAAGAGTTAATCACGACAGTAACTAATTAATTGTCTTTGCAAAATGAATCGCAGAAGGGCTCATGATGATGACGATGTTTACGGTAAGCTAAGAGGTTATATTCGAGATTGTTGACGATGCAAAAGCAAAAATCTTATTTCTTACTTACTTTTCAGAGCGTTTGCATAGAAAAAGACGTCGTGTGTCGGAAAATCAAGAAATAGAAGACAGGTTGGAATCCCTAATTTTAAGAGTGGGCGAGAAAAGTAGCTCAACTTTGGAGAGTAATTTAGAAGGCTTAGCGAGTGTTTTAGAAGCAGATCTCAGTACATTTCGAGTGAAAATCCTACGTATTCTCACTGAATGTGCTATTCGAATGCCGGAGAAATGCACTATTTATGCGACATTGGTTGGATTGCTCAATGCGAAAAACTATAACTTTGGTGGAGAGTTTGTGGAATACATTGTGAAAACTTTCAAGGAAAACCTGAAGACTGGCAAATGGAATGCAGCTCGGTATTGTTTAAGATTCATTTCTGATTTAGTCAATTGCCATGTGCTGGCTGCATCCTCTTTATTGACCCTTCTGGAGACTTTGGTAGATTGTGCAAATGAGGATGGTGTTCCCCAAGTGAGGAGAGATTGGTTTGTGTTCGCCGTGCTGTCCGCCCTGCCGTGGGTAGGGCGGGAGCTGTATGAGAAGAAGGAATCTCAACTGGAGCACTTGCTTGTAACTATTGAAGTGTTTTTGAACAAGCGCAGCAAGAAACACTGGCCGGCACTCAAGGTGTGGTCGGCAGACTCTCCTCATTTGCAGGAGGAGTACTTAGACTGCCTTTGGGCTCAAATCAAGAAGTTGAGACAGGATAATTGGTCAGAGAAACATATTCCAAGACCATACCTTGCCTTTGATTCTATTTTGTGTGAGGCTTTGCAGCATACACTGCCTGCTATTCAGGTAATTTAAATATACTTACTTGCTGCTAGTTTAAATATAAATGAATGATATTACTGTCTAGATTCTTCAGTTTAAATTCCACTGTCTTGTGACCCAAAAAAAATGTAATAAGTGAAATTTTCTGCATTTCAGCCACCACCTCATAATGACGGCGACTCATATCCGATGCCGCGCGTCATCTTCCGCATGTTTGACTACACAGACTGCCCTGATGGCCCCGTTCTCCCTGGGGCACATTCCATTGAGAGATTCCTCATCGAAGAACACCTCCACAACATTCTGGAGGCCTACCACCTTGAACGCAAGGAGTGTGCTGCTCAGCTCCTATGTTTCCCGTACAAAGCTAAAATACCATTAGAATACTGCATTGTTGAAGTGATATTTGCTGAACTGTTCAATCTGCCCAGACCGAGATACCTGGAGATTTGTTATGGGTCTATTCTTATTGAGCTTTGTAAGCTGCAGCCGTCTACAATGCCTCAAGTACTGGCTCAGGCCACTGAGATACTGTTCCTGAGAATTGACACCATGAATGTAGCAAGTTTTGACAGGTAATATCACACACTAATTTTAGCCTTAGTTCTGACCTATTTTATGAAACTTTATTACTTGTGAGAATGTTAAAAAGTACACTAAAGCCTTGGGCAGACCAAATATTTAGTAGCAGTAGCAGCGCAGTTTGAATGCGGGCCCGCGCAAGTTGTAATACAAGAAACTCTGAAGTGTGTCACACCAAATTTGAACGCGGGCCCGCGCTCCAACTGCGCCGCACTGCAACTGCCGAAATACAAACGAGGCGGCGCGGGAGCGGGACAGAAGCGGCGCGAACGCGGGCCCGCGCTGTTGTATTACTATGGCGGCTATTAGCATGACACACCGGACTCAGGGCGAGACAACCGCCCGCGTTGCAACTGCTTTGAAACTGCGCTGCTTTCAGTGTGCCTCAGCCGTGCTGCAACTGACCCGCACTGCTTCTGACCCGTGTTTGGTCTGTGGAAGCCTTAACCCTAATAGCATACAAGCCCTAAAAACTATTGTTAAACACTAGTTGTCTCTTTGTAAGTGAAAAAATATTAATTTCCTACATTTATTAGCATAGAACATCAATTGATGGTGTTACACCACGGTTTTATGAGTGGGTTAGGTCCAAATTATGTGATATGTACCCAGTTGATTTTATTCAGTAAGTTTAGATATGTATGGTGCTGAATTAATTTTCTTTTTAAATTTCCAGGTTTGTGACATGGTTTTCTTACCACTTGAGCAACTTCCAATACCGCTGGTCCTGGGATGACTGGGAGGGATGTCTGCAGTTGGAAGCTGACCATCCTAAGCCAAGATTTATCAGAGAAGTCCTAGGAAAATGTCTTAGGTATGTTTAGCAAGATGTGACAACTTTTTGTTTGTATTATGTTAGTTTGAAGAAAGATATAATTTTTATTTATATTATTTTCAGGCTCTCATATCATCAAAGAATTAAGGACATAACACCAGAGACATTTGCATCCCTTGTGCCACTGAAACCAGAGCCCATCTACAAATATTCCATGGAAGGAGCAGGTAAGAAATAACCACCACAAAATATTTTTTGTTTTTTCTTTATTTTATAAAAATACTTTATATCACCTAAGACTACACTTACCTAGTTTCAGGAAATATGTACATTCGGTAACACGTCTTACCAGGACTTGTGCAAACAGTGAAAGCTTGTCAATTCTAAATAAATGCTTTAAAATTGTAATGCTATAAAACCTTTCCATTTAAAAGAATCGCACCCGCAGAGGCGTTTTTGTTCAGTTTACGTGAGATCGACGACAGGAATTACAGATTAAAGCTGCACAACTGAGTATTATTTGAGTAAAGAAAAAAGATCAGTCTATTCCATGGCCATTAATTCTAGTAAGCTGTACGAACGCTCGCGATAATCGTCGTAGTCCTTGTCGTTAGTGTCTCTGGACGATTCGTTCACGTCCTCGTTGTCAAACGGCGACACGTCGTCGTCTATCAGCGTCTCGTGTTCGTCTTCGTACTCCACGTCATCAACCTCGTCGGGATGTCTGTTCTTTCTATTCCCGTCTAAATTACCCAGGAATTCTTCAAAGTCCTCATCAATTTTCAAATACTTTTCGTGATTTTCACTCTCCTCTTCGTCTAATTCCTGTTTTGGTTTACTATCCTTCATATTGTCTGTCGTATCGTCGTAATTCAGTTTGTCTAATATTTCATCAAGTAAATCTATGCCTGTTGAACTTTTGGTGGAACTTGGAGTGGGTGTCGTTGTTTCCAGCACCTCTTGTTCAGGGAATAGCGTCGTCGTAGAAACTAGATGATGATTTTTCTTCTTCTTTTTACATTTTTTAGTCTTGTTCTTCGGGACGCTATGTGGTGTGGTGATAACAGTTTGTTCTGTGACTATTATATCTTCCTCGATTTCGTTAGTTCTTTCGCTTGGCGTAGTTGAGGTGACACCAAAAATGAATTCTGAGTGATCTTCGGCTTCCTGTTGATCATCGTTTTTGTTAATTTTTGCCTCCTCCATTTCTTCACTATCATCTTCATCATCTTCTCGGTCGTCGTGGTGCTGTGTGTAAGCGGCGGGATTGTGATAATAGTCATTCGTTTCGTCGTCAGTAGGCTGCGTCGTCACTGGGGCTGCTTGTGTACTAGCAGCAGTACTGGCTGGAGTAGTGGTGCTAGTCTCAAATCTACTTGAATAGGAATCCTTTTGAACCTCATCCCCGTGAGTCGTGTATCTAGATGTAGTTGACATTCCGTATCCTTGGAAGTTAGATCCTTTCCTCCTGGGTGGATATTTGCCAGTGGGTGTGACTTTTTTCTCGGTTGTGTTGGTATTTTGATTTACGCTCCACCGGTCATGTTTTACGGAAGTGCCTTTTTGCATTAAAGTGGATATTCGGAAGCGGTTTTTGTTTTTGGGTTGCGTAGGTTTGGTAGTCTCGGTTTTTGCTGTGGTCTCTTCATAGGAACTTCTTGTGGTCGGCGCTGGTGTCGTTGTTGACGTGGTGGTGGTGGATGTTGTACTAGTTATTGTTGGAGATTGCTCTGTGGTTGTTGTTGATGTTTTTTCTTTAGGTTTCCACGTTTTGGGCGCTCCAGTAGCGGCTGAACTCGCCTGTGGTGTCAAGTCAGATGGTTTCTTGATAGTCGACTTCTCGGGTGCCTTCGTAGTGGTTGTGACTCGTTTGTGTTTCTTCACTTTATCCGGTTTCACGAACTTGTGCGGCGGACGAGTACGTTTCTTAGGGCCAGGCGTGGTAGTCGTGGTTGTAGTAGTAGTCGTAGTGGTAGTTTTCTCTTCATACGCCTCTGTGGATGTAGTTGCCTTTTTATTTGACGATTCCATAGAAGGAGTGGATTCTTCTATGCTGTCTACTTGCGAATCCTCAGTCATCGGCCTCTTAGGTTTATGAGAGTCCATTGGCGTAGTTTTCGTAAAAGCACTCAACAGGTCAGCCCATTGCATGTCGTCTTCTTGGGAGTCGTTATTCACAGTGATGATGTCGGGCGCTGTCGTCGTAACTCGTTGTGATTTTATATTTTCGTGTTTTTTCGGCGGTTTCTTACTAGTTGGCTTTCGCGTGTTTTTATCGCCATGTCTGTCACTATGGTAGACTTCTATGTCTTCAAAGTCAGACTCTGTGTTGTTACTTGGAAGTATCGGCCTAAAGGCAGACTCGTGTGATGTTTCTGGATTTGAGAATAACTGTCCATCGATGAGCTGGGGGCTCGGGCGGAAGTCTATAGGTCTTTTGGGAGGCTTTGGTGCATGACTGAACTTTAGTGGCGGCATAGGTTTAAAAGGCTTTTTACCTTCCATTGTAACGAACACTCCGGGTGGGGCATTGTAAATTGGTGGTCTGACATGTTCCGAGAAATAACTAACCTTCATTGGTCTAGGTTTCGTGTATGGTTTGTAAACCGGGGGCATTTCGGGAATTTTTGTTGTTTCTTCTACGACGGTTGTAGCGTTGGTACTATCTAAGGTTTCGTTCTTAGGTGTCGTACTGGGATGAGACATAGGCGGTGTAGGCATAACTGCAGGTCTTGTTGTTTTCACTATATTACTAGGTGATATATATCTATGGTCTGGGGGCTGCATGGGGAACTGATGGTTTATCCCGTCGACGTCGAGGTAATGGTGCTGCATGTGACCGACAGGAGGAGCTGACAGCGGAGGCCTGTATTTGTATACGTTAGGTTTATACGCGAACGGCATTAGTCGCTTCTGTTGATGTTGATCGCTCGGCATTCCCACATATCCCACTTTAGAATATTGATGATAAATGGGCGGCGCGTACGGATTTGGTTTATATCTGGGAGGAGGCGGTTCGGGGTACGAGTCGTCGTCCGAAAAGAACGAGGAAAATATTCTGTCTAGACCGTGACTGTAGAATCGACCCTGGTTGTTGTAATGCTTGGGAGCGATGTTTTTGTGGAACCAAACCGCCCTTTGCGGCCGGGGTGTCTGCGGGCGCGCCGCCGGCTGATAAACGGGACGCTCCTGGGAACGTTCCTGCGGAGTCCCGAGTAACGTGTCTGGAGTATTTTCACGCACAGTGAAAGTTCTGACAGGATTTTCATAAGGCCTTTTTTGTCTTTTCGGGAGTTGGGAATTCACCGAAAAGGTCAACTCATAATGATATCTCCCGGGAGACGTTTCGGCGTCTCGTTGCCGCACGCGCTTCACTGACCAGATGGCTTTGACGCCCTCCAAGCACTTGTCGTCGCCGCACTCTTCTTTCGATCGTTCGTCCTCAGCGAAGCGGAAGCCCCCGTTCTCCTCGATCAGCCGTCCCCTGGCCATGATGGTGACGTCGCCGAACAGGGAGTGGTCCTCGTCCTGGATGCGGTCGAAGGGGGCGCGTTTGATTTTCTCCCAGAGGTCGTGGTCGTCGACCTCCTTGGAGGCTTCAGGCTTGGCGTCGGGCTCGACGACGGCGCCGCGGGCGATGAGCTGGTCGATCTTGTCGCGCACGAGGGTCAGGTAGACGCTGTGGCGTAGCGCATCCTCCCAGTAGTGCGCGGGCACGGCCACGGCGGGCGGCTCTGTGCGGATGGCCTCGTGCAGCGTGCCCACGCGCGCGTCGCGCTTCTCGTAGTTCCACTCGTCCAGCGGGATCGGTATCGGCCTGAAGTCATCGTCTGAGGCCCGGCTTCCTCTCTCTATCTGAAAAAGCGAGCGATGAATAAGTAAAGACTAAAGTACGCTTTGCTTATGGAAAAAAAATGTACGCTGAATATTTGTGTATGCGTTTGAAAGTAAAATGTATATCGGGAAAGTGCCGCACGCTAGCGTGCGCGGCCGTTCGCGTGCCGCCCGTCCAACCCCTCCGCGATTAGAGTTTCCAATCGACAATTTAATATGAAATCTTTTTATGATCTTCCTCTGTAACGTTAGCTTTTTCCTTTTTGGCGTTCGTTTCGCAACTGAATATTCTAAGCTGCCAGACCTCACAATAGTGCGGCTCCAAAAACATTAATTGGGTGCAAAATGGCGTTAAAGCATTGTTTTGAAACTCTCCCACAAGTTGAGTGTTAATCTCTTATAGGTGAAGGTTAAGTTGAATCTAATTTGGCAGTTTTGTTTCTTTTTATTAATGTTAGTTAGTAAAGTTTTTGGCAGCTTAATTATAAAATATAATTTATTATCGTTTGTCCTTAGAGTTGGTCTACACACTAACATAACTATACTACAAAATTGCTTATTGAGTCGCCTCACCATTGCTTTCGATATGATAGGATAAGTTATTTATCTCGGATCAGATAGTGATCTAGCCCCACATAGCTGCCCACCGTGGCGTGACCATTACGTTTCTCAAACGTAACTTTTATTACTTGTGTGTGAATCATGAGAACATACCATGGTTATTGGGTATTATTCAAAAAACATAATTTTTTTTAATACTAATAACATGGGGACAAAATAATATTAAAATTAATACAAGTTTTCAACTTGTAAAATGAACATTTTAGGGACGTCTTAGATACATTTAAATTTATTCATTTATTTAAAGTAAATAAATAAGAGAAATGAGTGAAATAAAGTAGTTTAAAGAATGTATTTAGCTAGATGTATATTATATTATTATCTACCTAAAAGCTTTCGTTATTCAGTTATATGTATATTCATCAATTCATCGTTATTCGTTTTAAAAATGAATTTGATGCAACTGGGGTTCTAAAGAAACCACTGCACTAGATTTTTGGAGAGGTACTTTGCGATGGTAAAAATATTACTATTTATATCGATTATGTATAACTGGCCTTCTGACCGCGGCTTCGCCCGCCTGGAATTTTGTTTGTCACAGAAAAACTTTATCGCACGCGTCCCTGTTTCAAAAACCGGGATAGAATTAATATACATTATGATTCCTATAATAAATAAAAATAATAATATCGCCTATCATTCAGTAGACGGAAAATATTTTCATTTTATTCAACATAAAAATTCCCATAACACTAGTTTACAATATGACTAAAACATTGCTTATGTTTTTATAGCGTTTCCGACTGAGCGCGATTGTCAATAGTGATGCGCCTGAGTGATGCCGTACCCAGTGTTTTATTAAGCTAAAATATTTTTAATATCTATAAAATAAACTGACATCACTATTTTAAGTTTCAATTATTGACACGTTGATTGAAAGTTCTTCGAATTTCAGGAAACGGATATAATATTAGAACCAATTAACAAATGCATTTATTGAAATTATCCCAACTAATATTATAAGTGCGAAAGTAACTCTGTCTGTCTGTCTGTCTGTCTGTCTGTTACGCTTTCCCGCTTAAACCTCGCAACCGATTTTGATGAAATTTGGCATAGAGATAGTTTGAGTCCCGGGAAAGAACATAGGATAATTTTTATCCCGGTTTTTGAAACAGGGACGCGCGCGATAAAGTTTATCTGTGACAGACAAAATTCCACGCGGGCGAAGCCGCGGGCGGAAAGCTAGAGTATTTTATAAATAATTATTGTTTTTAGTAATTAAGTTAAGTTAGGTAGGTTAAGTTTTTTATTTTTTTTTAACGAAATATACGTGAATGGATTTGTTTGTCACTTTATTGCATTTTGAATGATATTCAAATATTTATTTATGATATTGGTAGATATTGGAAATAATATTATTGAGTTATTTTTTATAAACATATAAAAGACACCAAATTATAGTTCTGTTATTTTATTGTCAAACTTTTTTTTATTCACGTATTGAGGGACGCGCGATAGCCTTGCTTCTTGACGAACTGAAATGCACATGAGCGGAGCCGCGAGCTAAAGGCTAGTCTAGAATTAACTCATATTGTTTACGTGAGATATTATTATGAATTTCCACGTAAAGATTAGATTTACAATACGCAGTCGCATTTGATTGCTCCACTTTGCCTGGGAGTATCTCATCCAGACACAATGGCTGCCATAAAGGTCATTGTCTACGGTTATTATGTAGTTTCATTTCATTAATAGGCGTAAATATTGTTGTTTTAACATAACATTGAAGTTCGATACACTGCAACAATGAGCGGGTTTGTTTATTTAATTTTTCAAAATTTATTTATCACACTTAAAATTCACATCACTATTTAATAGTTTTAAACTTTTTCATCGATATTTTATAATACTCGAATAAACTTTTTTTTGTTTGCCTTGATTGCCGTCAATTGAGACACAAATAAAAATAACTTGCAACTTAATTTTCGTACAAAAAACCGATAAATTCCAAAAATTTCTGCACATAAATCGCGATCGCTCAATTATAGCATCACCACATTCACGAAAAATATGCGACAGTGATTTATACTTACAATTAGCGCGAAGAAAACGCATAGCAACGCGGATCGCATCTTGGTACATTCGCACTGCACGAGTGTTCGCACGAATACGGGCGGCGCGGGCGCACCGGGCAGCGGGCACTGTCTACTGGCGCGCCGCGGAAACTAGCTGAAACTGTAAACAATAATGTTGCCCGCGACGGCATATTATTCAAATCGCACATCTTGAAGGGAAAGTGCTCGCGGCGGTAGATGGACGAGGGATGTTTTATGTATTGAGTTAGTTGTATTTTATGATTGGGGCATTAGGTTATGCATATCAGCGTAGCACCCTAACATTACAGTTAGGGCGGCAGTTCTGAAGAAGAAAGTTTTGGGGAATTCTATTTTTTATATATTTTAAATATCTCAGTGGAAATCTTCGTTAAGACGTTTTGATCTAAAAATTCAGCTGGTTTAATAGCTTATAAAAATTATGTTAGTTAGATTTGATACAATTAACTTAATGGAACTTTAACAGCGTGTCTTTATAACGTTAGAGGCTAAAATTATCTAAATTTTCACTTTTTTTGAAGATGGTAAAAAGCTATCTTTTGATGTCGTGTAAAGGCGGTGACGACGTGTACAATTTTTATACAGCCGTATGTTTACCAGAGTTCTCGTGCCGTTTGATCCGAATGATATGCGAATCCCCTGAAATAATTAAAATTGCCGATGCTTTATTTAAGAAAGTTTTCCAGTTGGTAGTTTTAGAGTTAGAATTCCATTAATTTGAAAGAAAGCTTTACGTTTCATTAAACACCGTACACTAACTGCTACTTGGTTGCCAGTTAAACACAAAATTGTTTCCTAATAAGTAATGGTAACATAGCATAGTATGTGGTTGAAAATTTCTGCCGTTTGTAATTAGATCTTTGCTGAGTTAACGAGTTATCTCGCTAATGCCCGGCGCATTCCGTTCTTCTTACCGAATACAATAGGAAGTAATTGATTTTATTTAACACACTCCACTATTTTATTTGCTCATAAACACTATTTATCGTTCACTCATAATATTGTTTGAAGAAACTTATCGTATCTAGTTCCGGTATATTTTATTTCTAGTTTAATTTCATTGTACATATAGACTTTTAATTCATTATTGAATTGTTGTAAAATATTATGCGCATTTTGCGTGACATATGATGATGTAATGCGTGTATCGTATATACTCGTATAGTAATTATTTCCTACCTTTAACAATGTTTTTCTTACGCGAAAAAAGTTACTCAATTGTTGAATCACCAACGGTCACTTCGCGAGCATAAGCGACGTTATTAGTATCAAATAATACTGATTTACAAAAATATTTTCAAATTTGGGTAGTAAAATATAATAAGAGTCGTTTAATCTTAATTTTACATTGCTGCAGTCGTAATACGATGTCATTATTGGTCCAATAAACATTTTATTGCAAGCTAAAACGTTATATTCGGTAGAGAATATTACGTAATCCTGATTGACAGTAATATTAGTCCCATGGAAATGGATTTTCCCTGGCGCATATCGGGACGTATCTGATCAAGATAGTAAAACTCATTACCGTCGGATGTGGTTGCGGCATTCGCCAGTACAGTGGGCTGCGCAGGAATCTGTATTCGTAACACAGTCCTGTCTAATTTTGAACCTTATGTTTTTGAAATAAAGTGCCGTTCCTTTGCAGCTGAAGCGAGAGCCTAAATTGTTTCACATACACATGTTTCCTACTCTTTTTTAATACTAAAAACTAAACCCATCAAAAACAATACTTGTCAAAAAAACCAAGTCTCGCAACTCAGTTGTTCTACGGTAAAAAGTTGTTAGATCCATGTAATACCAAGTCCAGGCCAGGAAATCTTTAACGTTTTACATAAATTATTGACTTGGCCATCGCACTAAATAATTTAATTTACACGTGTTTTCATGCGATGGCCAAGTCAATATATTTATGTAAAACGTTAAAGATTTCCTGGCCTGGACTTGGTATTACATGGATCTCACAACTTTTTACCGTAGAACAACTGAGTTGCGAGACTTGGTTTTTTTGACAAGTATTGTTTTTGATGGGATCTCATTTCTTTTTGTATTTTGTAGACAGCAGTTATGTATCTAGAAAACTGGACCGAAATTGAAAAATTTTACTCGACTTGGCGGTTGCACTACCGTGCCCCCAAATATTTTAGTTTTTCCTTGATTCATACACCAAACACTACTTATATTCCAAATTTGAAGCTTCTAGGTCTGCTAGAAGTGCCTTAGAATTTTGATGATCGGTGAGTCAGTCAGTGAGTGACAAAATTAAGTAACTTTGACCCGTTATAATTCTTAAACTACTGGTTCAAATTGAATGAAATTTTAAATATACCGTGTCTTTACAATGCCTGCATAGCTAATGAAAATTCAGCCTTCTAGTTTTATCCACAACGAAGTTACAGGCGGTCGAAAATGGCCTGAATTGCTTCGAGAAAAGGATGGTACGGCCGTGCCGCTTTTTTGCTCGACTTGGTGGGGGCACTGCCGTGCCCCCAGATTAATCACGAGGAGCTCGATTTTTAGTTATTTTCATCCAGCTGTTGCCCACAATCTCTTTGAGGTCGTCGGTTCATCGAGCAAGGAAAATTGGTGTACATCTCTTAATAACGTCCAACACTTCATAAACATATTTTATTAAAAAAAAGTATTAGAAACAAATATTTTAATATTCAACAATACACGATCATTACTTGCATATCGGTCAGGAGAGCAAAATAATACAAGTATACGCATACTTGTTTTACACACGTAAAACAGTAAAAAAATAATTAATCGTTCGATATTATTTAGTGCCGCGACATTTCATGATGTCTGAAATCGCGGGCGAGGGCGGGGAGTGAAACGCGGGCGGCGCGGCGGGCGTCGCGTGCGCACTTTCCATCTCGCTTTTCGCCATTTTTTCCAACCGTTCCCGCCGCACGCGGATACAAAGAACACATAAGTTTCTAGAACATGCACTTTGAATATTTTCAACAGATTTATTTTTCACGTCTAAATAGTATTTTAATAAGAAAACTGAAATAATTGGGTTGGAATAATTAACGCTGAATGTTAATGCTGTAGTAGCGTGGTGTACATTAAAGACTGAATCCCGACTGTTATTTATGTATGATCGATCATGGATAAATAAAGTATATTTGTAAGTAATTAAATAAGATGAAATATACCCGATTGTGCGTCAATTTTAAAATTCCTGAGTACATAAATATTTATTATTTCAAACATTTTTCCTAGCGTTTTTATACTTATATTATAGTCCAATAATTAAAATAAAATAATTAATTAGTGTTCGGTGTAGTAGATAATATCTACTAGATCGGAAAACTGAATATAGTTTCGGTTAGCACCGCTTGGAGGGTTAACGTGTATCTTAATCGAATTCAAACAGGTAAAATATAATTGTTGTTTACCGCCTGCTTTTCTAGCGTACATAATCTGTGCACGGAATGCAATTGAGAATTCGATATTTTGCTAATATGCTACTTACTGCCGTCATTTTTGTGTGCATTAGGCAATTTTAATCCCTATATCCATAGAGCTAGAGTGAGTGTTTCTACGCGGTAGTTGTTGGCTATTCCAAGCGAATGTGATCAATTGTTGTAATTATTTACGTGCGTATGAGATGTGGTTATGCATGGACAGATAGGGAATTTGTCCGCTTTCCTTGTTCATAAGTGAATAATGTTATTGAAATAGAGTAAGAGTTTTAACTTTTTTTTAGAACATGTTCATATATTTTTTGTTTAATTTTGCACATGTTTACAGACTATAAAAATGCGTTGAAAAGCTGTAATTTTTTTCCTGAAAATGGAAACATTTTTCAATTATATTTTTCTTTTTTTTAAGTGTCGCGTTTTATTAATATCTAAAATCTAATCACTGTAAGTCATACTTAATGCGGAAACAAGACGTTTTTATTGAAGAGTGCAAAATAAATGTACCTATACGTTTAATTGTTATTTCCTGGAAAAAATACTAATAATATCGAATTCTGATTGTTTTCAGTTTTCAAAAGTGTTTGCCAAATAATACTTATTTTTTAAACTGGTAAATTCTATTTATTATTTCCGTGAAATGGTTTAAGTATTATAAAATAAAATCGCATAGGAGAATATTATCATCTCTCATTTTAATTTTAGACCCTGTCAATTTGTATCTTATATTAATAATTTTTACATTCCCGAACACTGTAATTCGGGCCTTTTCAAGGCCAGAGTAAATAGGCACATACAGGGCATATGTGTATCATCCTGCACTCAAATAACTGCCTTGTTCTGCATAAAAAAAACCTTAATTTGTCTTTATATCCACACAATATAGTATGAAATGTTTCCTCATATCCTATTACATTGCGAACCTGCAAGATCTTAGGCCTACTAGCAACGAACGAATTCCACAATTACCAATAAAAACTCCGTGTCAGTTTAAAGTTTTTTGTTCGGCAAGATTCCCAAGATCTAAACGCGGGCGATAGGGCCTGTTGCAACTGCCAGTATTGTTCGGAGTACCTATCGGAACCGCGATCAACCGTAATTGCAAGCGTTGCGGACGCTCTGCGTTCGAATGTGTATGATAATTGAATATTGCAACATTTAGCTATAGACCCACATACCATTGATTTACAAATATAGGTCTCTATGTTTGTACTCTATGGTGATTTGGTACAGTGGAATTTATTTTGGAATTCTTGTGTTTTCAGGCATGATTGCGGCGCTTAGCGCCATAAATTCACTTCAGTTTTTTTAATTGTTAATTAATTATGTTTGTAGTGATGTAGTTTATGGTTTGTCTATGAAGAAATACAGCATTATAGTTATTTACTGTTCTATATTTTATAGACTCGCTTAATTTGCATTGAGCTAGATTCTTTCGGCACCTATTGTAATTTTTCAATTTCTTTTTGCATGGTATTGGCGCCTAAAGCTTAATTCTGTAATTCTACAAGGGCCGCAGCGTACTTATCACGTAACATATCATATCGCACTCTTGGTGCAATAACGTCACAATTGAAATAAATGTTTTTTTTGTATTTCTGACGTTATTGCACCAAGTGTGCGATATACAGGGTGGCCAAAACAGTGAGGTCTAAAAGAAAAATTTAGATTCCTTACATCAAGGTGTACCTAAATCACCCCCATGTATATTATACGATTGTGCTTAGTTTAGGAGATAGAGTTAATTTTGTGATTTTTTTAAATTTTATGACCTAGTAGGCTTTAAACATTTTTATCTTTTTTTTGGGTTGACTTTTTTCAGATTTCTTTTTTTCTACAGATTTGTTATGAATTGCAGATGTTTGAAAAAAATAATCACCTTTCTATCTTTGATTCAAGGTACAAAAGTTTTGCTAGAAACATTAAAATTATGCTTTTATCAGAACACTATCAAATTTTCAACTTAAAAGTTTAAGTAAAAAAAAGAACTTCCATAGGTCCAAAACCATTTTAAAAACTGCGCCGTTTCCTGAACATTCATAATAATACAAAAAAAGATCTACTTAATAGGCCACTATTTCCTGTAATCGGTCCACTAAAGTGGTAAGTCGGAGATTCCGTTACATGTTTTTGACTTTCTTAGAGTGAATTAATATTGGGAATCCTCTAAGTTTACATTACGTAGAACAGATTTAGAGCAGTAACTGGACAGAACATGTTTTTATTCTAAACGAGGAAGCTCTTGCCCTTCATCACACCTGGTGGAAACTGATGATTATGCTGAAGGTGGAAGGGAACTTCAACTACAAAGGAACTATGGCTTCCTACCTCCAAATTCCGGAACACATTGTTATTTTAAGTAAGTTTTGATGACCATAAACCAAATATCCCTCCTTCTTCTTCTCACTGTAGTAGGTATTTCAAGGGTAATAGTAAAATGTAACAACTGCCTCTGTCTTCAAGTGGTAAGAGGTAAGCTTCAGAGGTCCCGGGTTTGATTCCCAGTGGAGGTGAAATTTTCTGCTCGGTTTGGTTGGTGGTAGGGTTTGATCTAAGTCTGCCTGGCTAGCAACTCTATTTTCCTAAGTCTGTCACTATAACAATAATGTTAAAAGCATTACTGTATTCCGGCATTTGGAGGTAGGAAGCCATAGTTCCTCTGTAGTTGAAGTTCCCTTCCACCTTCAGCCTAATCATCAGTTTCCACCAGGTGTGATGAAGGGCAAGAGCTTCCTCGTTGAGAATAAAAACATGTTCTGTCCAGTTACTGCTTTAAATCTGTTCTACGTAATGTAAACTTAGAGGATTCCCAATATTAATTCACTCTAAGAAAGTCAAAAACATGTAACGAAATCTCCGACTTACCACTTTAGTGTACCGATTACAGGAAATAGTGGCCTATTAAGTACATGATTTTTTGTATTATTATGAAAGTTCAGGAAACGGCGCAGTTTTTAAAATGGTTTTGGACCTATGAAAGTTCTTTTTTTTACTTAAACTTTTAAGTTGAAAATTTGATAGCGTTTTGATAAAAGCATGATTTTAATGTTTCTAGCAAAACTTTTGTATCTTGAATCAAAGATAGGAAGGTGATTATTTTTTTCAAACATCTGCAATTCATAAGAAATCTGTCGAAAAAAAGAAATCTGAAAAAAGTCAACCCAAAAAAAAGATAAAAATGTTTAAAGCCTACTAGGTCATAAAATTTTAAAATATCACAAAATTAACTCTATCTCCTAAACTAAGCACAATCGTATAATATACATGGGGGTGATTTAGGTACACCTTGAGGTAAGGAGTCTAAATTTTTCTTTTAGACCTCACTGTTTTGGCCACCCTGTATGTTTTTCAGACCTAAATAGATTCCCTTTTTTATCAAATCAAATCAAATTAAATATATTTAATTTGCGAACATGGGTATTACGTAGGTGTTACAAGTATTTTTAGTATCTCCATCTTCCACCTTGCAAAGTTGGCAGTCTTACTGTATAGTATACATTTTCCTTTAAAAGCAAGCTAAAGTTTTTCTTCTGTGTTGTCCCCAGCGGCCCTCCCGGGCACCGAAGCAGCGCACCAACTGGTGGTGAACGTGCGCAACAAATGCACTCCTGAAGAGGCGCTGAACGTGCTACGAGACCTCCCTAACCCGTTAAGGTATTGAGTTCATTCTGTGTTTGTTTCTATTTCAAAAGATGATCCTATATTTTATTATCAATTCCAGTTTCTTAGACAAGTTGGTTTTCCAATCTGACTTACATTTTTCACTCAAAAACAAAGAAATGGAATGGAAGAACTATTTGACCTATTATTTAACCTATTATTAAATTTATAATTTATACAGTAACCATGGATTTTTTAAATCTTAGATGGTGGCCTAATCTATTCATCATCATCATCAGCCTATTGAGTAATTCACTGTTGAACATATGCCTAATACGCGTCAATTTACCCTGTCCCTGGCTGTATGCGACAACAGCTTCCGCCTGTGAGCGTTTGCAACTCGACACTCCATCTAAGTTCTGCTACTGCGTCCTTGACTTTGAATGTATAGTCTGAAGGTTTAGTGTGAGTTTACATCAAAGCGCGTTAAAAACATATGAAGATTTTAGTTCTTGAAAGTAGCTGTACAATTCGTCATACATTTAATGTCACTTTTTTACGCAGTCGACATCGAATGCGTTTGACGTAAACTCACACTACGCTCCCTGATGTGCTGTCAATTATTCAGAAGATTTTTTATATCAAATAACCCTGTATTTGTAAAGTATAATCTGTATGGTTTTGAAGGGAGGGTGAGCAGCCGGCAGCGGCGCAGGCGGCTCCTCATAATCCATTGAAGATAGACGTGTTCGTGCAGACGCTGCTTAATCTCGGCAGCAAGAGCATCTCGCATAGCTTCGCCGCCATCTCCAAGTTCCACTACGTGTTCAAGGCAAGTTGGCTCTTATACAGCTGCAATAAGGCTGACTTTACAACCGCTAAGATCGACGTGTTCGCTTCGCCGCCATCTCCAAGTTCCACTACGTGTTCAAGGCAAGTTGGCTCTTATGCAGCTGCAATAAGGCTGACTTTACAACCGCTGCGATCGACGTGTTCGCTTCGCCGCCATCTCCAAGTTCCACTACGTGTTCAAGGCAAGTTGGCTCTTATGCAGCTGCAATAAGGCTGACTTTACAACCGCTGCGATCGACGTGTTCGCTTCGCCGCCATCTCCAAGTTCCACTACGTGTTCAAGGCAAGTTGGCTCTTACGCAGCTGCAATAAGGCTGACTTTACAAACCGCTGCGATCGACGTGTTCGCTTCGCAGCCATCTCCAAGTTCCACTACGTGTTCAAGGCAAGTTGGCTCTTATGCAGCTGCAATAAGGCTGACTTTACAAACCGCTGCGATCGACGTGTTCGCTTCGCCGCCATCTCCAAGTTCCACTACGTGTTCAAGGCAAGTTGGCTCTTATGCATTTGCAATAAGGCTGACTTTACAACCGCTGCGATCGACGTGTTCGCTTCGCCGCCATCTCCAAGTTCCACTACGTGTTCAAGGCAAGTTGGCTCTTACGCAGCTGCAATAAGGCTGACTTTACAAGCCGCTGCGATCGACGTGTTCGCTTCGCAGCCATCTCCAAGTTCCACTACGTGTTCAAGGCAAGTTGGCTCTTACGCAGCTGCAATAAGGCTGCCTTTACAACCACTGCGATCGACGTGTTCGCTTCGCCGCCATCTCCAAGTTCCACTACGTGTTCAAGGCAAGTTGGCTCTTACGCAGCTGCAATAAGGCTGACTACAACCGCTGCGATCGACGTGTTCGCTTCGCCGCCACCTCCAAGTTCCACTACGTGTTCAAGGCAAGTTGGCTCTTATGCCGCTGCAATAAGGCTGACTTTACAACCGCTGCGGATCGACGTGTTCGCTTGCCGCCATCTCCAAGTTCCACTACGTGTTCAAGGCAAGTTGGCTCTTACGCAGCTGCAATAAGGCTGCCTTTACAACCCGCTGCGATCGACGTGTTCGCTTCGCAGCCATCTCCAAGTTCCACTACGTCAGAGTAAATACAAATGAGTAGGTCATCTTCATAGAAACGCACCGAGCGCGGTTTGTATGTGAGCGCGCCAATACGTATGCGGCGCGCACGCACACACTGACAAAATTTGGCGGGGATTAGCGGGGAGCCAGTCGTGGTTGCGCCACACACGTTGGCGCGCTCACATACAAACCGCGCCCGTGCGTTTCTATGAAGATGACCTACTCATTTGTATTTACTCTGACTACGTGTTCAAGGCAAGTTGGCTCTTATGCAGCTGCAATAAGGATGACTTTACAAACCGCTGCGATCGACGTGTTCGCTTCGCCGCCATCTCCAAGTTCCACTACGTGTTCAAGGCAAGTTGGCTCTTATTTAGCTGCAATAAGGGTGACTTTACAACCCGCTGCGATCGACGTGTTCGCTTCGCCGCTATCTCCAAGTTCCACTACGTGTTCAAGGCAAGTTAGCTCTTATGTAGCTGCAATAAGGGTGACTTTACAATCCGCTGCGATCGACGTGTTCCCTTTGCCGCTATCTCCAAGTTCCACTACGTGTTCAAGGTAAATTGGCTCTTATGCAGCTGCAATAAGGCTGACTTTACAACCGCTGCAATCGACGTGTTCGCTTCGCCGCCATCTCTAAGTTCCACTATGTGTTCAAGGCAAGTTGGCTCTTACGCAGCTTCAATAAGGTTTACTTTAAAACCCGCCGCACAACTTTGATCGGACTAGCCGACTCAACATTCGAGGAACGCGGGTTTGAAACCCGCTACCCCTCGACTATTGTGGTGAGCCCACCATAACACAAGCATACTTGATACCACTTAATTTTAAGCTGCATCGCTGCATGTGTCAAACAAGGCTGTATGTTTCTTTAATAAAGATAAATAAATAAATACTTAGCTTAGTTCAAGTAGTTAACGGGACTGTTAGTAATTTGTGCAATATAAATTACTAATTTTCTTTAAAAAAAAGTTCATTTTGTTTTTCAAATATTCTTTACTCAATTATTTATCTATCCCCTTTTACTTTTCAAGTTATTATTGCCTAATAGGCTTCCTTTTTATCGTGCCAGTATAAAATAATGTCTTAAACGTTTTTTATTAAAATAAATAGTTGGCGCTATGTTCTTTTATCGAATATGTGTAGCGCATGAAACATACGCGTTTGACATGCAATATTTTGATACAAAACAGACTAAATAACTCATATTTTATTAATTTTTAACTAGTGATTTTTATTTTATTACTTAATACTGTCTGAGAACGATATCAATCACAATATACTCAGTAATCGATCATTAATTAATTTAATTAATTTATTTAATTTAATTACAAGGTTAGGCTTATAATCTAACATTTCTTATATCACTAAACATAAAAATGTTTGTTGTGACATTGCACATTCATCGCAATAGCTTATAAGTATAAAAAATAATATTATAGGAAGGCGGTAGGTATCAATAAATTTGCCAGCTGGAGGTGAGTCGCACGACGCGATACTACGTCGACTCGGGTCGAGCGTTCCGCTAGTTATTTTTTGCAACGTACCTACAGGGTGTCTTCATGTTTATGTAATACAAGTTATGNCAGCAAACTTTGAATATAATCAATAAAAATTTGTTACAATAATATTTGTAGTTAAAAATAACATGTTTTTTGTTAAATAACACCTGTACAAAATATTTCTCTAAAAGTAGGTTTTACTACTTCTTAGAAAAAAATCGATAGATAAATCGCTATGGTTTAGTTATGTGACATCTCTATAACTTTCAAACTCGAAACGTCATACGAATCATCTTAGGTGAAAAGCCCCCCTAGACAAAACGCACTTTTTGATCGAATCGAAAATCGAATCCGTCAAAACTTACTACCATACAAAAAAGGGGCTTTTCGACCACTTTTCGACTGGTTTGCGATTATAATTTGCACTTTGTCTAGACCCAAAGGACTATATAGATGACCCACGCTGAACTGTCCCACCAAACTCAATGACAGGGGGGCGCTACCATCGTTCAACTAAGTATATGGTTTCCAACATGGCAAAAATCTGAACCAGCGATCCGGTATAGACGGTGGCGCCCCACTGTCAATGTCATCGACAGGACAGTCCAGTATTTTGGAACTATAGTGTGAGTTTTCATTTCATCACTAGTGAGCGCGTTTAAAAATGACATTAAATGTATGACGGATTGTACAGGGAAACGTTCAAAACTAAAATTTTCATACATTTTTTAAACGCGCTCACTGATGAGCGCGTTTGATGTAAACTAACATTCAGCCCACTGGTAATTTAAAATTAATTAAGTTTTTAAGACCAGAATTAAGGGTCTTTTTAAAAAAGTTGTGGTTTTGAATTATTACGGTAAGGTGTCAAACTGTCTATTGTTTTCTAAATTGTATTGAGCGAGCGGATTAATAACGTGTAATGGTGGACTTTTTAACTAGCGTTTTCGTGAAAATGAAGTTCTTGTCTCTCTGTGAGATCTCAGTAGAGTCAAGTCTTTACTGAAACTCAGTGAAAAGGGCGAATATCATTTAACGTTATCAATCATCATTCATTATCACAAATATCCCAATTTTGTGTTAACTTCAGGGTTAGAGCCGCAACTGACTCAAAAACAACTTCGCACACAAAATAAAAATACTCTTAGTTTTCCACATTTATTTATAATTCAATAATTAATATTATTTACAATTTCTACATTAATCTAATACTCTACTCGAATTATGAAATGCAAAATGTTAACTTATTATCGATTATCCTATTTATTTATTTGTTCTAAGTGCATTGATTTTAGTGATTTACAGAAACACTACATAATGAATTTAATTTACTTAATAAGTGGCTAATTCAGTTAAATACAAAATTATGATAGAGAACAATAAATAGACGAACGTGAAAAACATGTAAAATACTGATTCCACAACAATTTAATTTAATATGGAAGGTAAAAACGACTTTAATATTAATTTGATAAAAAAACATTTTAAATATCAGCAGTTGATCATAATATTTCCTCTGTATGTGTATTAGATTTTTTATTATACATAGTTTCGAATAATAAAAATTACCTCAGATAGTTCACATTCATATAATTAATCATTATCTAATAAACCAACTTAAATAAGTATTTGTGTAAAATATACAAATGCAATTTTTGTTTGATGGCACAACAAAAGTAAACTGTTGCACCTTTTGAGATAGTAAAAAATGCTACTTTGTTGTCGACTGTACGTATACAATTAAAATTATACATTATACCTACTACCATACTACAACATTAAATAGAATAGATGCTTTATTTTCGTAATTTCATAATATAAAATAATTAATTTAACGAAAAGAAAAAATGGGGTAAAGTAAAATAATATTTTTGTTTGTAATGATATTGCTTGGAAACGAATAATTATTAGAGACATAATAATTTTTTAAAAGAAAATAAATAACTAAACATCTAAAATAATGAAAATGCCTAATTAAACGTATTACGTAATTAAGCGTATTTGCTAAATAAATAAATAAATCAAAGTTATATTAATTTTTAATTAAACTATAGAAAAAATATATCAAACCAAAATTAAAAACTAAGCACACAATATTGTTATTTAAATAAATAGCGTTTTTATATACATCATCTTTGGAACGCGTTGCTACACATGAAGAACACACTGACTAGATTCCACTCGATAGAGATTTCTTATAACATTTTATATTATATATCTCTGATATATTATTATATCTATACTTACTTTACTATATTTAATATAATGCAATATTTTACATATCTTATAACTAACTTGTTTATAAATTCAAATGGAAAAGTGTTTAAAATAGTTTTTATTTATTTTTGTAAGTGATATTGGTTTATAATGTATAATAATAATGTATTTGTTATTTTTGGACTAAATAATATCTACTTTTTGACTCTACACCTTGAAAATTATATGATAGACTCTATCTGACCAACTATCTCTTGAATATATATTAAACATCACTCATTTTGTCGGCCGTTTGGTGTAGTGGTTCAGCACGGACTACTATGCCGAGAGGTCCCGGGTTCGATTCCCGGCCGGGCAGAAATTGAAATGATGAATTTTAATTTCTGTGACGGGTCTGGGTGTGACTATGTATAATATTTAAGTATTTAAAAAAAAAAGTATATAAGTAGTATATCCGTTAAGCTAGCACCCATAACACAAGCATTAAGTTGCTTACTTTGGGGCTAGCTGGCGCTGTGTGAAATTGTCCAAAGATTTATTTATTTATTATTATTTATTTATTTATAATTTAGACTATGAAGTTGCAAATAAAAAAATATGACTAGATGAGTTACTAAATAAATGGCTAGTTTTTAGAAAAATATTTGGAAAATGACTAGAAAATAATAGCGACTAGATTGAAAATCCATGAGACCAAAAGGAAATCATAAAATAATGCTTTGGTAAAAAACTAGCGATTTTTGAATATCTTGACTAGACTAACACAATAAAAACAAAATTAGATTAGAATTAGTGGATTGAAGTATAAAACACGTCAATCTACAGAAAATGGTATTATGCACCTTAAAATTATTTGAGATCATTAAAGTATAAATTGTTGTTTTGTATAAATAATATAAAATCTTTATTTCAACTAATCTATTTTCGATAATGACTAGATTATCTTACCATATGACTACATATTTTTATTATTTGGTTCTTTTTCAGAAATGACTAGAAAAAGAAAACTGACTAGAATATAAAAATAAATATTTATATTAATTTGACTTAGAATTTGACTAGAAGTTTAAAAAAATATTTAAATTAATTTGACTTAGAATTTGACTAGAAAAACAAAATCGACTATAAAGATTTTAAATGACTTTAGCTTGACTAGATAAAAGTAAAACACGACTAGAAAATTTAAATAAAATAGGCTTTGGTAGATATGTAATTGACTAGAAAAAATATTTTTTGAGCAAAACAAGATTTGAAAATAAAATTTAGTTTTGATTTAACGAATTACTTATTGAAAGCAAAACATCACTAGAGGTAAAATCAATTTAGTTTTGGTTCACACATAATTAAATTTATATTTTGAGTAACACAATATGGTACAACAAGTGCCCTAGTGACCTGACCATTCCGATGTAGAGTGAAAACTTTATGAGATAGTTGGCCAGATCTAAAAATATGCCCATGCATTCGATCGATGGCGGTGGCCTTTCTACCGATCGATTCATGCAACTTCTGAAACTATGCCTTAACTGATTATACGATAGGTCTTTTTTAAATATTAATTTAAATTAAATATGAAAATGAAAAAATATTTCAATATTGGATTGGCTAATTTTGATATGAAAAAGGAAACGAAGATATTTTCAAGGTGTAAAATCAAAAAAGATTAAACGCTCTGAATTTCAAGACTACATACTTATTTGATAGTGAATAATTTCTTATAACTTTAAATCCTATAAACGAACGTTATAGTACAACTACTAGCTTACTCGTATACTGAAATGGTGCCTACTGTACTATTATTTTACAGAATGTGCCATAAATTATACACTCTGTATAAGCTATGTTATTTTTCAGTTTCAAATGTTAGGAACGCGAAAGATTAAAATCTTATAATATGGTATTTCTATGGCCTATAATTATGTACCTACTCTTATATATATGTTAAAGGGTAACGATGTCAAGACTAAGGCCAAACTATAGATGATACATTTACGATTTTTAAAAGGATTTTTTACGATTACTTTGCAATGACTTAATACGTAATGACTGAGCGTTAAATTAAAGGATTCAAGTATGTTTCAGTATACGGTTAATTAAGTAATTACCTATCTTAATACTAATAATAAATACCATATAGAAACGTTTAACGTCTCTAAATAAAGACTAAGTACTTTGGAATGAACGCCGCAGGAGATCAAATATACAAACTTAATCTAAATTAAATAAATGTACAGTAATATAACTATTCTACAATGATCAAGCATCTACAAGCGTATGTGCAATTAATATTTAATGTGCAATGCTACTATAATCTGGATTAAACATTGATATGTAAGTGATATTTAAAAACTATTTAGAAAATACAGCTATTGTACAACAAAGATATTCCGTGACTTATCCCAACACTAACACGTAGATGTAGATAAATTTTATAAATAACATTCAATCAACTAAACCGTTCAGGGTACAATATTGTTATATAAACTCGTATATTTACGGGACTACAACGTCGAACGTCGAATTTCTACGTACCTACCTACTAAACCTGAAAGTACGTCTATTACTGAGAACAATTATAATTACTGAGAATAATGGCGCATAATACTCGTAGTTCCAAAACAAGTAAACGATGTGACTACCTCAGCTAATTTCGATGATAGTGGTTTTTTTTGGATTTCAGTGAAGAACGCTTTGCTATCTAAGGTAGCTTTTGAATCGATGACGACATTGTAGCCTATATTTAATGATTTAAGAAAAATAAAGAGGCGTGTCGTGTCCATACGTGTTGTAATACGGCAGCGGGGGCACGGAATAGGCAGGAAACCGCGGCACGGGCCGCAGCACTCGCCGTCACCCGTCCGTAGCGCCACCGCCTTCATCCTCAGAACCCGTGACGTCGAGGCTTCGGGAATCCTCGGAGGAGCAGGAGGACGCGCATCGGGTGCGCACGCCCTCCCAAGCTATCTCTTGGGGCGGCGGGGGAATCTTGTTCCAGAATGTGTTGAAGTTGCTGTCACGGAGGGTTTCCTGGTAGAGAAATTGACTATTGTAGACAGATGTTCACCACGATAAAGAAATATTGTGTTAAACTGTGAAACTAAACTTATCAAATGAAGCTAAAAACTCATGAATTAGGGCCCTCGCACACGGCGACTTTTTCGACAGCATCGCTACTAACGCGCGTTAGTCGCATTTGCAACGTACTACAGAAGTGATGCCAACGCGCTACAGACTGCATCGCTCCAAAATCGCCGTGGACGAGGGCCCTTATTCGTAACATTCTAAGGCTGAGTTGCACCATCTTACTTTAACTTTGACAAACGTCAAAAATCTATCAAACTCCATACAAAAAGCATCGGTGTCACGGTAATACTATCTATACAGTATTCCAACTCGGCCATATTTTTGAAATAAATGTCAACAGCTCCGCGGTACGTCACGGTATGACAACATGCGATAGGGCTGCTCACCTATAGTACCTATTCTAATTACACCTGTCTACTTAGAATTTCTATCTAGTTTTGTGATTGTAATTTTTTATTTATTTAGACAAACAAAATACTTTGTGAATGGAATAGGATAAAAATGCTTGTTGTTTTGTGATTAGTAGATTTAATTTAAAAAAATATAGGTACTAAAATAATTTTGAATCTACTAATCATTTCAGGGGGCGAAGTCGTGGGCCAAAGCTGGTTTTTTACAAAATAATTTTTATTTCAAATCAAACTGACTCAAAATGACCATTTCTGACAGTTAATGACTAGTTTTTGACAAATTTGATCGTTTAAGACGGTCAGTCAAATTCCATCACCTTAGTCATTTTCAACGGTAGGCCATCGACGTCCGTTCGGCACATTCGCGACACCCCTAACTTTTGGATTTCGACCACGTCCCGAGATTTGAAATTCGAAGGAAAGCTCGCGTTTCGTCGGTTTATATGAAGTTACAATACTGTATGATATTATTACCGTGTCGGTGTTATTGTTACGGTTAGATTAAGATGGTGAAACTCAGCCTTAATCTGTTAATCTTGACTAATGAATTAAACTTTTGAGTTGTAGTTGAGCCGACCGACCGTTGACGAGCGCAGATCTTAAATGCTTGTCCATAAAACAATATGTGGTATTTAAATAGTAATGTTGGCCAGAAATGAATTACGAACTTCAGCCTAAAAATGAACATCTGAAACCTGAAATTTAAACCACAATAACCACTCACCGTCTGATAAGCAGGATATTCAGCATGCACCTGCCTAAACGCCGAGGGTTCCTTCTCCTCGCTCTCCGGCTGTTCGTGGGCCAGCAGATGCTTCCTGAGATACGCCTGTCTCCTGAACATCTTCCCGCAGCGCTGGCAAGGGAACCGCCCTGCGTCTGATGCTGGAGGCTCGCGTCGTTTGGTGGCGCCGGGGACGCGAGGCTTGTGCCAGCGGCGGTGCGATGCGAGGTTGGCAGGGCAGTTGAAGACCTAAAGAATTGGCGAGCTTAGATTTGGACTTCAAGTTTTTTTGTCAATAGGTAAGTTTTCACTACCCTTGTGATGAATGTGATAGCTGTCTTGTTTAAGCCTAGGCGCAGACTAACGACTTTTAGTTGGCCGATAGTTGGGCCCGGTTCTAATTTGTATGAAGAATCGGCCGATACCAAATCGGTGCAATGTGCGTAGTTACATACATGTCCATATTGNTACATGTCCAATGTCCATACTAATTAACAGCCCGACTAAACTATCGGCCAACTCAAAGTCGGTGGTCTGCGCCTAGGCTAATTCCAGACGCTATTTGTTGATACAATTTTAATCAACTTTTAGCGTTATTTCTTGCTCATTGACATGTAGCGCGCTTCAATAAAACATTATTTGTAAAAAAAAAACAATCTTTAGGCAAAATAAAAATGTAAAAGACCGGTCTATTAGAATAGTTAAGTAGTAAATAAGCACAAACTAATCATTCAAGACGTAGCGTGGGCAGGCCTCCTACTAGGTGGACCGACGATCTGGTAAAGGTCGCGGGAAGAGCCTGGATGCGGGCAGCGCAGCACCGTTCATTGTGGAAAACCTTGGGGGAGGCCTTTGTCCAGCAGTGGACGTCATTTGGCTGAAACGAACGAACGAATCATTCAAGCAATTTGTTACAATGAGTACAATTTTACATTTCATATGATCGAGTTCCTAATCATGAGTTGACTGTTTCCCGCCCGAGATGCCGCTAATACCCTCCAGTCACGCACCACGTAACGTATCAATTATCGTGTAAAAACATTTCGCCAGAGCGTGTCCCTTCCCATGGAAATGTGCCAAGTGTCGCCTCTCGACACCCCATGACCGTTCCCACACGAATAGTTTGTGTTAAATGTTATCGAATGCAATAAAAAGAATCGGTTTGGGATGTACCAATAAAGGGTAGATAATGATATCGGTTAATATTGTATTAATTGAAAACGACGTGGGAAGAGAGGACTGTTTTTGTAAATATCATTAATCAAAAGAAGCTTACCTTATCGCATTCCGGACATCGGTATTCAATGTGTACTATGCGGGAGCAGCGATGCTGCGCCAAGGCGAATGCATCGCTATACAGTCTTCGGCAAAGCCTGCAGATGTACCGCCCCAAACGATTTTCGATGGATGCTATCAGTGCCTTTGCCTCTTCTGTCACTTCTACTACGTTGAACGCTGGGTCTATATCGCCCTGGAAAATGACACTTGGATAAGGCTATGAACAAAGGTAGTTAAAAATGTGAAAAATGGGTCTATTTCACCTAGTTTTCTACGCCCCTACAAACACGGAAGGCGCGGGTTTTAACTCAAACTTGCCAGAAATGTGACCCGTAAAATGACGATTACATAATTCCACACCATTACAATAATTTTTATTGCATCTAATCAAACGTTTCAGCTCACTATCTCAATTCAAAGAAATCGTGGCCAGAGCATTGAAACGGCGATTTATTTCGTAGTTAATGTCCCGGGCCCACCCCCCGGTGACGGCTGCGGTTCGCCCTTAAAGCTGTTATTAGCGCAAAACACAACACAATACACGATTTCATACCAGTTTAATTGCCCGACCGATAAGGAAAAGTCGACTTGCAGCCCCAGTAATGGTATGGTAAGAACGTCTAATTAATAGTTCCTGTGCAAGTTTGCCTTTATATTTGATGCGCCCGATGAAAACACAATTTTGGTGTTTGCATAATAAAGTAAGATTACCTTTCGAACTACTAGAGTTTCGTCCTCAGCTAAATCTCGAATGATGGTTCCAGAGACTGGGGAAGTTTTATCTTCATCGAACATCAACCGTCTCACAGCTTTGCTTTTCTTAACAGGCTGAGTTGCTGGCTTCGGAGATTTTTTCGGACGCTCCTCGACATCTTTCACTTCGACTACATCTGGTGAACTCCTTTCGCTCTTCGACGGAGTCTCAGGTTCAGGTGGCAAGCAAGTTTTGAGCTCTTCAAAAAACTGCTTTGTGAATTTAAGCTTCTTAGCTTCAGTACTGTCGCTGTCATTAGAGTTTTCATCCTCAATTTTACGCTTTTCAGCATTGCTTTCGGATTCCTCTTTTTCGGGTGGTTCTTCAAAGGTTCGAAATATTTTAGGCGACTTTGCTGGTTTTTCTTCAGAGGATTTTCGTTTTTGGGTTGGAGGCGGAGTGCATGGTGGTGTGATGGGAGTAGTGGATTTCAAAGACAGATCGAGTGGGACTAAAGGTTCATTATAATAAGCTAGATATTGCTGGAGAAGTGTTGGATGCTGTTGAGGGATAAGGTCGTGAAGGTAATCGGTGGATAGTCGAACTGGTGGCGCTACATAGTGTTGGTAGAAACGGGATGATGTTAATCTGTGAAATTGTGGCAATGCTGCTTCCATGTTCGGTGATATTCTTCACTACCATTTCATTGTAGTTCACATCTTCGCCACATTGATGTTGCTTTAATTTATCTGTGGACAAAGGAAAATAACGTGAAAATAATTTAGCAAAGTGCAATAAATGTTATAAAGGGCGAAAAAGCGAGCAAAAGGGACGGAGAGCGCACTCAATGGTGAAGAGGTTCATTCTTTGATTGTAACAATCTCGACAATGTGTTGATAGTTGTGACACTACAGTAAATTGCTCTTTTCCCCTCACATGTGCGAAAACATGGACATTTCACTCAATTTTGAACAATAGGCGAGTATTGTTGTTTTTGAGTAACTTGAGTAACTGAAAACTTTTTCAGTCGAAAGAGTTTTTCAGCTTATTCAGAGATTTGAACTTTTTGAGCTTAAAAATAAGTATAATTACCACTTAGTCTTATAGCTTTAGAAATAAGGGTAAAAATCGCCCACGCAAGCTAATTACCGTCGCGAGATGGCTCCCACGCTCACCCTCCCCAGCCCTCCGTAGGGACGGCATTCTGTTTACTCTGTCATATTTTGAGAGGTTGCCATGAATAAATTATGGCCTGACGAATGGCAATGTAATGGTTAAGCCCTTTTACTGGTATAGAAGTAAAGGGTATTAAATGGGATCACCGACAAGTTAACTTTGAAAGATGTTTTATAGTTTCGTTTAGTTTGTGATGTAGGATAGATCAGGGTGAAAAAATAATGTGATCAATTTTCACTACTTACAGTGCTTAAATATGTGTTTTAATATAATTATTAAATATTATAAAACAGCGTATTGTTAGAGTAATACAGCGGAAGATATGTGTATAAATTATTTTAAAAGTAGCAAAAAAGTTACATCAAATTGTGCATTCACCTAACGATGTTTCGTTAATAAAACTTTTCCTTCCAAAAACCAAGCAGTAATTTTATCACCACTATATTTATGAGACCAAAAAAAACGTATAAGTAAGTTTATAAGTAAGTACGGATTGTGACGGCATATCAAGATAAGAAACACTACTTAATTTCGGCTCATATAAATGTAATTTGTCATTAAAAATCTATTCCCTACACCTAACAATCACATTTATCTTTAAATCATTACAATGTCACTCGATAACAACTTAATACCGTCTTAAGGCGATAACTATCTAACCACTTATTACACAATCCGCCTAAACACTGTCTTCAGATTGGGCGGGGAACATTTTCGGTAATGACTGGGCGGGCGGCGGGCGGGGCGCGCTGTCATTCACTATGTATTTATGAATATCAAAGTAGCGAAAGTAGATTATATTACAAGAGTGCTTAAATCTTTAAAACTATTAATTGTTTCAAGTTGATAACATCTAAGCTTTTGGTGGAAAATCAGATTATTGCTTATTTACATTTTCCAAACATGTTTTTATATTTNTGTTTTATATTTTCTTTAGTTTTTCATGAAAACGTATTGTTCCAAAGAAGCTGAAGAGTCGTGAGCTCTATGATTTTATTAATATACAATTTGATCTAAATACTTTATAGTTGTAAAGTATTATGAAATAATAGTAATTTTTCCGATTATTAAAATTATGCATATCAACTTACTTAGCTTCTCGATAAATCAATCAAATCAATGATCTAAAAATATATTCTGTTGGTTGTATTATTAGCAAAACAAACAAAAAACTACATAATTAAATAAATGTAAGCTCTAAAGGAGTAAAAGCTCTTGTACATTACACTAAAATTTGAATTACTTTAAACAGGTTTTAACGCGATACGCGGATAGGTAACTAACATTGAAAAACAACTTAATTCAATTCCATTAAGCAACGCGAAAGTTTAACACTAAAATTTTCCTACCAAGGTTCAACCTATCAGACTACTGAACCTTTTTAAAAATTAATAGCAAATACATATCAAAATACTACCAGCCAAGAAATGTTTCTTGCCTTATTAGGTAATGTTAAAACATTAAAATGTAAGGTAGGTGTGAAAACGGCTGCGTGATACGCCTTATTAATTACACACCAGATTACGGACTCATGAATAGCTAATTTATAGCTTTAAGCTCTATTTAAAGTGGTTATACACACCCATTATTATTTTGAATCGAGGGTGTGAAATATGTGTTTGTAATCTTTGTCTAATTATTCGGATTATTCCATTTTAAATGAATAAACATTTTACAGTTTGATTCCATTACATTACTTGCGTATGAAAAAATATTGAGTTTGTTTTAGGTAACTTTTGTTTCACGCTTTGTAGATAGAGCTATAATTATTGGTATCAAGTCTACAATGTCATGTAGTATCAAGGTTTCTCAAAGCAGCTGTGGTACGTGTAAACGTGTGGACGTGTAAAGTGCATTGATAAAAAAGCTTGGCTTGGCTTGTTACCATAGCACAGACTATAGTTACTAAGCATATCTTAAAAGATAACACCTACAATTTATATTATAAAAATATCGCAATCCAATAATCACTGAGTGTGTTATTACGAGTTTACGTTATAGTTTTAGTAATTAGTGCTGAAAAACGCGTTAACGATTAGGCCGCTAGTCATAGAATACCTAATCATGACTGTAGGTATAAACTAAGTAGGTGCTAAGCTTACTACAAGCACGTGATAAATAAATAGCTTATAATTTTCAAGTTACTTGTACTTTAAATACCTAAGTAACGGTTTAGTTTGCATCGACATTTTTTCACAAAAAAGTTTATCTTTTAATTAACGAGACAATCTAAATACCTCAAACATTTCATTTATTGGATAACATGATATTAAATTTTCTTCGTAACTCTTTTAATAGAGCTTTCACGAGTCTCGATCATCCCAACTAATATTATAAATGCGAAAGTAACTCAGTCTGTCTGTCTGTCTGTCTGTCTGTCTGTTACGCTTTCCCGCTTAAACCTCGCAACCGATTTTGATGAAATTTGGCATAGAGATAGTTTGAGTCCCGGGAAAGAACATAGGATAGTTTTATCCCGGTTTTTGAAACAGGGACGCGCGCGATAAAGTTTTTCTGTGACAGACAAAATTCCACGCGGGCGAAGCCGCGGGCGGAAAGCTAGTTAAATATAAATATTATAAATGTGAAAGTTTGTATGGATGTCTGGATGTTAATATGATTGTTACTCTTTCACGCAAAAACTACTGAACGGATTTTGATGAAACTTTGCAGTATTCTATTTTATAACCCAGAATATGTACTATAATTTATGACGATCTGTGAAACTAAATTTCACGCGGGTGAAGCCGCGGGCAAAAGCTAGTTTTTAATAAACGCACCATAACGCTAGTTTTAAGAAATCCCTACCTAAGAAATGATTGTTCTAAGATTTGTTCCGTATTTCCCACGGCTCGCGTGCTCGTTTACAATGACTTAGTTTTATTCGTCACATCATTGCATCAAGTTTTACATTTTTATCTTGGATTTTTATTGTAAAATAGCACTTAATACAGCTGCATAAAGTGACACAGTGTAACGCTTGATGTGCCGTCGTAAGCATAATAGAATCGCACCAAATCTTCCATTCAATGCGCGTTACATTTTGCGATGTAAATAGAACAATTAGTAAGTAAATAAGTGATACTAATCGTTTTGCTTTATAGCTACTAAGTAGCATTAAACAATTGAAGTCGTAGTAAGTTAGTAAAATAGGCAAAATTAAATATGTCTATTTAAACAAATTAAATAATAGCCATTTAACGATTAGCAATTTCGATAGTGTTAGTTGCGGCAGTTGATAGTATAGCTAATAGCCAAAACAAAGTAANCAAAGTAGTTATGAAGATTTTATAATCAAATTACTTTATTTGTTCTATACTCAACATCAAATAAACCGCACCTTCCGCGACGCGAACTTTAACGATTTTCTTCTGACACAATCATGGTGCCCCAATAATATTGGTGTTAAAGAAAAACACATTTAATTTCTTAATAAATCATTAACATATACCATAAATGTGACTTGAAAAAATACCTCACTTTGGGCCCACCTATGGGATCAATTAGACCAATTTTTATGGTTATAAAACCAAATAATGATCTCACGTGTCCTCTTTAACATATGGATAGCGATTAATCCCAACTTAACAGTTTTATAGCCATAAAAGTTGGCTCTAGGGTAACTACCTATTTTTTTAAGAAGAGACTCTGGATCCTTCTAAAGACACATTTTTGGGGTAAAAACCTTTCCTTTAATGAAATGAAGGTTAGAACTAGGCTTTCAAATGGTACCAATATTGGTGGGAAGTGGGGAAGCATACGTTTCAAAATGCTTGTCGCGGGAGATGCGATTTATTTGATGTCGAGTGTATTTTGAAAAGTCTTTATTTTTTGCTGCTAATCGATAGCAATAGCAGATCACCTATACCAGTATCTTTTATTTCAAGCTGATTACTCTACATATTGACAAAAATCTTCGATACGTTTATCAGAAATCCTCAGCAATCACTGTATGAATCTATTTTTTAAAAACATATTATAAGTAACTAAAAGACTTTCTTTAAAGCACCATCTCAGTACAATTTAGCAACAATCATCTTAAATCACTTTACCTATGAATCTATTTTTAATTAAATTAAAAAGCCTTTCGAAAGCACCAGCGCTCGAAGTCCTACTGAACTAATTATAGACAAGCTACAAAGTACACACATTGTTAGAGAATAAGAACAAGTTACTGCCGCTAGTTAAGATAACCCTCCAGTGCACTCTTGACACTCGATACTGCCTGGCTGGCCAGGAGGCTGGCTTCTGCGAACTTCGCCTGAGGCTAGCCCAAACTTTTACTTAGTAACTGATACTGAATCTATCTGTTTGCCCCGATATGGGTTCAACTGAAAACTCTTGGGAAATGATCGCCCTGGTTCAATTTATAAACACATTAATCAAATTAAATCAGTCAAGTTAAGAGAATTCGATTTGTTTAAGGAAAAAACTAAAACTGTACTCAGATTCAATTTAAACCATACTGACGGAACAATCATTTTATGTTCATTTTATAAAATACTTGCGGATTCTAATGAGAATCTTATTTTTGAATAAATGTAGGTAATAATATAGTAGGTAGTAATAATTATTCAGGTGACTCAGCCATAAATGAAATAACATTGGCGACGATGAAATAAGGATTCAAAATCAACGGACGGTCACAGAGTAAAAATACGTGAGTTAATAAGCGGAAAAATTAATTAAATTAAGTTCCTCATCAACAACTACCCGCAAAATCACAGGGGCTATCTCCCGCTGCGCTTTCGCAATCGCCACACGCAGGTGCGTGGAGGGTGTTACTATGGCGAGAAACTCAAGTGACTCATACCTGTGCCTGCTCCTCTGCTGACTCAGCACCCCTTTGCCTTCGCACTTTGGTAAATTAAAAAATAAACTGTCAGATTTAAACTTTTGAGCGGAGTTCGAAGTTTGAATTTGAAAAGTTTTCGATCGACGGCTGGTGGTTAGGGGTGCGCGTTGTCCGCTCAGTAGGGCGGCCGGGACAGAACTGGCTAGGACAGGGTGCGCACCCCGAAGCGTGCGACGGCACGGGCCGACCCCTGTACATGGTGTTCCGATATCCAGTGCGGCGTTACGACACTTTTAAAGCAACACAGGTATGACAGATGTAATGCATGCATGTGTGCAGTTGAAACGTGGTGCGTGCTATGGAAAGGTGCTGCATCACTCGGATACCGTAAACATTTTTTGTCAGACATTGTCAACACTAAATCCATTTATGTTGCGGCTAAGGTGTTAAACTTTCGAATAACGGGGTTTTAACAAACAAGTTTTAAGAAATATGAAAAATTATCGATCCACTTGTGTTATAAAGGGGTTAAGAAGACATTAAAGGAATGCTTAATAGCATAGAGCTAAGGGGTAGTTAATAACACTTACTCGTACATCGCTACCCTCGTACTAATCCCTTATAAATTATAATTGAAAACATAAAACATATCGACTAATCGTCTTGTAGGGTGTTTTATTAATTTTAAACATTAACAGACCAATCATGTCAATAGTTTTCTTTAAGAAATTAACATTAATAACGATTGATGGATTTAAGAAAGTTTACTGAATCAAATAACTTTAAATAGTCATTAGATGAAGCATTTTTCATGATAAATTTTTTTAAGGTTTGATAATAACTAAAGAAACCTTAAAATGCCAATCCAACTCATTTGACAACTAGAGAACCTGTCATCTAATGAAAACGCAACTGACTCTACATTTGAGCGCTTTGGTACTAGCGTAGTTTCTCTCAAATTTTCAGCGCGCCTATGCTTAATCTGAGGGCTTTCCTAATCAAAGTAATCAACATTTTCTTACCTTCACCCGGCTCGTTCCCTGAATCTGTTGCCAGCCAGTCATAAACCGGTGTTACAGCGGCTCTTCAATGGTTTTACACCGGTGTTATAGCGGTTCCTGGACCCCCATACCCGCCGCAACCGTCTCCACTTCTGAAGTAGACCTCCAACGTGCATAGCTTTAGTATTCGGCCCGGCGCAGATAGCCGATAAAGCCCGCATTCGCCGAAGTGGCACCTTGTTAATGAACTCGTACGATTGTCGTTCCAAGTACCTATGTCACTTGTGGTACACGATTGGTGACATTGTTAGTAGGTTCAAGTAAAGCATCTGTCGATTTATGCTCAATTTATTTATCAGATAAACTACAATTTTAGAGGTTTTATTTAGGGGTTTTAGAGGTCTTAGATAGAGGTAGGTAGCTGGTAAATAAAATACGTGATAATTATGTGCATTCTTTATTTGTTACATCTTTTTATAATTAAGTCAGTCCATCTGAAAATTTATTCAGGAAACTAGCCTTGAGTAAAATACCTAACCTAGGGATAAATAGGCAGTTTGAGACAGTATAAAATGAATAAAAAATATAATAAGTCGATTAATAAGATTCGTGGGTTGAAGATTTAAATGTTTTGGCATAGGTACTTAGTAAGTAGTTTAGTTTTTTCCAAAGGTTTATTGTATTTGCAACACAAATGCTGATATGCCTGGTCAGATGTGACAATTACACTCAGGTCTGGCTATTTGATCATTTATTTCATATGTATAAAGCAATTTCATTTTTATGGGAACTATAAATGTATTGAAGTGTAACTAATACGTGTAGTAAAGTAGTACCACTTTCAACTTAACAATGAACTTGACAATATTCAAGGTGACATTTTTTTACATACATACCAGCACCTCTCTGAAACTAATTACGAACTAACAAAATAAAAGGTAGCAATTTAAACAAATATATTTAAATACTCTTCTACTAGATGTTTACTATAAAAGACTACTTTTCCAATAGAAGCTGCAAATGTCACCTTTAAAAATTCATAAAACAACGGTTTTCACAGCATCCTGTGAAATGAAATCTGTGAATACACAACCACAGACATTTATGTCATTGTAGAATCCACTTCATCTCAGTGTGCACGAGCGCTGGGCGGCGCCGCGCCCGCCCTAGCGCCCGCCCAATGGCAGGCCCGCCTACCGAGCCGCCCAAACCGAATAATTGAACGTAACTCAATCATCATGGCATATTTAATTATGGACATCTCATCTTAATCAGCGCGATTGTTTTGCAACGCGCCTCGGTAACAAGGTTATACAGCATAAGCGAGTCATTAGTTGAGTATTGCACAAGTGTTTTCATTGCGAGATCTGTTTGTACGCTGCATTTTATGGCTGTTATTTTATGATAGAAACGTTTTCAGGCTCTTGGAAAACAGGGCAGTTTTATTTAACACATCTCTTTGTGAGGTGATGCTTATGGTACGTATATTTTTAAAATACAGTATGTAGTCTGAAAGAGAGGTAAAGGAGGTTGCACAACAGGGAGTAAAAGTTTTAACATCTGATCTGATGTTTATGGAATGCCTTATCTCACTGGGTATACCTTAGTTGTGTCTAAGACGCTTGATCCAGAGGTTCGGGGTTTGAATCTCGAGTGGCATAGACAAATCTGGTGAAACTCGAATCAACTTATTTATTGGTTCACTTGATCGTTTTCAGATACTATATCAGGGGTGATGAGAAGACAGGTGGTAGGGCAAAAGGCCTGTAAGCCTTTTAGTTTCCTATTCTAAAGTAGGTATTATATTTTTGCAATGCAAATGAATGGGACACCTGAGTTCCAGTTTAACTTATTCTAAAAACTTTTAGTGTCTTCAACTGTTAATGAGCTTAAATTAATGTTATTAAGGTTGACATTGCTTCGGTCTTAAAGACAATCCTTTATTAAACTTAAAGTACAGTAGACAGCACATCACATATTATTGTAGAATAATCACTCTTATTCCAACCAAATAAGACCTCATCCTTATCAAGATATGCCGTTGTCTGTACATCAACAGCGGAACAGGGAAGCCCCACTCACGCGCAGGAAGCATGCGCGCGCGCCGCTACCGGCGGTCGAGTGTCCGATGGAGGAAGTAATCGAATAAGTGTACTCGGTATTGTATCGATTACTCGGTAAGACCTTTGGAGGCTCGATTACGCGTGCCATTTGTGAATGAATCATCGTGGGGTCAGAATATGACCTAATGCGATATTGTTCATTGACAAATATTAGTAGTAAGAGTGAGCAGGTAACAATAAAACGCAGCAGTCCTTGAATGTCCAATGCAGATGCTTACTTTGATATGGCTCCTTTTTCATTTTACGTACAAAAACACATGTCTTTGTAATTTTAAGTTTAAATACAAGAAAACCTTATTTACAAAACAAGGATTACATAAAAGTAAACCCGTACTTAAAAGTAAGTATTAAATGTTATCTCAATTATACAGATTAACTACAATAACTTGCGTCATGACTGACCGTCTATTGTATTTTGCTATAACCATAATACACTATCCTATCTACTATGGAGTAATCTATAGCTTTTTCTTAATATAGCAATAGAGTGATAAAAGCCGAAAAATTGAGATTTTAGTCTACCATTAGTGTAATTTCAATATTAAGATGACACAAACAGGTATCAAATCATAACCTGTGTTGCTTATCAGACCGATGTCAATCAATACAAAGGTAATTGTTTGAATTGGCCGCTGCGATACAAGCTTTCTAGCTTAGTGCAGAGACCGCCTGAATAAATTGTACATGTGACATCTTTGAGAAATAAATACTTCTTTTTTTTTATAATACGAACTTTAAAGACTGAACAAAGTACAAGTACATACCTAGCATAGTGTGTGTTTTGTTTCAATTAAGCACCACTGTTTTGTTTCCCACTTCCAATATAGGTATTATTATTCCCCAAACAGCTGATTAATTACCGCAAACAATCGCCCTCCTGTGGGAACCAGGTAGTGATGAGTGCAGAGGAGCAGAGTGTCGCTCCCAAGCACTTGCTAGTTCCCACGGGTGGGAGCTGGGACTATCGATGTAACCAATCGATTTTGTTGTTATCGAATGTTAATCGAACGTTTGACGAAAAATGATAGGCATTTTCAAATTACGTTTTCTACAATGAATTCCCATTTTCTGGGATTTTAATTGTAAAAGATAAGTATTTTGTTAACCTACAAATATTTTGTTAATTTATTTGTAGATTCTTAATTGCGAATTTTTGAAACTAGCTACCTGTATTTTACAAAGCATAATTTATTTTGAGGTACATTTGCTACCAATCTAAATTTGAGTGCAATTTACAATTAATTAATTATTAGACAAAACTTTATTTCAATATTGATACCATACACTTATTTAAATGTCATACCCAAATTGGGTCGCTTTTATTTATAACTGACATCTCTTCATTCACATACGAGAGCTTTAAACAATTCAAGCACTGTAAACAGTATTTATTATGTTTGTATAATACCTAGAATATAAAATACACACCTATTCAACAGGTAAGCACAGCAAATTAAAAAACAGTTAGCACACAAAGTGGTTGCATTCTAGCCCTTTCATCATTGTTTAAACCGGCACATCAAGTTTAACACTTTCCATCTTATGTCGTTGTAATAAGACTGACTTTGCAACAGAAATTTAAAGCCTAATGTGCTTTCAGCTCTACTTCAAAAGCGTTGACACGAACTAGGTGTGGGAAGTGGGAACCCTCGGAAGGATACGCGTCCTCGAATGCACCTTTGTGGCGTTTCCTCTCGGGGGCAATGGAACGGCCGTAGTGGGAAAATAGACCCTTTATAGATCATTGATTTAATGACGCTGAAATTAAAATAGGAACATGTAACCATCATTGCAAGATGCGATCTTTCTTAGGCTGGGTTGCACCATCTTATTTTGACTTTGACAAACGTCAAAAATCTGTCAAACTCCATACAAAAAGCACCGGTTATCGTCATAGTTACCGTTAAAGGTAGGTGGTGCAACTCAGCCTCATTTATATCCAACAATTTGTATGCAAGAATGCTTTACTCGTAGTATCCCAAGTATCCCAACCAAGTAAAAATATTAACACAGTATGAGATTTTTTTAAAGTTAGACATCATTTAATGTCTATAGCATAAGGCAGGTCTATGTTATTTTGACTTCCCAATTATCAAGTATG